GCAATAGTCGATAATCACCCTCTCTTCTGTATTTGAGAGCTTTTTCGAATTCGGAACGCAATCGCTTCGTGGAAGTATTCCATTGCGGCGGTTACGGAGCGTATCTTTGCTGACCTTGTAGGTTGCTGCTGCCGCTCGATTTGATCGAATTTGGTCTTGTTCGATAGCCATTTTAGCTAAATTGATACTAGCTTCGTTTGAAGGTAATTCAACTTGTTGTTGTCGAGGCATTGCGAAAAGATGGTGATGATTGGAATTGTGGTATTGAAGTGGCTAACTCGGTGGTTTGGCTAGCTCGGTGGTGGATTACGTTAGGCTGTAGATGTTATGCTGCATGATAAAACGTTCTTCGAATTCTAGGTCCTTGGCGTTGAGGATGTCCGTAGAGGTTCTTCTCCCAGTCAACATCTTATGTTAACCATGTATTGTCTTCTTCCCTACGAACTCTTCCGAATCTAAGGAGAAATGCTGATTCTAGGGCCGATTCCTGGTCCCGAAATAGAATAATATTCTCTGGTCGGATGCTCTTCTAGACTATATCGAAGGCATGGACGGAGCAGACGGCTCGTGCTAATTGCGTTGCTAATCGAAATCGATCCGAGAGAGAATGAGTTGACACGGACTAGTCATTGATCGTGGAGAACTGTTTTTCATATGAACCTCTTTTCGAAGCCGATCACCTTCCACTCGCCGGTTTCGGTGTTAAGGGTCAGGTTGGAATGAGTAACCGCGCCATCCTTCAAAAATCCCGACTCAACTCTGCCGTCGGCCAACGGACGGCTTAAGCGGTTAGCGCCCGCCTTGACGGTGAAATTGGCCAACGGAATCTCCCAAGCGTTTCGAGTGGCAACCGATGGGCTTCCATAGAACTTCGCTTGCACCTGCTTGGGCGAGACATGGAGCTCGTAGTATCCGCGATAGTATCCCTCGACCCACTGGAGCTCCGCGTTGTTCGTCCCAAATTCTGTGGCCATGCTTTCGGCACTGGCAATGGTGTCGCCAAACCCGCCCGGGTTGCTGGTCACCGCTGTCCCGGCGAATTCGACGCCAACTGCCCCCTCTCCTGTGGCTGAGTCATATGGACGCTGCTCAACCCAGGCGAGGTCGCTGACCTACACGGGGTTAGATCGTGGGCGAAGGAAAGTCAGTGGCATTGACTTACCCAGTTCTTGTGAGAATCGCCTGCCAACATGATATTGTTCCCAATATTATTGTCATACAAATGCTTGTAAACCCGATCCCGATTGGCAGTGTATCCCTTCGAAGGTCAGCTTCTTCGCGTAGAATAGACCGGGTAAGCCTACATTCCAGTTGCCTGTAGCGATCGTAGGCTTTCCCTTTACTATGCGTTGGTTTCGAGAGAAAAGGATCTGGTTCCCAATCACTCGCCAGGTTGCTCCTCGCTTCTGGGACTGAGACAACTGATTATAGAACCAATTCTCTTGACGAGAGCCCATCAACGTGCGTGCGGCATGGCCTTTAAGAAGCTGGATATAATTATCATTCCAGCCTAGACTTGTCGTCAGTACTCTATCCGCTAGTATGGCCATTGTCGACGATTGTAAAATTTTGGGGAAACGCACCAAGGTCCACGATGCTGCGATCGTAATTACGAGTGTCCAGCATAATTAGGTCCAAGGTTTTCCCAAGCTGGAAAGATCTCCAAATACGGAGATTGTCATCCATTTCCACTTGTCTGTTTGCCGTGTTACTGGATTGTCATGAGAACCTTCTAGTACAAACTTACCGAATGGGCATCCACTCAAAGTACGCTCTTACGGCATTCACCTTGCGCTGGTCAACGCTGATACCAGGACCGTCATTGAGGAATGACTCTTCTGTGTTGTTGAGCGCAGACATGCCATCCCTGTAGGCGTTGTTTGCAACCTCTACAAAATGTCAGACTAATCCCAATTGTGATACGATCCTCTTACCATGATCGTCCCACACCGGGATCCAAGCGAACTTTTCGTGGGTGGCCCGAAGATCGAGATCCAAACGATGCTAAAAAAATCATGTCAAGTGCCAAACTAACGGTTATCACGAGCTTGGAGACTTACCTGACCAATTCGTGTCCGATAGTCGTACAAGGTGAAGATATCGTGTGGCGGATCGGTCGCCCGTTCATCCTTCCCCAACTCACCGCGACCAATTTCATAGATGTAATCTCCGAGATGGACCTGACGCAAACAGGAATCAGCCATAGAACAGCATCCCTAGAATTCTAGAGCACCTACAACATAGTCGACATTGTCCTTCCTTGCCACGTTGCCGTACGCATTGAAGTATCCATTCGCTGCGTAAATTAGTCTTGCTCTCCTAACCTCACCAGCTTGGGAAACTTTACAGAAGTTGGCGCATGAAAATACGGCCAGCGAGATGTCTTTGCCATTGTCGTTTGCGTTCGGGCTCGTCTTTGTTCGACCGAGAGGACTCCGGATATCTGTGCCGCAGACATTGAATTGATACCAATATGTCGAAAATGGTTTTAGATTCTTCGCTTCAACCTAAAACCAATCAGTCGAAGCATTAGATATAGGAGAAGTGATACTTACTTTAAGTGTAAAGTCAATATCACTAGTCGTATATGCCGTACCCTTGTCGGCAACCTTTCGAGCTTCCTTATCCGAATACACCTTGTACTCAACGCAGATTGGGTTCTTCGATGCCTTGATATATGTCTCGGTATCATGGCTATAGTATGGCACATTGCCGGTGACAACCACGTCGCTCGTATCTGATTTCAGGGAGGGGGCAACGCGAGTCCACAGAATAACACTGTTCGGATAAGGATCGCCTGACGCCACACCGTGGGTGAAATTTAGCTCTTTAGGATCGTACGCCTTATCATCCCTCTTCACGAATCGCCGCTGAATTTGAGGGATGTCGAGTCCAAGGCCGGAATGCCTTCGGGACGGGCTGCCATAATTGATATTGGCATCGAGACCCTCCCCTAGCACTTGTGCAACAAGAGCGAGGAGGGGGAAAAGTTCTTTTGCTGCCCACATTGTGAGTGACAATATTGGCTTTGAAGAAAACAGAGCTCACTGGTTCATTCGACAACTTAGATATGGACAATGAAACATTATACCTATTAGTATTCCTCGACTTCAGGCATCGGGGTAATTTCTTTCTACTCTCGGATGGTTCTCTAGCGTAGCACATCATAGAGGCAGAATATTTGCCAATCGAACGCATCGTTTCACACGCGTTGATAAGGGGCTAGGAAATTACTAAATTGCGTGTAGACTTGAAGGAAATCGATTAGTAAAAGTGGTTCTAATAGCAATTTAATACTCTGTAGGTCTAACTAACTATGCAATGATACTGTAGTAGTTTGTCAGCGATCATAGCTTGAACCGACTCGATGTCGTATGGCAGGGAACATGTCAGGTACTCCAACCGCAGGACCTCATAGCTGCCGCTAGTATCAAATAGAACTAGAATGTACTGTAGATACGGATAGTTATACGGAATCCCCCGCATCAAACGGATATAATTAGCCCGACAAACTGTGGAAGCACGAAAAACCTCTTCTACTGGCGGATTCGAAGTCGACGACCTCGTTAGACCTGGACCCAAGTAATATGTCGCCATCGATGAGGAAGTTGAGGACACGCCCTAGCACGACTAAATGCCTGCACACGTCCTCTAATCGCATCGAAAACGGGAAAGCGGGCAGCACTAATGCTATAGTCCAAATTGCAACATGAATTGAACTTTTGATGGATTATTGTGGTTGAAAAAAATTTGAACTGGACTGGATGAAGTCAGTCGATGAAATATCCCCTTCGCCGTCACAGTGCTAATTTCGACATGGGTAAATCAAAGGTCTGACAGGGATATCAACAGATTTTGCAGGGATTTCCCCCCCCGACAATGCACTGCTAATTAGTGCAGAACCCACCCGTCTGTTCCCCCATAGCAAGCCTTGCGTTGCCTGCAATACAGCGGGTAGAGTATCAACACCGCGGGCTAGGAAACGGAAGGCCCTTAATGAGCTCTCTTTGAATACGATACGAGGCGTATCGCAAAGTCTGGATGGGCGTAAACAGAGTGCTCCCAAGACTGAATGGGGGTGTAGACGCTGTGAGATCCCATTATGCAATACATGGCTATGCTGGTCTGATCATCTGACCGTCGCAGAAGGCGGCTAGGAGCTCTTTTTTTACGCTGAAAATTCCTGCCAGTACCTCTATGTCTATATATTTTAATTCTTCGATCTGTAGTGCTGGAAACCCTGAAGATTTACGCTGTTTCGTAGGCTTTGTAATTGTTACATTGAAATGGTCAGAATGGCGATGTTTACAGGGGTTTGCCAAGACAGACCCCTGTTGAAATTAGCACTGCAGTCGCGACGGCCAAGGGGATAAAGCAGATGCCCACGTACTGTCAGGTGCGGTCACCTTCGTTCGCCGTAGACCCCTGAGGAAGTGAGGTTGCTGTTGAATTACGAAGTAACGTTATGTGCTACCGAACTTGCATCCAAAAACGGCGGTTTCTGACGCCGTTTTCAGAGGGTTTTCCGCCTAGGCAAAACGCTCCTGTTTCGTTAGGCCTTACACCCACTCACAGTGCCGGGTCCTTGCTCCATGCAGTCCTCCTCAAACACTTGGGGGTTCAATTTTGGACTTCCAACTCTCGGTTTCCTCGACATTCAGAACTTCCATGCCTCCACGCTAATTTGGAAGCATGATGGTGTCAAACGCTATGGCTCCGCTGCGAGGTCTCTCTCTGTTTTCTCACATAATAAACAATATCGAAGCCCGTCGCTCGATGAATTGCTCTGTCATTCCCTTTTCTCTGTTCTCCTCTCTAGCGCTCTCGGCATTTCGCACGTCTAGATCGATCTCTATTATCTAGGAGCATTTGATAAATTCCACTTTACACTCCTATCGAGACTGCTCCCTACATTGATCGCTGAGACCATCGTAATGGGAAGGAGGAACAAGTCGCACCGAGGCGCCAAAAAGGATACACTACGAGACGCTGCGTACTATGAATCGCTCTATACAGATGACCTAACCCCAGCATTGCGCCCTATCATAGACGCAATAGAAAAAGGAGTCCGCTCTATATGGAGGAAGTGGACAGAGTATGTATTAATGGCTAAGATTTACCAAGTTCTTAACTAACTGTCCATAACTCTGACTAAATATTGTTCGCTCCAAATCCTTGACCCCGATGCTCTTACCCGCCTGCAAAATATTAGCGTGGCCGAGATCCGGCGGTTCATGCATTGGTATCTGGACAGTCATGCCGTGACGAAGCTGAGTTCCTTGTATGTGTTGATGCGTTACTGGCGGATGATGTATGCTCGGAAGTTGTACCAACGGCTTGACCTTGTCCTCGCTTTGGATATGAAAGATGTAAGGCCGTGGTTCCCTTTCTAGGGACCCTCTCTTAGTAACGTATGAGCAGTTCATTAGCACCGTCCTCAAAGTCGAGTATAATTTGAGTGAAGATATGAAAGACAAGCCTGTCACGAATGTGGACGATGTATACTTACTACTGTAGAAGTATGAATACGTGATTGATTTATCTATCTAGGAGTATGGGAGGCCTCGGAGGAATAGGAGGCAACCACACATGATACTAGCCGTATTGGATGTCACCTGACTCCCAACCTCTAGAGGATTACCTCAGCAAGCTCAGGCTATTTGTGGTCGTGCCTGAGGCAACGAACCGCGCTATACCTAGTTTGTATGGTCCTAGACCAAATAGCCGGATGGTGTCGCAAGATGCCCCTGTTGGTTTCTACTGCCCTAATTAGATGATAAAAAGTGCAAAGATGGTGTACAAATGCCCGGTAAAGGATAAGGGGAAATTGAATTGAGAATTGCAAGAGGATAGAAATAGTGGCTGCTTAAGTACTCCAGGTCCCTGCGGTGCAAGACGCTCTGGACTCGTTATCCTATCGCCATGGCTCGACTGCTCTTCTACCTGCATGCGCAACCCTCGCATCTACCCCTGATTTTGCCTCGCCGCCCTTGCCGCCAGTCCACGATTTGCAAGAGGATATGCATTCTGCACCTAAGGCATGAATATACCATCCTGTCCTGGTTAGCGTGCCATTAGTGATATTGTTTGGAGGGTGCGTCCAAAAATAGTGGAAGATGAAGCGGTAACATTGATTGGTGTTAATGCGGTCTGCTTGATATCTTTCGTTTCCTTCCCCCTTTCAGTCCGCGACCAGTGACGGCCAGATATGATATGCGATGACGCTCTCGTCCCTATGCACACGCCAAAGGTTGGAAGAGAAAATTACTCTTCCAAAATTCCATCGTCACTGGATCCGAGGTCGCACGCAAGCTGCTTGACGCAAAGATAAGGGGCTGCCTCTGCCTATGAGACCGCGTGGTTGCGAGGAGTGTAATGATTGGGTTGGAAGCAATCTCGATGGCCGTGCTGGGCCGCCAACCTCGAGCAGCCGCATCGGTCGTCAGTGGACCGTTGTCGTGCGGGCAGATTCAGCTGCTCACGTCCGGATGACCGTGGAAATTCTAGTTCGCGAGACCACATGCAATGGCAACCGAGCAATTGGATCCACAGGCTTTCAAGTTCGCATGGATGAATTGGCGTGCTGGCTGGAACAGCCACACCACAAACCCCTCCATTCGTCAAGATGCCTCACCGTCATCGTCAACGTCGGTGTTACCGATGTCACCTGGTTCGGCCTCACCGGATGCTTTGAGCACTGTCAGGTGGACTGTGACCGAAACTCTTACGTACGAATAGCAGGTTGCAAGCGAGCGACCGTGGCGCCTCTCATACCAAGGTTCCAAGCCAGAGACAGACTGGGGCATTGACGTCCACATCCAGCTTCCTATTTGATCCCAGAACGCCCATGCCGGTGTCTGTATGAAACCACAGTTGATTCAAATGAGCTGAAGGGATCGGGCGATCACGATCATCATTATGCCATCATAATCATGCGATGCACGGCGTGGTGTGGCCGAGCACTAAGCTTAGCCGGTTCGAAAATGGGCGTCTCTAGTTATAGATAATGCAGTATTATTGCAGACGCTGTCTAAGTCGAAATCGACGAGGGAGGCCGGAAAAGTCGAGGTGCGAAGGTGCACACATGATCCATAAAGTAATGAGAAGGAATATGGAGGGCGGTTGGTGACCGTAGTTCATGGCCAATGCTCAGGGTTCTTAGAAAGGGATGGAGAGAAGCGACCACGCTGAGACGAACGGGGATGGATCCAGCAGTTCAAGCCCATTAAGCTCGAAGTTCGAAATGCTGTGCAACGCAGAAGCGATGGGTCTTAGGAGACGGGGACGCCGAAGAATGAGTGCTCTCTAGGAGCCTGTTAGTTCTGCTACATTGCGGCGAAGAACTCTGATACACTGGGAAGAAACTCAACATGAAAGGTGGAACTGAAGCTCACCATCCAGAAGGCGTTACGAAAGGGGAGCGAGCCGTAAAGCATGGAATGGCAAAAGAGGGGGAGAGATTTCGCCCAAGGCGTAGCGAGGGTCAGCAGGGGATTCAGCCGTGCAAATGGTGCGTGCAAGGGTCGACCGGTGGACAATGCAAATTTGAGACGCGGCGAAGCAAGAGAAAAAGGGGAAGCCGAAGGGTGGAGGAAGAGGTGGTTCAGATTTAAGAGGCGATAGACGGTGGTATTTATGTTCTGAGGATTTGAAGGTTTGAAAACGGAAAACAGCGCTATACTTGATAGGGTGGCGCTAAACTATAAACGGAAGTTCGGTACCACGCAGATTACGTAGTAATTAAGGCGACAGGGTGAATACCTGCAACGCCATGTCAAAGCCGTGGACTAGTGGCGCAGCATTGACACGCACGCCGCCCTTTTCGGCTGGGTCGTCCGCCACAACCTGATGCTCCTCCACCAGGGATAGAGAACTAAAGGCAGATACGGCCGTCAATATCAAATCCGATACAAGCAGATCAAAATTGGTAAACCAGCTATTAATTCCTAAGCAGAAGTTTATTTCTTGCTTGATTGACATGGGAAAGGCCCTCGATTGATAACGATGTGAAAGAGCTTGGAAACTAACATCTATCGCCCATAATCAATCACCTGGGCTCTTAAGACGTCCTGAAGCCTCGCAACCATGGGGACTATAGACGTCGTCTACATATTCGACGAGCATAACACCCTTCTCCTCTCTCACCACTACCATGGATCCCCTCCATCCGCGAAGGTTCTGTTGAACACCTACCTCTCCCACTCCTCACCCCGCCCCTCCGTCCTCTATGTCCCAAGCACCCACCCACCATGCATCCTCTGCTCCATGGTTCAAGACCGTCTCCTATTTCTCACTCCTCTCTCTCATGATATGGACCCGCTCATAGCGCTCGAGTTCCTTCACCGCGTGGCCGACGCGCTGGAGGAGTTCCTGGGCTCCCCGCTACTAGCTAGTCGGATTGAGACGCAGTATGATGTCGTCGCGCAGTTGCTGGGTGAGATGTGTGATGCGGGTATAATGAGCGTCACGGAGCCCAACGCGTTACGGGACCTGGTGGATGTGGGTGTGGGGTTGATGGGCAAATTTCTCGGAGGCGTTGGATTACCTAGGTATATCCCATCATCCCTTGAGCCACAGAACAATTTATCAAAGATGGGATTATTGACCCTTTTCGAATTCAGCGCTTCACCATCACTATCATCAGCACCCGGTTCCAGCCTATCCTTCAAACCCCCCGGCTCCGACACCAACCAACTCGCCATCCCCTGGCGCCGCGCCAACGTCCGCCACACCAGCAACGAGCTCTACGTTGACATTGTCGAGTCCGTCACCGCTATCCTCGCCCCCTCCGGTCGCCCGCTCGCCGCCCGCGCCCACGGCACTATAGTCTTCACCGCCAAGGTCTCCGGCGTCCCCGACCTGATCCTGCAGCTCACCACGCCCGGCGGCCGGATGAACGTCGCGCATACCATGCAGCTCCCGGTGTTCCATCCGTGTGTGCGGCTCGCAAGATGGAAGGAGCATCCCGGGGAGCTAAGCTTCGTACCGCCGGATGGGAGGTTCGTGTTAGCGGGGTATGAGGTGGATTTGCTTGGAGCGGACTATCTGACGCGGGCGATGCATGATCCGAATTATAGGTCGGACTTGCATTTACCGGTGTCTATTGAATTGAACAAGTCGCTCGGACCGGACGCGTTGGATTTTGAGGTCAAGATGTCGCTGGACCTGAGCTTCGTGAAGGTCTCGTCCTCGTCGAGTACTGGGTTGGGGGCCGGCCTTGGTCGGGCAAAGAGCGCCGGCTTGAGACCGAGTACCGCGACCAGTGGGACGTCTGCACAGCCGACGTTGGAGGAGATCGTTGTGAGCGTGCCGATTCCGAGTGGGGTGAGGAATTTCAGCGAGATGAAGGCGAGTCGCGGGGAGGCGACGTATGCGCCTGGGGACGGGACGCTGGAGTGGCGAATATACGGCAAGGAGGCGTCAATGCTGATGAATGGCGTGCATAGTGTCTCCGGTGGCGTGGTTGCGACACTGAGGTGTTCGGTGGTTGGACAGCCTAATGTCGGGGAGGTCGAGGAGCCGTTTGCGCCGCCGAAGGAGAAGTGGGACTATGATGAGGGCGGTGATGATGCCTACCAAGCGGAGGCAGGGAGTGGGAAGAGCACGGGGAAGAAATCACCGAGCGATGAGAAGCTCTCAAGGATAGCCGCGAAGAACGCAGAGCTGATGCCATCGTCGGCATCAGTCAGCTTCCAGGTCAAGGGATGGTTGCCCAGTGGAATCAAGGTGGAGAAGCTTGCCATCGATATGCCGAAGAGTAAAGGCATAGGCGCTGGCGTACAACCATACAAGGGCGTGAAGTATCTAGCTGTAAGCAAGGGCGGTGTTGAGATTAGATGTTGAGTCAATGAAATGCTGCTGAGTTCAGGACATAAGTTGCATGTGAATACCAATTGCGAAAAATAAAACGGCCTTGGCAGGAATCGAACCCTCCCGTAGAATTCGCCCAATGTACCTCTCAACTCCCCATTTGCCCTTTATAGAGCGCTAGCTCATCCCCCCAAGCAAAAAGAAAGAATCAGACTGCAAAATAGCAAAACTATAAGCTCTTGGGAGCCCTAGGGAGTCCTTCTTCCGAGCGTTGTTTACGAATCACCACCGTTGCCGCAACGGTGTAGATCATCTCAATGCTCCCAAGAACCTTTCCAGCTGTACTTGACAGTATTCGTGTGCCACGTCGAGATATTGCAGCCGAGCCACCATAAGGTGGCGGAGGGGGCTACCAACTAAGACACTCTGCCATTTCCTGCTGATCAGTTATCAGTTTAAATCAATTATATATTAAATCTGTAGATGTGAACTGGACAGCATCATGCAACTCACTTACTGGTGAATGCTCCTAGTACTCTCCTTCTTCCCTTCGGTCATTATTTGACCCGTCAAACCCAATTCCATCTCCTAGGCACTGTGTTTACTTGGATTTTGCGAATGCAGAACACAGCGCCCAGCTCACCTAACTAGCAATTCACCCCAATGGCAGGGTCACATGCACGCATCAACATCACAAGACCTCAATTTTCCACTTGAACAAGTTCCAAATCTCATATTGATACTGGTTCAACCATCGTATAATACATCGCCCCCAAGTCTTCACCTCGGCATGATTTTCCACCTCCTAGTCTATTCTTCGCAATCCAATCCATCATTGAGAAGCCAACGCCGATTGCCTCTCTTGCTCGATCTTCGCGTAGAAAGCGTCGCGGTGTCGCACGGCCGGGACATGGTATCCTGTAGGAAATGAGAAGCCGAGCGAATGATTGGGATGCGATGTGGGGGCTTCGATATCAATACGTACCGTACCACCAGGCGTAGCCAGCTGCTGTACCAAGACCTACAACTCGTGTCAGTGCAAATCCAGAATATGATGAGGTATACACGTACCAATTGAAACACTCAGGTCGATAACCAAGCCCCGTCGGAGCATCTACGTTCTGTGAGTTAGCCGGTGGTTGTTGGGCATGGACATGGACCACGTACACCAGTGATGGGTTTGACAGCCATTATGAGCGACTCTTTCGAGAGAAGAGAGTTGTTTTCGGTGGATTGCGAGTCGAGTCGGATCGAGGCGAGGAACTTGTTCTCTGCAGATGGTGGTGTGAGGTGGGTGTTGAAGTTGAAGTTGGAAGCAGCTCGCGATGTTGCGGAAGCTGCGATTGGGGCTTGGCATGGTTGACACCTCAGGCTTCAAGGCCAATACCTCGATTCCTGGTCACTCACATCTGATCCTGAGCTCCAGCTCCATCTAACCTTGGATATCCGTATTCTCCATCCAACTGCGCATTGCTTGCGCATTGCTTGTGCTTTTCGTTCTTTACTTCTCGCTGTACACTTCTTCCACCGCTCTTTTGGTTGAATCACACTCCCACATCTCCGCGAACCGCTTAACCCAGAGAATCCATGCCTGGCATCAAGATGGAGTCGGGTCCAATGCAAGGTCTCAAGCGGCGCTCTCCCGACGATTATGAGCGACTGACGAATGGCGACCATCCGGCGAAGCGTCAGAAGAAAGTCATCCGTGCCTTGAAATACAAACAACCCTTTGCGGAACTCGCGCTTGAATCTCCGCAAGATGACAGCGTCTTTCACGCGCAGCTCGTTCGGTCCATATCAACCGTCCTCACACGAGTCGGGTTCGATGGCGCAAAACCATCAGCCTTGGAATCCTTTCGATCCGAGGTGCAAGAATGTATGGAGATCAACAGGCCTATCTCGATGCCTTGATCTCAGTACTGATGCTTCACAGATATGCTTCACTTCCTTGGCACGGTTCGCGCATCGATGACCAATAGTCGGAGAACCCACCCGATACCACAGGACTTCGTCCTCGCACTCGTCAATTCGGGAATTACACCTTCAGAGCTGCTCGGTCATCTTGACCATCACCTACCCCCTGAGGTCTCACTCCCTCCGCTCCAAGCCGCTCCCCGAGAGACAGATACCGTTCCTAAGCGCGATCTGTTCTCCATCGACGCTGCAGACACCACCAAGCGGCGATTCATCCCTGCAACCATGCCACATTACCCAAGCAAACACACCTGGCAGTCCACACCCACCGTCATATCCCGGATCACTGACCCGCTGCAAATCCGCGAGAAATCCACCCAGGAAGGCATCGTCGCCGAGCAGGCGCTCCGCAAACTCGTCGCGGCACGACAGCGTGGCGCCGCGAACAAGACCTTCGGCGAAGGGCACAAGACGCAGAAACGGGAGTTAGAGAGACGGTGGGAAGACGGGATGATGGAGATGATTCGGATGGACGACGAGGAGGCGAGGAGGCAGAGAGTAGACTTTGAGGGAGATGCGGACATGGGGGCTGGGGATGTGGATGTTATGAACGCGGCCGCAGAGGCATCGAACGGTGCGTTTGGGGTGGATACTGGGATGGTTGTTAATTGGGATAGGAAGTATTGGAGGGCTGGTGCCCAAGGACTGGGTTAGGGAAGGTCGCGGAGGATCTTCAAAGGATTGTATGATTCGAAACATGAAGTCACGATTATATGTACTAGTATACTTTAGCATGCTGCGGGGGACCAGCTGGGCAGGTATTGATGGTTGTGAAGCCATTCGTGGACGGATGCACCAATATCACCGGGAAGCAAAGATGCACCGCTACAGACATGAATCCACAGCAATTGGAAATAAAAAATCATGAATCCTGCTTCAATTTCTCAAAAGACGTGACTTCTACCGTCAAATTCCCTGCACACCTACACGTCGCTGTGAGCAATCACCTCCACGATTCCACCTCCGAAACTCAGCTCGACTTACTTCCGAAACAACCTGATCACCGGCTTACATACGATCCTCCGCGTCACCGCATCGCCTGTATCCTGAACCGCCACATCGCAGTTATACTGCGCCATTTCCATCAACGGGCATTCTTCGAATTTCAACGGAACCTTGCGCACTTTGCCGTCCCGGGACACCGCCCAGTGCTGAAGTCGTTCGGGGAGTTCGGACGGGAGGAAGGCGTCGGGTTCGATGGGCATGACGAGATTTGTGCTGGTCTGAAAACGAAGAAGGGCGAATCAAGATTAGGGAGGGGAGAAATGCGTCTTGGTTTGGTTATTAAGAGCTAGGACGTGCGGTAGAGATGAGCGTGGAGGAATTTGGTCGGAGGGTGTTGGGAGAGGTGAAGGAGACGAATCTTGCTGAGGTGAGCTGGAATTTCGATATTGGAGATGCCCCTGAAGTCACGAAGACGTAAAATCACATATTCTTCTCTTTGAGTTATAGCTTTCTCAAGATATTCGTAAAGCTCGGGGCTACATCATTCTGCCTGCATAAATTTTATAGATCCACATTCTAACATCTCCCAGCTCTTCGCCATCGCCCTGAACCAGCTCCCCCCCTCTCCTCCACCACCACCCACCCCTTTCCACCGCCTCCTCTCTCGTATCGACCACCCCAAACCTCCTTCAGGTTCCTCCCCCTCAGAGCACCCTTCTCCAGCTGTCATCTCCCTCACGTCCCTCACCCCCGAGTCCGGAAAATCCCACCTCATCTACCACCTCTTCACCCACGCCCTCCTGCCATCCACGTTCAACGGTATCCCACTCCATGGCGCCCACTCTACCGCGGTCCTCCTCGATACGGAAGGCAGCTTCTCAGCGATACGTCTCGCGCAGGTGATGACACACTACATCAAAACGTGCGCTCAATATACGCCCCCGTCTCAGCCTCCTTCCCAAGGCCCTTCACTCCCATCAACTCCCACCAACAACCATCCCACTCCCACCAATCTCCCCACTGAGCATGAACTCGACTCCTTAATCCTCTCATCCATCCACCACCTCCACATCTTCCGCCCCCAATCCTTCCCCTCACTACTCGCCACTGTGCGTGAGCTGCCCACGTATCTCGCGAACCGGTCCAACCACGACTCTGCGGGCAGAGAGCTGTGGGGTGTAGTGTTGGATTCCGCGGATGCGTTTGCGTGGGAGGTGAGGGCGGAGTTGGAGCGGGAGCGGTTCGAGGAGGTGGTGCGAGAGAAGTTTGGGAGGGGTGTGGAGGGCGAGGACGAGAGATGGCGGGAGGGGGGTGAATGCCGGACGGAAGTGATTGGGGGAGGAGAAACGAGCGAGGCAGAGCGGGACGCAACTGAGAGCTATGGCGAGCAGATCGACCAACCCACCCGAAACCCACCCACCGACAGCGGCAACCACCCCCATCCAACCTCATCCGCAAAACCTGGTCCATACACCTCCCTCCTCACCGCCCTCTCCCACCTCTCCCGTCGCTACCGCTGCCGCATCATCACCACAACCTCCGCCACCCGCCACCTCTCCCCCCCACCCTCCGATCCCCGCCTTCCATACCAACGCATCCACACGCTACGCTCGCCGCTTCCGGAGAAATGGAACGCGTGGCATAATGTCCGCGTATTGATTGAGCGGGAGGCATTGGGGCGGAGGCGGGTGAAGAGCGTAGAGGAGGCGAGGGAGGAGGAGGGGAAGTGGTTGGAGCAGGGGAGATGTGGGGTGCTAGTGGGGAGCGATTGGCGGAGGATGGGGAATGTCGTGGAGGGGGGTCATGGGAGGTGGGAAGAGGAGATAGCGGGGCCGGAGGAGTTTTGGGGGGAGGTTGGGAGGGCGCAGAGAGGTTGGGTGATGAGGGTTGGGAGGGAGGGGGTAGAGATTGGGGTTGGGGCGGATGAATAGAGAGAAGGGGGTAATGGGTGATGGTATGAGGGAATGCATGCACATGATGCTAAATGGGAGGGTACATGGTGACACAGGTAGTGAACGATGAAACGATACACGACGCTTACGACGGATGTGCGATGCACGACGTACATATTATCTGATGTATGTGTATCGGAATGTAGAGTTAGGTGATTATTGTACATCCATTATGCCGAGAAGAACCCAACAGGACCGAAGGACCTCTCTCGCGAGGGTGGAGATTATCGACAATTAGGTAGGAAAGGAGAACCCTGGCTCATGCGCAGATGGGTATCAATGGGCCGTCTCGTCATGCGCATCCAATGTCAGGTGTCGCCAGAAAGTGCTGCAAACCGGAAGGGAGAAGAAGGGACGTAGGAAGGGATTGTGGCGGAGGCCGTCATGGCCACCAATTCATCTTCTTGTAGCTTTCAATCACCGCTTCCACTTCGGTTGTTGTCAATTGCGGATGGTCGTAACTAATTTCCAGAAATTAGCCGGGTCCTTCATCCGTCCGCTCTGGTTTCGCAAACTATTGTAGATCGATGGGAAATGAGGAAGGAAGCTCACCTAAACCCCGTTGCAATCTCGAACGCGCTCCCATCCAAACTCAAATCCGTGTCTTTTAGCAACTCCTTCTCCATGTACGGATTTAGCGGCGTCGCCTGTGTGATATTGGCCTTCATCTCCAGTTCAGCCCACGGATCCAACGTCTCGTCATTCACATCCTCGACCACGCTGTCAAGGTGCATACGCGCGAACGTAGAAATGATATGCCCCTGGAATCCGGTCGGAATCGCGAAGATTTCGTGAACGATGGTGGCGAAAGTCCCTTGTGCTGTACTTTTCATCAGCTCGAAGTTCTCAAAATGGTGTGGACGTGGAGATGAAACTTACTCGTCCCACCATGATCCACGATATTAAAAATCGGCGCCGGCTTCACCTCTCCCTTCTCCGCATACCACCCCGCCGCCGTCCACAACGCCCGCGCCACGTCCTCCACGTGCACTGTATTCTGCCGCAGGTCTTTATCCCACAACCACTTCATCTCCTTCTCCAAATACTGATACACCCGCGCCATGCACAGCGCCGTGCTCAGATACTTCGCCGTATACGGCCCATACACGTGCGCCAGCCGCATCACCACCAAATTCAGCCCCTCCACCTTCGCCAGGTCTTCTTCGGCCTGAAGCTTCCACTTGGCGAGCTTCAGGTATGGCTTGACCTTTGCGTTCTCTTTTCGTGGCGCAGGGTCCGGTTTGTACACCATGCCGGTGGAGAGCTCCAGGAAGCATTTGATACGCCGCTTTGCGGCCTCGCGGCCGAGGGATAGGGAGAGGTTGTAGGAACGGACTTTGTAGACTTCGTCTTCTTGAGCGTAGCGGGTGTCGCCGCCGCAGTTGAAGACATAGTCGAATTGGGCGTCTGAGGGGCGGTCGAAGATGCGGGAGAGGTTCTCTGAAGGTCAGGAAAAGGCGATGTCAGCTTACGGACGACAAATGGCATGTTTCGGTGTACACCAAAATAAGGGATCGGGCGTAGTAGGGAAAGTAGAGATTGGCAGACTCACGTTCTTGAGAGGCATCTGCCTGCATGAAGTTGTCTTTCGATACGGCTTTAGAGAACTCCGGGGCTAGCCAGGCGAGTTCGGGAAGCTGCTTGTCAACGAGGCGGACTTCGGAAGCGAGGTGATTATTGTGGATGTGTAAAGCGAGGAAGCGGCCGACATAGCCTGTAGCAAAGTAAAACATCGTCAGCGCTGCTCAAGAAGAACTCGTTTCATGTCGTGGAGATGTATATCCGTCGATTGAACGTGCAGCAGCATGAGCAGTCTTCCCAGCGAACTCGACGCTTCAAGACGAATCCATGGTCTGCATGTATGATCCCTCAAACATGAATTGAATCAAGCACATACCCAAAGCTCCAACTATCAGCACCGATGGCTTCGTTGAACAGGCGCCGTCGTTCTGAGCATCCGCCATTGCTCGAGGTTCACAACGCTGGCTTATTTACTCGAATAAGGGTATCGTCCAATATTTAGATGCTCACTCGCACAGAAACAAGATCTCAATGCACACAACAGCAAAGAACAACAGGAAGGTAACAGTAGTATTAACAATGAGGGGTATGGAAGGTCGTACACAACAATGATGGCTAACCGCGACAACGTATTAGCAATTGGAGGAAAGTAAGATACGTCAAAGACGGAACTAAAAAGAGGGGGATTAGCGCAATGATATGCACTTGCGGATAACGGGAAATGGGACATGCGACATGCAAGTCACGCATCCACGACGCTTTGAAGGTCGTAATCAAACATTGACTCGGCAAGGGTCATCACCAGATGCAGCCACAATTGGGGGAGAAGGAAGAACTACCGAGATGGATGGTCAAATCTGGCCGATTCGGTGGTTATTGTTGAATATTGAATAATTGAACCGATGAGAAGGCTACGGAGTCTATACTGGCTTGGTGGATGGATGATGGTGGTTGAGAAGACGGGAGATAACTCAGATCGGTGCATCCGTAAGGCATAGATCGAACATATGGGACTCTATTTGCTTGAAACCATACATTCAACCCTTCATCCTTTGCATCTTCCAACCACAGTTTCTTTCCCCCGATCCCTAATACCCAGTTGATATGCATGCTTATTGCATGATCTGTGCCGTGCAGGATCAGGATACAGCGCGGAAAACTGAATTCCCCGCCCCTGGAGGCCGCATTCCGGCATACGATGTGCAGACGCCACTGACATTACACTCCATTTAGCGAGCTGCCGGTGCTCTCCCATGTCCCCATTTCAACCAACTGTATCGCCTTATTATTCGACTATCGACGCCCGCCAGGGGCCCCCTCCGAGACCCAGACCAACCGGTGCCATGCCTAGTTAATCCATCAGCACCGGCATGGCCCCGATCTCCAGGTCCATCCCTCCCGTCCGTTTCGGCCCTCGACGGGTGTAACAGATCCCCCGCTGCCCTGAGACTCCACCGCCAGTGGCGTCCACATCCTCGCTTCGTGACACATCTCGTGATCGATTACCTGGTCGATAGCCCATTGTGTTCTACGGGACCTGCATTCGTGGCTGGAGAGGCGTCAACTGATCGTTGTTTTGACCCGGATAAATCCTCAGATGGGGTTGTTTAAGCGGTTGGATCCATGACTCTCTCCTGCTGGATTTACATCGATGATCTAATGGATTCAATTCCAAATATTGTGATGTTTAGTGCGATCTCCTCCTCGCACCATCGTCCACGCTAGAGTATGGATAGCGGAAGCAATCTCTGATTTACACACGGCATTTCGGCTGGTCCCGCGGATATCAGTGACGGCGTCCCTAGGCTTCCAAATTGTTTCTTGACATTTGCTTAGAATATTGATGTTCACGCGCAGGCTAGTTCACGTTTCCCATTTCCCTTTTTGAGTCCCATGCACACATTGTTGATTGCCAACGGCCGTGCAGAAAGCAGTATATTGCGTTAGGCTCAAGCTAAGGGGTTGGTCGATCATCCGAAGTAGATGACGAGACAACCTGATGCCATGCATAGTGGATCTACTAGTTATAAAATCACCTCGAAGATTAGAAAGATAAGTGAAATGTAGATGAATTTCTCATACCGTTATCGTCGGAATCATTTATCTTATCACTCGAGCTGCTGCCCCAGCCACGCCCCAAAGGGCTTCGGATACACTGGTTTCCGGGGTCGATCTGTTGGGTTCCCGTGTAAAGCAGCCAAGCAACAAAGGCGTCAAGCCCACCTCCGCAATGTGGCAGAGGTTAACAAGAGTGCGTCGGACCCAATACTGAAATGCGGGGAATTTATCTTTCCCAGCATTGGAGCGTCATGGCTGCGCCGCTACCACCTCTATGTGCCCGAGATGCGGATGATGCACTGATCATGGCAGGGGGGCATCAGATCGGTGATGACAGTAGAGCCATCCAGCCAGGTGAAGTCCGGTTGAGCAACCGTGAGATCCTTGGCCTTGCCTGTTCATTGTTTAGTAGCTCAGGTCTGCCAATGTCCATGGTCGCCTGGGACAGAGGAGTTTTCCTTCTTTTGACTTAGCAGATGGAGATAGAAGGACTGCTCCGGTTGATCTCCTTTCTAATGATTGCTGGAATCAGCCACAGTTATAAGATATTCAAGTTAGAGTGTTTCTTCTCTATCCCAGTTTTGACTATAGTCTCATAAAGCCTATGCCACAATCAATCGTCGTCACTAAGTATCCCTTAGGTAACATGCAAAATAGCTTTGACCAACAAAAAGAAAGCAATCCATCTAATATTTGAAGTTCGCCGGTATCTGGTTGTCCGGATCGACAGCCCGAGAACTATCAGGCTGATATACACCAAGCCGGATCTGAGCCATATGCTTTGCCTAGAGAAGGATGTGGGCAAGATGCAACGATCTTCGACTCTACGAGATTAATCTAAAGGGAATTAACACAAGGCAGAGCAATTAGAGAGCTTTCGTAAGTCCTTTGTGTTGAACAGAGCACATAAATACTACACTGCTGTCAACCTACCCATCTATTTCCTGGTAAATCACGCCTCTTGGAGTGAAAAAATGAAATTCTCTATGCACGACCCTTGTGGTTACACTTCAAATCATAACCCGTCGAACGGATCCCATCAGGCATCTTCTTCGACGCAGTCTGGGTTGGGAATGACCATGATTCAACCGCTGGAAATGAAGGGCTAGCAAAAGGCAGCCAGCCCACCGTCCCGTGCTGCTGATGAGTCCACTGCCAGCAAATCGGACGAGCGTCTAGGAATCGATTACCATATCACAAGCAAGTGGACTAGCTTCGTCGCCGTTGAGAAGACAAAGATGGTGGAAACATATGCTCGGCTATATTGCGCCCCCGCATGACGAGCACGCGATGCTACCCGAATTTCGCAACGCACCCGGCACTACGATCGAGATGACATTGTATCGCCGCATGCCACGGGTTCTTCATAAATGGAGCCGAGAAGGCAGGGATACTCGCCGTATGCGATTATGCGTGGATGCCAACGACACTCTCACGCTACAGGGTATAATTTCCGGCCAAGAAGCATTCGGTGAATTTGAACTAGGTGATGAGCAACAAAGCATCTGGTCCTGGAAACAGATATGTGTCTTCAACGAAACCGTTACCATCATTCTTGCCCTTCGAAAACTGCCAGATGTGGTCCTGAAAGGTATCTGCGGGACATCACTACTCACGGTATATACCAGGAACAAGTTTCCGGAAGGCAAGGAGCTATGGGAACTAGTCATCAACAAGGCAGAGCGATGGCTAGCTACGGCAGTCCCTGACGAAGATACTAGAAAGAAAATTTGAAAGGCCGCCGAGGAAGCACAGAATTGGAAAGCAGGCGACTAGGAGTCCACGGAAACTTTCCTGGTTGTGATGGTTGACGGCATTCTTGCAATCTCGATTGAGGTGATATTGTCCTGTCTTGCTAAGACAGCGAAGAATTGGAACGGGAAATTCGACAAAGCATACGTTCAAATATGGACTTTACTTAGCATATATTTAAACAAGACGGCCTTGAGAAATGAAAACTGGCTACGATGTGCAGAATGAAGTTGACGTTGATGCAAATAGTAGACTCGTATTCAAATGTTGGCCGTGTAGCACTCAGTGAATACCCCTCCACGCGGAAGATGCGTTGGCAGATTCATTTATCCTTCAAAATGGTATCAAACCATGGTAAGATGTAATAATTCAAGCAAGGAACTACTTCAATGGTATGAAGGTGATAGAAGTGGAATGTAATGAAGTGGTTTAGTTAGCACCATGAAGGCAGAGATGTATTAGGGGGAGAAAGCATCGGAGAATGTTCGGCTTCAATTTCAGTCTCCAATATCAGACATCATCGATATTCTAATCATAAAACTTCCAAAATGCCATAGAACTTGCGTTATACCACAACTGGACTTCATGAAAGGGGTGACAACGCTGAGATGGCTCAAGTACAGCCATACAGTGCCTGTCCGTGTCTCACGAGGAGTGGAAATACCTAGACTATGGCGACAAGCCCGACAACGATGTCCCCGTCCATACAATATCCAACAACTCCGATATAGCTCTAGTCAGTATCCTTTGCTAATTCCAATTGACCATACTAATGTCCGATATATAGGTCCTAGGACCCCCTCCACTAACCCCTCAATCTCTCCCATCCTCCTCACCCGCGCCTCATCTCTCGTGTCCGAACATGCGCGCCTCACCACCCAACTCTCCGCCTCCTACGACCTCCCCACCGCCAAACGCGTCGGCGAACTCACCCCAATCGCCAGCGCCCTCACCTCGTACCAATCCGCCCACGAAGCCGTCACAACCCTCGACTCCTTCCTATCCGACCCAACCACCGACCCGGAACTTCTCCCCCTCGCTGAAGCAGACCTCCCAGACGCCATAAACGACTTCAAAACCAGCACGACCGCTCTCCTCGCCTCCCTTCTCCCCCCGCACCCATTCGGGAACCTTCCCTGCCTGCTTGAAATTCGGCCCGGCGCCGGCGGGCAAGAAGCTTTCCTGTTCGCGGGGGACCTGTTCCGGATGTACAAAGCCTACTGCTCCGCACACAACCTCCCCTGCACGGTTCTCAAATACGAGACGGCGGATGGTATCTCCGATCCGAACGGCGCGGAGGCACCTCTACAAGAAGGCGTGATAGAAATCGGGCAGGAGGGCGCATACGGTTTACTACGGACTGAAGCCGGCGTCCACCGCGTCCAGCGGGTCCCGGCGACCGAGGCGAAAGGTCGGACCCACACGAGCTCCGCAGCGGTGATGGTACTCCCGAGTTTCCCAGCCACGTCGACCGGCGAAGAAGGGGCGATCGACGTGAACGACCCGAACAGCGACTACTACGTGGACCCCAAAGAGGTCCGGACGGACATCATGCGGGCGAGCGGGGCGGGCGGCCAACACGTGAACAAGACGGAAAGTGCGGTGCGGTTGCTGCACGGGCCGACAGGGATCGTGGTGTCGATGCAGGATTCGCGGAGCCAGCATCAGAATCGGGAGAAGGCGTGGCAGGTGATGCGGGCGCGGATTGCGGAGAAGCGGAGGGAGGCGCGGGAGGAGGAGGAGGCGAGGTTGCGGAGTAGTGTTATTGGGGTGGCGAAGGTGGGGAGGGAGCATAAGGTGCGGACGTATAATTGGCAACAGAGGAGGGTGACGGATCATCGGAGTGGGTGGAGTGAGCAGCGGTTGGGGAGCGTGTTGGAGGGTGGGGAGGGGTTGGAGGACTGTATGAAGAGCGTGAGGGGATGGATGATTGAGCGAGAGGTGGAGGCTCTAGTGGCAATGGATGAGGCGCAGGAGAAGGGGAAGACGAAGACGAAATCCAAATCCAAATCGAAGTAGATGTAGGAGATGGTCCGGAGTTGAATAATGTACGGACTATTTGTAGTTGGAAGATACCCAGGATCGTGGCAATGTAGTCACATTGTACTTAAATATCCCCGCAGGCGATCTCCATCGCCCGTCTTGTAACAATAGATGAATCCTCTCATGAAGAGCAACTCATAAACATATAGTCATGAATCCTTTAGAATGAACTCCCTTCTGTCACCCGTCACTAGAGACCAATTCATCATGGGTATATATCGAAGCATATCCTACCAAGAGACCAAAAATGAACTCCCATCAACTCGCTAGAATGCATTCCGAATCTTCGCATACAACTCCGTGTCCAAGAAATTGTAGTGCGGATCCGAGAAACAGAACGGTGCGCGAAGCAACGTGTCCGCTGTAGGTCGATCACTCGGGTCGCTGTCAAACTATCAGTCCGTCGTCCCAGAAATCCAACCGGAGGAAAACACTCACATAGTAAAGCAATCCAACATGAAGCTGATCGCCCCCGGGCTAATCGTACTGCTCACATCATCCGGAATCGGCGGCGCCTGATTCAGACTCCCCAGCTTATAAATCGCCCCGATCGCCTCCTCTTTACTCCACGGCCTCCGTCCCGCGAACATCTCCAACACCACGCACCCCAGGCTCCAGATGTCGACCTTGGCGCTGTACCCCTGGCCCTGGCTGCGGATGACCTCGGGCGCCATCCAGAAGACGGAGCCCTGCATGCTATTGGTGACATCGTTGCCATAGATGTTGTCGGACTTCTTGGAGATGCCGAAGTCGGAGATCTTGCACGTACCGTCGAGGTCGAGGAGGATGTTGTCGGCCTTGAGGTCGCGGTGGAGGATGCCTTCACGGTGGAGGTACGCGAGCCCTTGGAGCGTCTGTCGCGTCAGCGAGCTGACGACGCTTTCTTCGAACTTGCCATGCTTGCGCAGGCAACTGCCGATGCTGCCGCCGGAGATGTACTCGAGGAAGATGGAGATACTGAAGTCCTTGCGCTCGCACCCGAGGTAGCTGACGATGTTCGGATGGTCGAGATGCTGCATGGTTTCGATCTCCGTGTCGAGGCTGCGCATCATCTCCTTCATCCTTTCTTTATCGGAGCCGGCGGCTTTCGTGTTGACCTCGACTTGCTTGACGGCGATGAGCTCGCCGGTGGTCATGTTCATGCCCAGGTAGACGCGGCCAAACGTGCCCTTGCCGATCAATTGGCCCTTCATCCATTTGAACGTGGGCTGCCGCTGTGGGACTGGCAGGGTATCTTGTGGGATGGTCTCGAGTTGGAGGAGTCGACTTCCGCGCGGCGGACGCACTTCCTCCAGCTTCGCGCCGAACATCTTGGTGCTCTTTCTCCGGACAATCGCGCCACTCGCGGCAGCTTTGAGGGTGGCGATTCGACTTGGTCCTGGACCCGGCATATGCGTCCGATGTTCCGGTTGCTGATACGCCCCCTTCACGACCTCACGAATACTCTTCGTCCTCCCCAATCCGCCCGACTTGCGAACATTCCGCTGCGCGACCGACTTCAATGTATCGCCGCGCCGCAACGTACTCTCATCACTCAACGCCGTCTCCTCGTCCGCCACCGGCGTCGGGCTCCGACCCACCGGTTCCTTCGAGCCTTTCCGGCTCATCTGCTCGACCGGGCTCGCCGGCGGGCTTCCGGATGGCTCGAGCATCTCCTCGTCGAGGACCGGTTGGTCGAGGTTGACGTTCGGGAAGAACTCGTCGAGGTGGGCAACGAGCGCTTCGGGGGGAGGGCGGTTGGCCCAGAGGTCGCTCGCGAAGGACTCGCGGCGGTTGAACATGTTGGGTCCCTCGGGTGTCTCGCCGCCCGAGGCGCTGTGGGTGAGGCCGCTAGATGGATCTCGCTTGCTCGATTCGGCGGATTCCGGTTTTTGAGGGGAGTTGGTCCGATTGCTGCTGGATGCACTGGGTTCATTTGGAGTGAATACCGTGACTTTGCCTCCCGTATTGACGGTTAAACTCGGGCGGCGGGGATCTCGCGACGAGCTCTTCTCCGGGATGTTCGGAGGCTGGCGGCCCCTTAGTGGTTTTGCGAACAGATTGTCATCCTCATCAGAGTCGGTGTCATGCATGGGCACAGGAGATTTGTCAAACGTGATTTTCGCCTCAACGAACTCGGTATGCGCTCCTGGCGTCCGACCACTGCTCATCCTCTGGATACTGCTGGCCTTCTCCAGCGTCAACGTCGATTGGCCGCTCGGCGGCGTTGCTGTGCTTGGACTGACGTCCTCACTCTTGCCCCAGCTGTTCTGATCCGAATCCGCATGTTGTTGTCGGATCTTCGTGACAGCCGGATTGACCAGCGGCATCTGAATGCGCAACTCGGGTCGTCGGGGATGGGTTTCAACCACTTCGCCCTCTTCGTAGTCCGGAATCTTGAACGGAATATTTCCCCTACTCCACGTCAAACTCCCCGGACTCCTCGGCGACCCTGATGGCGAGCCGTTGCGCGATTGTCCGGTCTGGCTCATGACCGTCGCCATCGCCCTCTGTTGCTTCCCATTCTCGCCTAGTGATACGCCGCCCTCAGCACCGTTCACTTCGCGGAACGAAGACGCAGCTCCCTGGTCGGGTCGTTCGCCGCTCGAGCGCTTCTTCCGCTCTTCCTCTTGCCAACTCGACCGCGCCTTCACACCCGCGTTCCGAGTGAGCGAGTTGGCTTTCTTCACGAAGCTCGTCTCGCCCGGTGGGATCGGCGGGGCGCGCAGCGGGGTAAACTCTTTGCTGCGGACACTCCCGCCGCTGCCGGTGCTTGAAAAGGTGCCGGTGCCGGTGCCCGTCGATTCAAACGGCTTGTTTGACTCGTAAGGGCTCTCACGACCTCGATCGAAATCGATGACGCCCTGTCCTCGAATACCAGGACCGTCGCTTGGCGGCCTTCCATCTCGCTGAAGGGAATGCTGCTTCTTCTCGCGGTATGCCGCTTGCTTCGCTTCCGTCTCGCGGCGATATATCGCGTCTTGTTCGCGAAGATCCGCTTCGGAAAGCTCGCCGGTCGCATTCCACTGCTTGCTCTTGTCGATGGAATCGACGGCGTTCGAGATGCTCGTCAGCGCGTCGCCGCGGTTCGCAATGAGGGTAGACTCGGTGCTCTTGATTCCGTCCGGATCCACGTTCTCGGAATTGGTTCGGATCAACGCGTCGACCGGGCGTCCGGAGATGCTCGGTCGACCGAAAGGACTGCCGAGGGGGCTCGCGAAGCTGATACCCAGATCGCCGTTCTGCGTAAGAGTGCCGGATGGGACATGTACGAAGAGTTTCAATGTCCCTACCGAGTCGCCCAAGTTCTTCCGCGCATGCATCAGGAACTCATCGGTAAGTGCCTCGTCGTGATCTAGTAGCGCAGGCGCGGTCATGTGTAAAGTTATGGCATTCGAGAACGGCAGCCCTAAAGCTTCGCAGATGGTCTTCCGGAGCGACAATGCAGTGTCAACATAGGAGATATCGATGAGACGATAATTCCACCCATCAGGCGTGACAAAGATAAACTTGCGCGAGTCATCACGCTGCGGATACGTGAATGCTGCCGAGGCCCTACCGCTCCTCGATTCCAAGCTGGCGGTGTCGGGAGCATGCCTATTGTTGACTGGACTCGTTGGAGAATCCACGCTGCTTTCGTCCGGGCTCGGATGGACATCATCCTTCCGCTTGTGCCGTAGCACCTTACTAAAGAAGCCCGGCTTGTGTTCCCGTGCGCTCGCTGGCGTCTCCGAACCGGCGGACCGGCTGATCTCCACTGGGGGCGGGCGAGAGTTCTCATGCGCATTCCTGCCACCGTCCTTGCGCACAGGTGCTGGAAGACTCGTTTCCGAGCTGTTGCCTCTCGCGTGGGTGGCATAATACCTTTTACTACTGCTGGAGCTCATCGTTGGCCGCACGGAATTCAATCCCGGAGACTGCTGCGGACTGACGCCGTGTCTAAACGACTCCGCATAATTGGGATCGAGCTCTCGACTTCCACTTGGAGAATGCTTTCGACCATCGTTAATAGCTGCAAGGACTTCTTGCGTGTATTTGCTCCTCCCCTCTTGGGCATAATCGCGTGGAGGATTCCTGTTGGAAGACAGCCGTCTGAGGTAGGTAGCAGATGCGTTAGGCATGTATCCGCCCGGGCTCTCGTCCCCAGTGCCTGCGGTGGTTGGGGTCGCCGAATTGAATCCTGAGCGCCCAACACCGATATTTGGGCTGTTCTCCACCGTCCCGTCGGTTCCGGCACTGGCGGTCATGAGTCCGCTTTGTTGACTGGCTTGACGCCTGTGCAGCGTTCGGCCTGGTGCAGATGGTGCACTGACATAGCCGTTATCCACGATAGCTCTCACCAGACCGCGCAGCTTGCTCGCCTCCCCGCGGATCTGTTGGAAATCGTACGGCTTCCCACTGCTCTGGAACGCCCTGTTCAGTCGAGGATAGATTTCGTTCTTCCAGTATTGGAGCTTCTCGCGTCGGAGTTCGTTCCTGCCGAGATCGAGGAAAGAGGAGCCATAAATCCTCAGATCTTCGAATGTCTCAGACCATTCGCTCGAGTAGCCGTGCGCATTGAGCCATATCATCACACGGTCTACCGGCCACTGGAGGGCTGGATCGGCGGGGGATATCGGACCGTTGCTGGATGCACCAGCGCTGTGGACGCTTTCGGATGGATGTTGCTGGTATTGCGGGTTCGCCAGCGTCGCTGTCGGCGGCCCTGGAGAGACGTATGCTGAGCTAGAAGGAGGGAGGTTCAACTGGTGATTCGCTCGGGAGGGCGTCTGAGGAACTCGATTATATGTGCGATTATCATTGTACAGGTCATTATCATTAGGTGTAGTCATTCCGGTCTCGGCCGTCCGCGACGACTCCGTAGACGCCGAGTACTCATTGTAGGAGTGTGAATAGGTGGATGATTCCGAGTAGGTGCGGGCTTGGGGCTGGGTGTACAGCGGCGGTATACCCACACCGACACCGAAGGACTCTCCACCGGGGATATATGTCGCAGATGTGAGAGGGCGTTCTTCGGGTGGAGGTGGCAGCGATTGTTGCTGGTAGGTGGAGTATTCACGTGGATTGTAGGGTCCGGGTTGCGTCGAGTTAACCGGTATTGGATAGCTCTGTTGTCTGCCCCAGTAGTTCAGTGTGCCCGTTGGGCCTCCTGGAGGCGGTGGAGGTATTGACAGGCCATGCGACTGTTGTATTGGAGCTCGAGGAGGCGGCGGAGGTAGTGGTATGACATGCTGACCAGGTGCGGTCGACGTCGGAGGTGGAGGAGGGAGTCTCTGCCCTGGCTGATATGCAGGATGCATCGTGGTGATGGTCCCGTCTTAAACGTTGCCTATTCAACTCTGCTCGACCTGGTACGAGGTCGTGGATTGCGCCTTGGAAGTGTGGTGCTCAATACGCCAGTCTAGTGCTTCCAGTCTCTCCAAGACGCCGGTACAGAAGAGCCAACGCTGCTCTTGAAGTACAGCGCTATCGGATAGGCATTGAGCCTTCCATTTCCATGGTGTCGTAGGATTCGTGAACTCTCTGCACTTCGAACGGTCGGAGTCGAAGTAAAAGCAGGACTTCGGAGCTCTTGGCGCGAATGCGGCGATGCGGCGCTTCGTAGCAACGCGGAGGAGAAGGACGAACAAGCTCCGACGTACGCCTTGCACAGTGGAAGAACCGAATGGAGGAAATTAGAAAGGCGGTACGGAGGAGTAGAAGAAAAGAAGCAAGAGCTCGTATCTCCAGCGAAAGAAAGGCTAATAGGCGCATGGAGCGGAACCTCACTTGCTCTGGCGGCGAGGTTGCATTCACTCTTTGCTGCAGTTTCAATGGAGCGAGTCCGCTGTGGGGCGTTTAGCGCTTTCATTGGCTGTAACATCCCTGCAGCACCAACCTCCAAACTCTCCAATCCAGTGGTTGTCTCCTGCAGTCCCGCTAGTAGCAGTAGCAGTGTGAGTGAGTAGCTAGTAAACTGGTGGCACGTGCCCAGTCACGTGTAATAGACCTATTTATACTCCGCTTAGTCACCTCCTAGCCTGCTGCCAGTGCAGTGCTAAAGTTGAGTCTGATTTGACTTCAGTCAGGTTCCGTGGTGTATCACGGTCTCGCCAGTCGTCACGAATGCGGTGCGACCTCAGGAATTTGTAAATGCATCGTGATTATTGGTGGCTGGAGTTCAACCACTGCATCTCCTTGCATGATTGAAAGCCGGAACCAGCTTGCCGTATGGGCCTCTTCCCGCTTCACCCTCGATGATCATCAAAGCCCAAGAAAGGTGACCATGCACCGATCTCCGAAGGTGGGAATGATTCTATTTCTCATGCTGTCGTTTCGATTGATATCGTTCATGCTTATAGCCAATGCTGCTCTCCATAGGATGCCACTGCGACTCACTCCAGGTCGTGGTTAAGCACATGTCGTGCGTTGTTTGCATCTCCTTGCTTCTTGAATGCTGTCCGTCGTTCACTTTCCCATCCTCCACTCAATCTGCCTGGTCTCCTCGTCATATGGCATCGCGGCATTCAGTCCTGGTTACAGTTAGGTTTCGGTTTGTCCCTCGGCGTGGTTGAACCTACCACCGTGGTGTTGTGGCATGACTTCTTCCATATGTTGGTCAAACATCTTCAGATATGGTGAGATTGTGATCTCGATTCCCCCGAGCCCCCCCATCAAAGCGACGATAACCAGGAACTTCACCATCTTCCGCGGCTTTGGTTGCCCCTTCTCCTCGCTCTGATTCTTCATTCGCCCTTGCTTTTTTTTCTGTGGGACTTCATCATCCAGTTCATCCAATTCATCCATACGGCTAAAATACGGCTGGGCAATTCGTTCAGTGGACCATTCCCTGGCACGCCACGCCTCCAGTGACCTCTGGCCAAAAGGTTTGGATAGCTCGAGCGCAAATATCGCAGTCGCTGCCACCGTCTTGACGTCGGTAAACCACGGTGTTCGATCTCGTAGTAGCTTGGTGACCGGCTTCTGTTCAATGAATTTCGATGCAATTTGAGAGGATGAGGCGGCACCGAGAGCTCGTGGGATGGCACCGAGATCTTGGGGTGATGCCGTCTTGAAGCCAGAACATTGCGTCAATTGTACTGCTGGAGGTGTTAAAGGCGGAATCGCGCGTCGGCCTTGCGGTCTGATGAGATTGGATGACACCCTGGTGAGTCCGGCCACAGATGGATAGGTGCTGCGGGTGCCGGCCATGGCGAGGATATGCGGACGAGATGCGAGGTTGGCAAGAAGACGAGCCATGGTTGGAGAGATAGTAATGCTTGTGAATAAGTGTCGACAGGGCGGGTGATTGCTTTTACATTTACGATGGTTATAAGTTAATGAATATGAGTTATTATCGGTGAGTTCGAATGCAAGAAAATGCAGGTTGGTTCTGAGTGTTTATTTTCGACGCCTCAGCTACGGTACGGTAAGTGAAGTGAGCGTGAACCTGGAAATGTGAATGTTGTCAACCAAACATCACCATTCACCATACCACTCCTTCCATATAATGTTGCTGCCTCAGGCATTTATATCTCCTGACGACTGATATCACTGATTACTTCATGCCATAGGAGAGGAGTATCTAGACGGGATGCTTAGGGTATTATTGACTCATTACTGCCACTAACCATGAACATTCCCAGACATTATAAGATCGCTTTTTCATCTATGATATAAGTTAATTGGATCCTATGTAGTCGGGGCGTGACCTGTTCCAATATCCGCATCGAAGATGCGATATTTAGTGCAAGCCTTAGGTCCATTACTACCCCTACGACAATTAACGTAAGCACTATTTAATTGTAAGTCCCCGTTCCTCGCATTTTTCTACAAGAATTCTTATTCACTATTCTACTGACTCGGTATACCAGGCATACGCTTCGAGGCAAAGTAAACATTTCAGCACAACATATCGACCATCACCCCCCAACCTTAATCAATCTTCCCAACGTAAGCACTATGCATTTTATCCAATCTTGGTCCATTCCTTGTGGCTGCTCCATCTGTCCTAGCTATCCCCACGAAGGTTGTCCGGAGCGACCGGACTCCTTCCGATGACCCCAATAGCGAGATAGCCGAGTTGGTCTTCAAGATTGCAGAGAAGTGCGCTTCCAATTGTGTTACAGAATACTCGAAGAGTTACAAGGTAATTGCCCCACTCCAGTCTGCAAAAGCTTCCTTCTCCCTCCAGCTAACGCAATTTAAAGTGCAAGTGCTGCCGCTTTGTCGACTGCATATCCAGCGATGGGTCTAGGCCAGACCTTAGTAAGAAGCTCATGAGGCACAGTAGAACGTTGACATGTGGGATAAAGGCGGGGAAGATGCGAGTCGCATAGACACAGTACCTGACTTCTCCCTTACGTACTGATGGTTTTCTAGACTAACGATTGTAATTGCTTGCCCAACTGCTTGACAGGCGAGGAGTTAATCCAACCTACGTGCGATTAGTGCAATCCAAAGAATCATTGTAGTATTGGCCCGTGAGTTTGGTCGTAGCTGCAGGACTATTACCATAGTCAGTTTCCTTAGTGTCCAACATGGCTCAGAGTCTAGATGGCGGTTTCTAAGGGATAACGCGTGACTGACGGCTTTGCGCTTAATAAACGGGATCAAGAACCGCCCCTGACTGTGTGATATCAGCAATAGTTAGAAACTAGTACTCCTCGTCAACATCAATTTGACCCACACGTGCTCCTTTATGTTATTACCAGACCTTCATTCATTGCGGCACGTGAACCCCTATCATAATGATGAAACACTATATTTCCCCTACCTGCCCTCTCCCTTCGCCTTGCTGATATATATTCCTACATTTTAGTCGTCCCTCTCATACTCGTACTCTTCACAAACAAACCTTCCAGTTCTCAAACTCTCCAGAGAGCTTCTTTCAGAATCTTTTCAACGCAGTCTCCATTCTCACCCAGAAAATCGGAATCCTACCGTACATCATGCATTTCTCCAAGCTCCTTCTCTTCGCTATTAGCACCGCTGCTCTCCTCCTCCCTAGACAGGACCCTACAGACTCGATCTCCGACCTTCTCGATACCCCCGAATATCAATGTGCCATCGATTGCAAGGCCCGATACAACAATTGCTTCGCTGTGAGCCAGCTTCTGCAGTATGATTCTCCCTTCACTCATCATTAACCTTCCTTCAAATAGTCGCGATGCTGCGAATTGCCCTCGTGCGGAATGGGAGACCAGCAGTCATGTGAGGAGTTCAAGAGCCTTTGTGCTGCTCAGGTCTGTGGGGTGAGTGACTTCTGCAATGACGAACAGTCATGAACTGATAGGATGCTGATTATCTTCAAGGGTGGGAAGTGCAGTTGCTTGCCTCAGTGCGCAAACTTAGGCACAGGGCTTTGGCTCCCGGAGTGCAAGTGCTAGATGACAACTCTATTGGATCACTTGATGGGATATTTGGGGCACTTCACAGAGTGGCCTTCGGTGTATCCGTCATCTTCCCTCAATTTCACTGTTGTTCGACATCAAGCCTTTAAACAGCTCTTACTGAACTCTCTACGACCATCTTCAAGAGCTGTGCTTCCCAATGCAAGCACCATGCATCTCTCCAAGTTCTTCCTCCTTGAAGGCTCAGCCACAGCCACTCTCATTATCCCACAAACTGGGAACAAGGAGTTATAACGCTAGACACCCACACTTATGGAGTCGAGTAATGCGTGTGGTCAGTGGCTTGGAAATTATTAGTAGGGACCGGAATAAGTGCTAGTTGCACCAACAAAAGAAATGAACTTATGGGACAATGAGGCCAGTGACTGTGCTCACGACCAAAGAGGAGACTGGAAGAGTGAGGAAATACATGATAGTCGGGGAGGAAAGCCGAAGCTTGGTCAATACCGGTTCTGAATGAGATATTCAAGCTCCAAGAACATTCACAAGATGCCACCTACAGTAGGCACTGAAGTTGCATTCTTATCCAGGTTGCACTGTTAATGATGGATCATGCGCCGTACAAGCTCTTAAGATTCAGTAGTAACAGCAGCGTGGAGTCCGCCTCATTGAAAAGTACGTACTGACGTAATGAGCGCTGTGCCCACTGTTTGGAAGACCTCTAGTTCTATTCGATCTATCATTGCGTGGAACTTCACCATGTTATCTTCGACTGCTAGTTTTACTGCTACGTTTCCTGCTTGGCCCCTATCCCTGAGTCGCTGGTCCATGATTTACCCACGACCAAATCATTTGCTGCTAAATACCCGTCTCGAAGGAGAATAATTCCATAGACTCGCAAGGACGTCTACACCTTCTACTACATCAAATCTTGTTAGCCAGATGATGCTAACGCTTCTCTCTAAACGAGACGCTTCGGCCAGTGGCTAACTAAGGACTGGTAGAACGGCAAGTGTTGGCAGTGCTTGGGCATGCACAAACAATGAACTGGGGGGTTCAGCTGCAGCACTGTAATTTGAGGCAATACCAGGTGTCGTGAGGGCTTCGTTGGAGTGAAGGAAGAAGTCAAGAATGGCACCCTGCATTATATATAGCCAAGTCCCAATAACAGTAACTCAGCGTTCCTCGGAGCCAGTATACCTTCGATGCAAGCTATCATATCAGTAATTAGAGTGCTATAGATAATAGAACAGACGCGAGACCGCTCCCATCTCCATCTACAAGTGTTGTTCCTCCGCTCCGGTTCTCAATACGGCCGTAAATTCAATGCCACAACCCTTGATTATTAATCGAAGTACTTGAGGTACTACAATATCAATCAGAATCAATCGGTCGACTGGAAAAAACACCGTACCTTTTGAGTTCGGAGTGGTTGGCTAAGCAAAAATTCGGACCGTCAATTGAATCGAATTGTCTCAAATGCCTTGGTTCGAATTTGTCAAGTCATCGCAATACTGTCGTAAACTTTGGGTTTTCGTTAGCCAAAGCAGCGCTCAACCTCCTCCCGATACGGAATAAGTAAGTGACCATGCAGGTCTCTCGACGCATCCGTTGTGGCTGTATGTATACCCTCTGAAACCTCGTACAGTTGTACTTCGTGTTCATGAGATGGAATGCATCAGAAACCCGATGATTGGCACTTGGCGACGCCATGAATGCGCCTCACGAGGCGGTCAAGACGGGGGCTTCGCAAGGGAAACAGGTGTAAAAAGGAACCGATCCTCGAAGGCCGTGATTCTGAACCCATTTGGTTCTCTCCTCCAACAAGATGGACTTCTAAGTCTAGGACAGATAGATACTTGATCGATATAGGACGTATCACGCCGGTGGCAGCGCTGTCCTGTCATCATGGCACACCTGACGCCGAAGTTGACCACAGTCTTCACGGCTCCTCCAGAATGTTCGACTAGACCATTCACTTTGTACTCGATGAGGTGCCTGTACGAAGGGCCGATGTGGGACGCCACCTTCAATCCGACCTCTTCTGGTCAGTCGCTGAGCTGCACCGCTTCGGAGGTGATCTCGTTATATTCTCTCAAGAGTCTGGCGGGACCAGAGGAAGGGTTACTGATGATCATGGGCCAATGTCCGCATGGCTACACGACGATAGGCACTCGAGTTCGTGATGATGGGGGGATATATTTCACCTCTGCCATTACGACAGGTCTCACTGTTACTTCGAAGTCTTCTTGGATTTCGGAGCGGACGACCATGACCTATGTTCCTACCACATCAACTTTTACGTATACCGATAATTTCGCATTTCGGACTTATACAACCGCATACTGCTGCCCACCGTAGGTCTAATTCTTCGCGCTGCGATACTGGTTGAGCTAATGAGAACAGAGGCTTCGCAGGCGGAACCTGGGCGAACAACGATTTCCGCTGTTCTTCGACCATGAAGACTGCAGCCGATATGGTGATGGTGGTGACTGGCACGAGCTTTGTTACCACGACCACGAGGGTTAAGCCGACGCAGGTCGTGTATGATCGGGGCTACATCGTAACCTGGCACCAGCAAGATGTATCGAGTTTCACCTCCCCGCCGGCACTGATGACGGCCGACTCGCAAATCGCGTCCAGACCACCGAAACTCGAGCCGTGGGAGTACCCAGGAGGATTCTCTGCTTACACGGAGGTTGGAGACTGCTATCGTGGACAAGCTCGACCGGGTGCCACCAATTCCCCCCATATCATCATTGGTCCACCAAAGGCCTCCGCAAGACTCGTAGGCGGAATCGTCGGCGGCGCTGTGGGGGCACTGGTTATCATCGTGGTCGCTTTCGTCATGTGGACACGAGCGAGGAAGAAGCGGCGAGTCCAGGCGGAGTTGAACTCGGACGAGGCCAAACAGCCTGCCGAGGGCGTTCCCGCTCTCCCGGGATACGGCACAGGCGTATTTCCAACCGGTTCCGGGCCCAGTGAGCTTTATGGCGTGCATCAACCGATAGAAATAGGCGCTGCAAATCCACTTTATGAAATGCCGGTAACGCCGGTCGAACTGGATCTAGGCAGGAACGCGCAGGTTTCCCATCATGGCCCCGAAGGTGGACATAGAGCGGGATGAATCAAGAGAAGAACAAGATTGGTGCCATGTACAACCAGACTTTCAGCTGTTGTGATTGCTTGAGAATGAGACTGGAGATGAGACCAAACAGCACACCAAACCTGGGCTAGTGCTGCGTGGTGAAATTCAGCTCGCTAAGCTACACAGAAGAAAGAAAGCTACAGGGAGAATAAGTAACTCGCTAAGATTCCAGGCCAGTTTTAGGGACGATACACTTCCGACTATCGCAGAACAAGAGATTCGACGAAAGACATTGGATTCTTCAGCGCGCTGGACATTAAGCTGATTAAAACGAACAATATATCATACAGGAGCCCAGTCTCTAAGGCGAACCGGTCCTAGCCAGTGTCTTCTCGACGAATTTATGGCCACGAGACATTCAGAACAGTCCAAAAGGAATTGATGCCGAAGAGAGGATATCTATGCATAGGTGTGCAGATAATAGAAAAAATAGCGAATGCTCGTATCCAGCTTGACTTCTAAATTGCGGGATGAAGGCGCCATTCGGACGAAACGCGGGGAGGGGGAAATCGAAACCCAGATCTCAGGCATCTGCCAGAGATAGTATTCCTTTGGAAACGTAGATAGCTTCTTAAGAACTGATCAAGATACGGATATCCAAACTACCCTCTTGTCCAGGTCGTGGTGTGCATCGCAATTCACATGGCATCGCGTGGCTCCTTTCGCCGACTCTTTCTCGGAAAATTGGGCGACCGCAACCCCTAATATCGTGTTCTTCTTCGCCTCGATGTGTAATACAGCGTAGTAGTAGTGCTCTAGATGCGCCGTCCAGCGCTCCACCAGCGAGTGGTAGGTCGAATCGTTCTCGGATGGCACATTGAACAGACTTTCGCTGTGATCGTGCTCGGCCGCCGTTTAAATTCGTACCAGTCTGTGGTTGACTTGTCGGATTCTGTACACCCCCAAGTCCCGATCAGACATTGCCTCCACGACCATTCCAGGCCCTGGAATCCGTGAAGCCACACCAACCAAATATCGAGGCTCGTCTTCGTCGTGCTTGCGCGGATAATAGGTCAAGGAGAAGCCTGCTCAACGCCGTCGACATTTCCGTCAGCTGCGCCGCAAGCCTTGCTTCCCCATCATCATCATCACCACCACCCTACGTCTTCGGTGCCGGTGCCAGATGCGTCGTATCCTGCACGTCCTGAACCTTCTTATATTCCTTCTCCAGCGCTCTCTGCATATCGAAGTCCAGTTGCCGCTCGGCCTTGAGCTTCTGTTGCTCGAGGTCGCGGATGACGCCCTGGTGCATGACCTATAGGGGCAAGAAGGATCAGTTTCGGGGTCAAGGGAGATGGGGAGATGGCGGGATCTTACGGAGCGTTCGGCGTGTTGGCCGTAGTGGACGAAGATGACGATGCCGATGGCAGAGAGGGAGGTGAGGGCGATGGTGGCTTTGGAGGCGGCGGACATGGTTATGGTTGAAGGGGCGGAAGGAAGGATGGAATGGAAAGCAATGGACGAAGATGTTAATATCTTGATGCGGTTGATTGATCCCGAAAACTCCGAATTCTTTAGAGATATCGGATTCCAAGGAGCTTGGGCCTGTGACACCAGTTCTGTGGGGCAACCCTCGTACATGACAACCACAACTGCTGGACATGCTTCGGATGCTTCAGGTTTACCTTTCTATATCTCCGATCCACGCCTCCTACGTTGCTATCTACACCATACAACCGTTCACTGAGGCCCCAATTAGCAATCATGGTCCGCACGACTCCCTCACCCCCATAGCGACCTCACTAACTCCATCCAGTCTGCCCAAAACTCAGCCGGCATTCAGACCCTCCTCGACGTACGCCTGCATCCCCATGTCCCATACGCACTTCTAACATCGACATATAGGCGGAGCGGGAAGCCCAAAAGATAGTTCAGAAAGGTCGGATCCCAGACTCCTCTCTCGTCCTTGCAAGCTATACTGACACTTCCTCCAGCGCGCGAATGTAACCACTCCTAAGGCAACCATGCAATGTCCGCCATCTAACGCATCCCTGACAGACCGCACCAAGCGCGTCAAAGACGCCCGGTCCGAAGCGCAGAAGGAGATCGAAGAATACCGAAAGCAGAAAGAGGGCGAGTTCAAAGCGTTTGAGAAAGAAGTATCTCATCCCCTCCCCTTCCCACACCCTCCCCCTTTAGCCCTCCGCTCCCAACACCCACCCAACCACCAACTAACCCCCTCCAGCACACTAGCGGCAACAAGAAAATGGAACAAGACGCCGCCGACGCTACCGAGGAGAAGCTGAAGCAGATCCGCGCCATCGGCGGGAAGAAAGGGGGGAAGGTCATCGAGGACTTGCTGCGAGCCGTGGTGGAGGTGCATCCGGCGCCGGCGACACAATGAGCGGGTGGGGGGAGAAGATGGACTTATTAATGGATTCTTGCGACGGGGGTTTCGTGTTCGAAGGGCAGGTTGTGGCGGCTGAGAGGGTCGGTGAGCGGGGCGGTTGATGTGCGATGGACGTGGCGGTTGAGAACGCTATGAGATGTTACGGTTGCCTGTTGTATGTCCGGTCCGGTCTGGTTGGCGACACACTGTACGTGGTGAGGAAGTTCTCTGGACGCTTTGAAGGCTGTTATTATCACGATAGATCATATGAACCGAAACGAACCACCCCATGTGCATACGTAAGAATCCCATTTTGCTACTGCTCCGCTATCCATCTGCCAGGAAGGATCCATCATAAATGAATCTTTGGTTGAGCTTCTCTCCCACACGCTCCGCCATGCATGCGTATTGCGTAATATCTGTTGTACACTCCATATCCCTTCCCCAATCCAAATCCCGAATCCCATATCCCAATCGCACCATGATAATATCCTACGACCGTCAAATCCTTCCCCTTCACACACCCCTCTCAAACCCCAATCCATCCTCACACCCGCTCCACAAGCCCCGAATCCCAGCTCCCCGATCTACCAAACCCTGTGCCCTCCACAGACAACCGCGACAAGGTCTAGCGGCGTACATCTGACAGTACCATCCAGGTAAGGTGAAATCGATCGATCGCTGTGGTTTCCAAACGACCACAGATAACGCAGTTCCAACCACGGATCCAAAAAAAAACGACCGAGCTCGACGCCCTTGTGCCCTTGTGCCCTCCACAGACTGCCGCGACAAGGTCTAGCGGTGTGCGTCTGTGAGTACCATCCGGGAGGCCGGGGTGTCCCGCGAAGAAGTTGTGATTCGATTCGTGGTTGTATTTTATTGTGGTTGTTGATTGCGTGCGATGCGGTGGTATGTGGTATATGTTGATAAGAGGACGACATATTGTCAGACGAAAAAGTGTGAACCATGTTGTGGGGCGTCGCCATTGCCCATGAAAAGCGCAGATATGATCGCGCAGAAACCGCTATGCAATGAATTGTACACCCCGCCAAACTAGAAGTAAAAAGAAAAAACATTTTTGGTGACACCGTGTATCAAAATTCACTCGTCGTGGATCTGAGCGCCCAGCTCAGTTAAGCATGTGAATTGTGCGTGTCGATGAAACTCCGCGCCGTCGCCGGATCCCGGAACATGAAACTAACCCTCTTCAACGTGCGCGGCTGCTTCGGATCAGGAATGCTACCGATCGCTGTCTTCGTCCCACTAAGCGCGAACTTTAACCCGACAGTGACGCGCGAGTTGAGCACCACCCGCCCGCCAGGAACAGTCTTCATGAGCATCTGCACAACGTTCGTGTCGGGGTTTTTAAGCAGCAGCATCGCGCCGCTGCCCTCGTCGACCCATTCCTTGGTCTTGGGGTCTAGGCCCTTCATCTTCGCGCGGTCGGCTTCGAAGAGTAGGTCGTGCCCGGCTTTGTCTTGTTCGAGGCCAGAGAGGTCGGTTTGCGCGTCCTTGGGCGCTTCGTCGTCGCCGTCGGGCTTGGTTGCGTCGGAGAGGCCGCCGTCGGTGGAAACGCCGGGGGTGGTGGCGCGGGAGGTGAGGCCGGATGGTGTGCCAGTCGGGGGAGCAAGAAATCCAAATGTGGATGGTCCGGATGTTTGCTGAGGAAATACATTGGATGACGGGGTCTGGTTCGACCCAAGCGCGGACGGAGTGGTTGCTTGAGCGCCGAATGCGCTGGGTGGGGTTTGGGCAAATCCAAATGTGGATTGACTGGATGGTGGAGCGCCGAAGGCGGTGGATGGTGTCTGATTAAAGCCAAAGCTCAATGGTTTCACATTCTGCGCTGGAGTGGATGCACCTTTCGCTGGAGAACCAGGCGGAGTAGTCGACGTCGACTCAGCAACGCTACCCTTGAATGCAGGTGGCCCACTCATCCCCCCAAATGAGGATGACCCAAATGCGGAAGCGCTGGTAGTAGTAGCAGGCTGGACAGCAGCAGAAGCCGCATCGCCAGCTCCGCCTTTGCCTTTGTCAGCATTGGCTCCGGCAGCCATGCCAAATGGAGCGGCAGTGCCGGTGCTGCGCCCAAACAGACTCTGCTGTGAAGAGCCTTGCATGGTACCGAATTTGATGGGCGAGTTCACCTTCCATGTATGATCGCCAGGTCCCATCGCTTCAGCAGTCTTTGCCGCGGGAGGAGATGAGCCGAAGTGCGAGAATAGTGAACTCTTCTCGCCGGTAGCTGCAGCAGTAGCTGCCGCAGGCTTCGCCGGGGTACCGAACATCGAGAGAGATGATGGTGTTTGAGCATTGTCAGGAACGCTCGAAAGCGGCGAGGATGTTGCTGGATTTGGAGTCCATGTCGACTTCGGCTGAGTGCCATCCGCCTTCTTCCCGGCGTCATCATATGAGACCCGATCGAAGAGGCTGCGCCCCGATGATGGAGCTTCCCTGGCTTCAGTACCAAGAGTCTGCACCGGCGCCGTCTTCGCATGTTGCGTGCTCTCACCGAGCTCTTTCCACGCCTCCGCCACCGCAGGCGACTGGCTCCTAAGTTCATCGCCTGGAATGACCAGGGCATCAGGAGAAGTGTTGTTCGTTCCGTCACCGTCATGCTCTTCGTCGGACGCCGAGTCGTCATCCTTGCTTGCGTCGGCGCCGGAGTCGACATCGGAGAGGTGCCCGAAAATGTTATCACCGCTCTTCGCCGCTTGCAGGCTCGGGTCGTCGAGGACGGATGCACGGCCGCTGGTGGAAGGAGTGGGGGTCCGGGATGGGGTGAAGGTACCCGCCGCACTGTCCTGCTTGCCAGAGAACGCGAAGAGAGATTGCGAGGTGCTCTGAGTCTTCGCGGATGCTTCGGATGTGGCATCGCCTTTCGTCTTCTTCGACTGCGGCTCGTCTTCATCGGAGGTAGGTTCATTCTCTTGGTATTCGTCAGACGTTCGCTTTCCCTTCTTCTCTTGAGAGGGTTTTGCGGCACCAAGGAAGGAGAAGCTCGGTGGCTGCGAAGCTGTTCCAGCTGCGGTTCCTGGCGCACGAGAGAAAAGAGAACTGCTTGGTCCAGCAGATGCGGGTTGGAACGACGGTGATGAAGCAGGCTGAGATTGGAACAAGCTACTCTTCGGCGCAGCCTTTGCCGGTTCAGTCGCCGGTGCATTGACTCGAGCGTTCTGACGGTTTTTCGCCGACGTGACGGCAGGCTGTGGCGTGCTGAAAGAAACACCGCCGGGACCGTTGCTCTCGGCAGCCGGGCTGTCAACAATATTTTTGAAAAGTGCGGATGTCGTTGACGCGCTTGGAGAAAACTCCAGAGCTTCGCTTGGAGTCTCCGTCATTTGTTTTCCTCGCTTCGAAGAAGGCTCCGGTTCTTGATCCTCGCTAGATCCCCGCTTCGAGCCCGTGGCCGGTCCACCGAGCATGCCGCGCACCTTGGTCGATGGGAGCGGTTTGGAGGAGGCAGTAGGATCGCGCCCAGCAGCATTCAACGCGGACCGTCGAGAGAGCTTCTTCTCCTTCATGTCACCGGTGATTTTGGACATGACGCGAACATATGCGACCATCGCTTTGGTCCAGTCTTGGTCCAAGTCCATCTTCTTGAGACGAGCAAGGAATGCTTTGTTGAGCTTCGTGGTGAGTGACTTCCTCTTCTCTTCGTCGGTCTGGGGGACCTGTTTAGGCTTCCCGGGAGTGAGAGTGGGCCGAGCGGGTGTTTGTTGTTGTTGTGGCATGAGCTGCTGTTGAGCTTCGGATGTCGCAACAGGTGGGGAGGGAACGGTGTCTCGCTGAGACGGAGTGAATGTCGCGGATGGCTGTGCATCTTCACTCGTGATTGCAGCAGTGTTAGGACTAGACTGTGCTGACTGAGATGCAGCGAAGATGTTCCCAGTACTACCCGCGGGTTTAGGCGTGGTTTCTGGCTGTGCCGTAACTGGAGCACCGAAAATGTTGCTGGGTTGATTGGTCGCGGACTTGAGAGTCTCAGCGCTTGGAGTTGCTTTCTGCGATGCGGAAGCAAACATATTGTTCGAAGCAGTTCCGCCGATGGCGGAATCCTTGTTCGGTGTTTGTGGGATGAATAATGATGGTTTCGGCGTTGATGAAGAAGGTTGAGCCGTAAAGCCGAACATGCTTGTTGATGGCGGAGCACTTGCAGCGGTGTCGGAAGCCATCGTGGGCTTTTCTGTCTCTGTTGCTGATGGTTTCGGTGTGGATGAAGAAGGTTGAGCCGCGAAGGCAAACATGCTTGTTGACGGAGCACTTTCAGCGGCGTCCGAGGCCATCGTGGGCTTTTCGGTCTCTGTTACGGATGGTTTGGCAAAGATATTGGATGTGAACATGCTCGGCTGGGTGGGTGCGGGCGAAGTAAACACCGGCTTGTTTTGATTTTGTTCTGGTGCGGGCGCGGTAAACATGGGTTTGTTTTGATTTGGAGTTTGCGAGAACCCAAAGATGTTGCTCGGTGCAGGTTCCGGCGTCGAGGAAACCGTCGTTCCTGTGTTTGCATCCAAATTCGATGGAGCTGAAGCTGGTCGGCCGAAAGCGTTTGCGAACATGTTATTTTGCACGGCTGATGTGGTGGTAGGTGCTGCTGTCGCGGGCTTGGGTGTGAACGTTGGAGTGAATCCAAGAGGTTGGCCATGACTTTGTGCAGGTGGCATGTTGCCGAAGACGTTGGTTTGCGCGTTCGCGGTAGAAGTGGTCGGAGTAAGATTCTGTTGGGATGCAGATGAGAACATACTGCTCTGTTGTGACGGTCCAGATCCGAACAAGCCACCTCCACTGGAAGATGCGCCGAAAAAATTTGCTGAATTCGTTCCCGAGAACTGTGCAGAGAAGTTCGAGGCGGGAGTGCCAATATTTGTTGTTGCTGAGGGCTCAGTAGATTCGTCCATGGCGGTGTCCGCAAAATTTGCACGTGCCAACACACCCGAAGTCAACACAGACGATGATTGTGCTGCTGGTGGTGCTGGCGAGCCGAAAAGCCCACTTCCAGTCGTTGCTCCAAAACCAGTACTCGATGTGCCAAATCCACCAGTGGAAGCAACTTGACTCGGCCTTGAGCTAGTGGTCGTTTGAGGAGCGAAACCAAACGCATTTCGTGGCTGCTCAGCGGTAGATGCTCCAAATGGAGAGAAGCTCGTTTGAGAACCGGTCTGGAATGGACTCGGTCTCTTCGCTGGGGATGAGGAAGTAGCAAACCCAGAATTGATCGTGTTGTTAGTAGGTCCGCCGATACCTGTAGTGCCAAATCCGTTGGTTTGCGGTGTCGACGTGCTAGTTCCAAACAGCCCGTGACCGGGTGCCACTGGGGCCGCCTCAGGTTCTGTTCTCGGTTGGGACGGGCCGAGGGAGAAAATTCCGTTAGAATTGGTTGCGGGCGCAGGGGGTTGCGCGGAGATGCTGGACGCAGCAAAGGGGTTCGCGGGATTCATCTGAAATGCGATAACGCCATTTGAGTTAGCGGGTCATCCTGATGGTGTCGTCGCTTGCGAAGGAGAAGAAACAGGAGTCCAGCGCCGGCTCTCGGCATCGGTGGCGTAGTGAGGCAGCGCCTCCGTCAGGTCCGAGGATTCGAACCCGTCCCTCTCCGGGGTTGGGGCCTCGTCGGCACTAACGAGGGACGCTGACAGCGAAGAAACGTCGAAGGCCCCGCCCCGGAGGAGGACGGTTCCGTAAAACAACCAAGTCTCTGATACGGATGAAAGGTTGGACGCGCCAGCGGCAGGAGGCGCCCCACCACCCGGAACGGGATGAGACCGTTGGCATTGGGCGGTCGGGTGGCGAGTTCTCCGGCGGAACCATGAGGACCTGGGCCATGGTGGACGAAAGCACGGACTCAGAAGGCGCCAAAGAAAACGCCGGACCCATCTAGAATGGTATAACACCATTCAGATGCTCCGGGTGAGAAGAGGAAGGGGGCAGAAGAGAAACAGGCGGATTTTGTGGAGGAACAGAAGGAGAAGCGACAGTCAGCGCGGGAGAGAGTGATGGGGCCATTTGGAATGGGATGACCCTGTTCGCACGCTGAGGGCGGGTAGAAGAATGAGCAGAGACCGGCGGCGCGGGAGAAGAAATTGCAGGGGCCATCTGGGACGGGATGACCCCGTTGGTCCTGGCCGGGCAAAAAGAAACAGAAACAGACGCTTGCGGACGTGGAGCTGGAGTGGCAGCCGGAGGCTGCGTGGGCGCAGAAGTAGAAGCAGGGGAAAGAGTTGAAGGGCTACTAACGGTTTGAGATGAACTGGCACCCAGTGCCGCCCCGGCGAATGGGTTCGAGGTTCCCACACTCGACCCGCCGAAGCTAAAAGAAGGGGCCGATGGGGGGATGTACTTGGACGAGTTACCGGCCTGCTTGTCGTCGTCTCCTGTTAGCGATAGTTGCGACGGTGCGGTGTAAGTCAACGCCTGCGGCACACGGTTTCCACGCTGCTCTTGATCCGCTTTCTTGAAGTAATACGCGTTCAAACGGGCAATTTCCTTGCAGAGCGTCTTCGCGTGGTTGCAATCGGCATGCGACCATAGACAGAAGCCATTCTCGTGATTGCATGGCACATGCGGCCATATATAGCGCTCCGCGAGGCGTTTCTCGAATTTCTCTCGAGCCTTCTGGTCCCACTCCTCGTGAGCGGCTTTGGTTTCCTCGAAGGTCATTTGGCGCCTGCTCTCTTCGTTATCATCGGGCCCGCGGCCCCTTACCGGTATGGAGTTGAAATCATTCTCCTTCGCCTCTTCCATCCCCTCCTGCTCCCGGAGGATTTGTGCGCCGACGGACAAGTGGCTGTCGATTGAAGTGCGGTCCGACTCATCGTCGCTCACGGCGGCATCTTCGGTGGGGGGAGCGGCGGCTTGGTGGACTTCTTCTATGGTTACGGAGGGGTCACCTTCAGCTCCCGCTGCAAGGTGCCCAGCGGCCTGTGTTGTTGCTTGCGTGTTGTATGCGTGTGTTGCAGGCGTTGACGAAGACGAAGACTCTGAGAATGTCGAATTGAACGCGGGGAAATTTGACGGAGGGTTGCTAACGGTTTGATTTGTTCCTTGCGACGTGTTCTGGCTCTGGCCTTCTCCTAGGGGTTTCCTTGGTTTCAACGGTTTGATTCTGGAGGAGATACGATCAGTCAACTGGACGCGAAGGATCTCATAAGGTATGCAATGAATTCGCGCCGGGTCTGGGTAAGAACCCCCGGTGAAGGTCATGTGTATCGCGTCCCACTCATGGCGCACCACCGAAACATCACGGTGGGATCTCGCGATACATCAACGCGGGTGAAGTAGTAGAACTCACCTTCGCCCAGCAAGTTGGGCAGCAGTAGCTCTGGCATTTGACGAGAAGAGCTTCGGCTCCTGAGGCGCATCGGGGTTGTTTTGGCTGATCTGGAAATCGGCCTGTCGTTTCCCCGTCATGATGTGCAGGTTGGCGACCGAAGTCCAGCAAGGGAAGTGAACAGAATTCGAAAAACGGGGCTGAGAGGAACAGGAAACGTGCTAGAGACAGCAACAAGAGAACTCCAATGAAAAATCCGGATGCGAGCAGCGAACGAGCAATGGAGAGGCAAAGATTTGGGAATTGTTGATGGATTGTGTGGAGAAGATCAAGTCGCGATGGGACATGGAAGTGGGTGGTCCGTGGTTTGATGGTGGACGCTTCGGGGGTAAGAGTATTAGAGTCGGAGATGTGGTGCACGGACGAAATGTGAATATTTAGAGGGTTTGATTGGTCAATAGCCAGCCTGACATTCAGGCATCAGGCATTCAGGCAAGCAAGGCAGCGACAAGAGCCTCAACCACGTGCAGGCAACGTTCCTGTGTTCATCGACGTCACCATAGCAATCAAGAAGCTGAATTCTTTCACTTGGTCCATGGGAATTCCAGGGTGCTTTTATTGTTCTGCAGACTGCATCAATTTTCATCTTCACAGTTCCAATTTGGCCAATTGAAAGGAAGAAGTGTTCAAGATACCGTAGGTCAGACTTAGCCAGGCATCAGGACTATGGACAGTCAGGAGGGGACGCAAGATCATTCCTTTGGAGTGGCATCCGTCCCTCTTCCCTGTCTGGATAGTAATTATGGGATACCAGATACGTGGGAAGATGATGGCTTGTTTGAATCGGCACTCATTTTTCTTTCCAGAGGGGTCAATCACAACGACATGGCGGTATATTGCGGTGTGCTCGATTGGAGGCACTGGTTGGACTGGCTTTATATTCAGCAAGTGTAAATCTAAGTTGTTTTACGTCTCTGTGAAGGTCCTCATTCAGAAGTTTTAAACTTACATGTGCATGGTATGAGACGCAAACCAGTCAATATAATGTTCAACTTAAGGGGTCAGGGGAATCCAAGACTACAGGGGCCAGCTAGATGAAGTCGATCCTGACCCTCCAGCTCAGGCGTTAAGGCGTCTAGCTCCCCCCACGGCCAGGCCCATCAGATGATGACGAGATCGGAATCAACAACATCGTGAAATTGTTGTCTGTTCATTTTCAAATCACCATCAAATCACCATTAAATTGCCCCGGAGTTGAGGAGGGCTCCTGACCTTCCCTGGCTTTAAGAGCGTGGGCTGAAGCTATTCCCAACAGTAGAATGTCGTAACGACTTCCCTCCTCTCGATTAATTCGGAACCATTTTACCGACTGAGAATTCCCGTAGCTGTAACAGCTTTGTATAACCCAAGATTGAACTGCTTTACCATGGCATCTGGAAACCATCACCACCAGGAGCGACCCGGAGGTTTTCTCCCCCCAATTCTTCCCTCTCCACCCGCCTCGTCTCCCAGCATCGCGCCATCCACCCTTCCCCATCCTCGGGACCATCCTCTAAAGGCCGGTGGCGCCAAAGAATCCCATCTCATCCGCTTTGTGGATCAGCGGATTCTCCACATCCAGCGGAGATATGCAAAGCGGACGGAGGGCGGGTTCACCGTCGGGCAACCAGTCGGCGAAGAGAAGGATGATACGAGGGGGTATACGAGCTTAGGAGAGGCGGCGACGGAGTTGGAGAGGGTGGTGGATGTGGTTTGGATCTCAGGGACACGTGGGTGACATGCGTGGAAATGGCGGAAAAAGCCGTATGGTGGCATCTTTCATTAACGATATTCGCAGCATCCGTACAAATCCCGTATCTCCTCAACCTCGCGCTGTTGCTATCAACCTATCTTTCCGGGTTTGCCTCTCCCCGCAGACTAACCAGCGTGCTACGACCGCTCTTCTCTGTCCTGGGCAAGCTGGATCTCGCGTTCGCCTCTCTCATTCAGGGCCGCAACGTCGAGACGGAGGAGCCATTGCCCGGGAGCGAACGAAAGGCGTCGCTTATGAACGGCACCGAGAAAGTCCGGCTGAAGAGCATCGTGGACGGCTCGCGGGTACGCGTCATGGAGATTGTCACGTCGGCCTACGTAGATGACGAGGACGAGGAAGAAGGGATTGGGATTACGGCCACTGAGACCGAAACGGAAGGGGAAGGAGACGGGCCGACGAGATACCATTCGAGTCGAGCGGATGATGTGGATGAGGAGATGATGAGTGATGATGAGCCGACGAGCTGGGAGATGGCTGCGGCGAGAGTATATGATCGGACGCTGGTAATGTTGGGAGACACGATTGGAGGGACTCCCATTGGGATCATCACGGAGGATTGAGACGTCCCTTAAGCACATCGGATATGACTTGTGCCCGGCTCCCCAGGTTGGTGGACGCCAACTTCCAGGGCTTCACGATGTTTCCTTGCTTGAAATTTGCATGTTGAATTCACCAGCGCTATGCGGCATTTGACTTCATGAGAAGCGAAGTGAATGTGGCACGCATGAAAGTGCAACTGAGGTGTTTCGTTGTTTCCTAATCTGGGGAGAGACGAGATCGTGAAGTCCCGTCGGCACACAGACACACAACACGATAACACACCTTCCATCTTGAAATCAATTTCCGCTGCCTTTTTTTCAATCGCTTCTTTCTTTATCACCAGGATACTCAAGCTACATTCTTCATTTGCTACCCTCAATTGCGTGGAAGTCAGAAACCACTGGATTCATCATCATGCCGACTTTCAATGCTAGGGGCATCCGTGTTCGGCTGCTCCATTCTGATCTGGTTTCGTCTACTCTGTCAGCCACCGAAGCTCAATTATCGACAAAGCGAGGCCCGGAAGTCTCCGCAAGGGAAGAACGAGGAACTGCAGCGCTGCTCAAGGGACACCCACTCTATGAGAAGCCGATCCCAGTGGGCCTTGATGCCGACGTGGGAGGAGCGCTCGGCTTTCTCGGGAACCCGGAGTGTCTCGATGTCCCTTTCTACATGGTCGTGGCCAGTGTTGATCAAAGGGAATCGCCGTCCCCGAATACGCAACAACCTACAGGATCAATCGAAGACGGTTCGGACATATCCCCTTCTCTAGGGCGGACGACACCCTCGGATCCTCAGAAGGGTATACGGCTTAGGATCACACACAAAGCAGCGCAGGCATTACTTCCCCGCGGACAGATTACGGAGAGGACCTTAAGCCCGAGTGTTCATGCCTTGTTGCTCTCGTTCAACCTGGCTCGTCCACACACCGCTGCCGGACTCCACATCCCACTGGTTTCTCCCCATGCAATTGCAGCCTGCATCTCCATCTCGACGAACAATCTTCGTCCCTACGGACAGCGCGACCTCAAAGTCATCACCTATCTCAATGGCACGCTTTCCAAGTGTTCGGTCTTGTATTCTAAGCATTTCCTACCTAAACTGAAAGCCTCGTCCACTGGAACGGACGGCAAAACGCCCCACTGTTTCACTTCCATTGCGGCAGGTCGACGGACTCATCATGCCGTGGAGCGCCCGTGGGTTCTGGTGCCGCCGGGCCTCGAGGTCAATGGGTCGCTGATGGGTTCACGTCAGCGCTCCCGAGTTCGGCAATCCACTTCTGAAGAACGCTGGGACCAAATCGCCCAGTCGCTGCTCTATGAAGCGGACAAACATGGTCTTAACGCATCCGGTGGTCATCCGCCATCCGCTGAATATCTTCAAAGTCTTGCAAGCCTGCCCATGCCGGAGGAGTTCGCGCAATTTCAGAAATCGGGAAGTCATCGTTTCGCCGTCATAGATGTCATGGTCGTCACAGGGAAGATCAAAGCAGGGATGGGCATTCGCACCCCTTGGTTGACCGATCCTGCAGTGTCGAAAGATCCTAGATACAATCGTCCAGCGCCCAGCCCACCAGTTCGGGAGAGCGAAAGGGAGTGCTGGGCAACAGTCCGACTGCGACACTGGAGGGAGAAGTGGGCGCAACGAGAGGCAAAAAACCGAGCAAAATCGGCTTTGCGAAACGGAGCAGAGCCGGAAAATACGGCTAATAACTCTGATGTTGATATGGATGCTGATAACACGATAATGGCCGAGAGTGAAGAGATCTTGGTCGATCGAAATCAGTCAAGTAGCATCACATCGGCAACAAATCGGGTCACCGACGAGGTCGCGTTGCTGCCAGTCCTTCCCTCTCGAACTGATGATAGCCCTCAGCCCATCGCAAATGCTCCAACCAACGATGCTGTGCTGCCAGACCCATTCTGCCTAGATCGCTCCACAGACGCCTCCCAGAAACCTGACCTACCCTCCAAGCAGTCTTTCACTCTCCATGGACCAAATCCGCTGCCCATCCAGCCGCCACCAGCAAGCCCTCCTATGAACCTGCGCAGTAACGGTAATATTTCACCCCTGACTCCGCGAAAACCTAGTCCGGAAATCATTGTTTGGACCGAAAGTCCCACGACGGGAATTCCACGTTCGAAAACCACTCTGGCTACAGACGACAGTGCTCTCATGAACGGCAAGATGGACAATGCAGTTGAAGAGAAGCGAAACGGATTGAATCTCGTACCGAAAATCACGCCCATCACTAGGAGAATGGCCAACAATCAGAGCATGTCGGATGAAAATCCCCTCGGCGAACAATCCATCCCGATGCAAGGCACTCCTGCCGAGATCATATCCAACATCGCCCAAATCACAACTGGACGCCTAAACGGTCATCATTCTACCCGATCCAACAATTCCACTGACCTCCAGCCGTTCATCAGGTCAGGCCGAAAGCGCCGCTATTCCGATCTTGTGACCCCCAACTTCCAACCCCAAAAAGTATTCCTCGCAAGCGAACCGGAGAACAACAATTCCACGCTCAAGCAATCCCCCCCGAGGATGTTCAGCCCTCAGCACGCATCCCCATTTCAGGACAGCAGCACGCCGGCGCAGGACGACACGACTCCAACGACTGAATCCTCCCGACCCGAAATCCGGACGATCGCGTTCAAGTACGCCGATAAGGTGATTCGGAGGGAGAACCTGTCGTCTCCCATCCGCGCATTCTTCAGGGAATATTACCCGCAGGGCGACATTCCAGATGCGCACCCACCATCCGTCAAGCTGATATCTCCCGACAAGGAGATCATTATGCTGCGATCCAACACCGCGGCGTTCAACTCCCCAGTGAACGATACGCAGCTCGATATTCCGCTCATGCCACCTCCATCCCCCCCGAAGTCCAGCCGCCCTCCAACGACATCTTCCCAAACGAGGTCGGGTCGAAGGGTCACATTCCGCATCCCCCAAACCCCAGTATCCGATTCAGAATCCAGTGACAACGACCGCCACAGCTCCCCCGAGTCGGTTTCGCCGACCGCCCGTCGGCCACGAGGTGCGGGTCTAGCAGTGTCCGCGAGAGGCTATGGCATCCAATCCGGCCCAGCGCACGTCATCGCTAATGAGCAATTCCAGACTCCGGACCTGTGTCGGTCGGCCGTCATCACGTATGCGGAGGATGGCGATTGGGGGGATGCGGCGGCGGACGGAGGGAATGAGGTGACGAACAGTAGTAGGACGATGAGGAGCGGGAAGAAGGTCGATGAGAGTGCGAAGGAGGGGAGTAAGCATTTGCCGATTCGGCAGGTGCCAGATGAGCGATGTGCGGATTTTAGGGAGGAGTATGTGGTGCTCGGGGTGAGATTCGTGGTGCCCGGATTCTAGAAAAGGGAATTGACTTTGATGATGGATATGAAGTCATGGACTTGGGGACACGATTCTCGATGTTGGGACACCGCTTAGGTCTCCACGGAAAACAACATTCTCTACAGACAGAACGAGGCTCACTTGTTCATCAGCCTGGAGTCTTTTGTATAATTATTAAGCATTCCATTTTACAATGAGACACTCTGGTCGGCCCCTTTGGTAGATTGACTGCTTAATCAGATATTCCTCCCCCCTTCCTGCAAAAGCTCTCTAATTCAAACAATGGGCCATCTGCAAGTAAATACTCCGTAGACCGCACCCCTCACCAGATGACCACTCTCCCAACGCTCCCTTCGCCTCTTCCACGCGCTTAGCCGCGCTAGCCCAACCGTTCCACAGCAACCGCCCTTCTGTATCTGCATGCCACCACATCCACGGCAACACTGCAAGGATCCGCCCCAACAATGCCCCTTGTATGCAGTCTCGTGTTCCGGTCCCCCGGCGGCACCGCATATCTCGCGTGGAGAGCAACCATGCCGCTGCAGGAAACAAGATATCGCCGTGCAACGCGACACGGATGAACAATTGTGGTCTGACTCCTCGCCCGTGGAGGTCAGCAGTGTGCCATACGCTTCGACTGACATGTCACTTCCGCTGCGCAGTGCCGGGGCCGCACCCGTGAGCAGGTGATGAGGGTGGCGTCGTACGGGGTGGAATGACGAGAGTGTGAGTGGGGATGGGGAATTTCCCGATATGCCGCATTGATGGGAGATATTTTGAGAGCGTTGAGGTCGTTGCCCCTTGCGACGATTGGCGACAATATTCCCTGCCGCGTGCGCATGGATATCGGGAGTTGGAGATGGACGGGACAGGTAATTTGGCAGAACTCGTAGCGTTTTTCAGACAAGAAACGTCCAGTAGCTTGGGAAAACCAACTCCTCTTCAAAGATGCGTCGAACCTGCTGCAGCACGAACTGCTCGACTTTTCCAACGTTCTTGAGCACCGGTTTGCCATTTTCTTTCTGCCCAATCTCGCTCTCAACCTTAATCTCCTCCAACAGCCCATGCCTTCCTCTGGTTCCGTCTTCTTGCGCCATGTTGCCCTCAGCCGTGTTGCTCTCACCCACCCGTGACTCTCCTAGCATCAACTCCGCATCTTCCGGGCCCAGGAAACAAAAGTGCGCTCGCCGCCTGATGTACGCCAGGATCGCCACCCCATCGAACGACACACCCGTGATGTTCAGTTTAAGCGGGATTCCGACGAAGCTCGGCATCGGGTAGTCAAGTAGTAGGTCCGCCGTCAACGCCAGCCGCACATCCCCCAAGTACTTCACATGGCAGATAACCTGCATGTCCGTCGGATTCCGCTCCCGCTGCGCATTCGACGCCGCATCCCGCTCCCCCGCCGACGCCGAGTCCTGAAAGTTCAGCTCCCCATCGTCCCCCACGCTAGACCCGCTGTCACTCGTTCGCTGCTTCGAGGTCGGCCGCGTCGATAGCCCGGGCGACGAGGGCGGCGTGATGGAGCTGGTGGACACGGAATGCTTATGGCTGGGCCGTCGCGCGTCCGGGGAGTCGCGCCGCAGCGGCAGCGATTCATGCCAGTGGCTGGGGAATTTCGCGCCCGCGACGGCGGCGAGGGGTGTCGTGCTGCCGGAAAGGCCGGCACCCATGTGGAAGTAGCTAAAATTGGCGGTGCCTCCTGAGATAGGGGGAGGTGGGAACTGCCGGGGATGGCCGTGGTGGATTTGATGGGCGGATGGGCGTAGGGTGGCGGTGCTGGAGGAGAGGTCTTCGCCGGGTGGTGGCTGAGATTGCGACTTGCGTGTCTTTCGACTCGGTTTCCCATGCTCTTCCACTGATCGATTCTGGCGGGCATCTAACTGGATATCTCTTTCTACTGGGGATGCCTGCGTGGGGGGCGCGGAGTGCGACGACTCCGCGGAATCCTCCTCGTCACTGTAGTCGTTGTCGTCATCGTCATAAAACTCCGGGAGAGGATCGCAGATATCTTTGATCTCGACTTCCGGCGCTATTCTTCCAAATTCGAACGAATGGACGCGAACAGAACTGATAAACCGGGGTAAAGGGATGTTTTGGAATTTGTCGTCGATGAAGTCGCGAATCTGGGCGGCGAGGGCTTCTCCATCAGGACCTGATGTAAGGGCTTCCCAATCAAGCTCTACCGACATGACGCTCCAATTGTCATCAGAATATAATTCTAATAGACAGTATGGTAGGCGTCTTCATGTACTAAGTTTATTGAATTTTGCATGGATGGACGTGAGTTACTTGCAGCAAGTTCCTTTTAACGGAGGTTACTCCGAGGAATATCAAAATGACTCGGCTAAACTTGCCATTTCCGTTTCCACCTAACCTCCTATTTCTCTCACGCTTCACCATTCATGTTGGTTGCAACTTGCAACGCATCACTCACCTCTATCTTGCTCTCTGCACTATGCACCACATCCGGATAATTTACCGACGACCACTCGCGTTCGAGGATACCATAGCTATAGACATCTCCTTCCGATGTCTTGCCCTAAGCCCTAAAACGCTCCATCCTACCGAACACAACGCTTCCATTTTTGCTTGGTGGCGTCTGCATCGACCGTTTTTGTACCACATATATTGCACGGCAGGCATCGAATATCGATAGCAAGGCTCGAGAAGCTCAATATTTGTCCGTCGTCAAGATGCCTGTCGAGTATCGCAGCCATGAACTCGATGGCTCTTATCTGACATATGACATATTATCGTATACTGGGTATCTCATATTGCGTCAGATAGAGACACCTGTCCTATCACCGTCCTCTCATCGTCACCCTTCTCGCTCTTGTACGCCTAATTATTGACGGTACACACCGGTTCAACTATAGGGTCTTTCGGAGAATCGCCGCATCTCCCCGCTTGAAAACGTCCCCAGGAAGCATGCCAAACCTTGATATCTTCCCCCGCAAGTGTTGCTTCGAATTAGTGGCATTGGAACGCTAAATATGATATTTCGCCAGCATCTGCAAACTACTAATTACTAACGCAAGTCATCTGAACTGGAAGCACGACGCGCATCCCCGGACCAATTGGAACCAGGCGACGGCGCAAGGGTGATGGGGTAGTTAAGCAACGGGACGGGCGAAGTAAGGAATGGTCAGAATCGAGTGGGGTGCTTCAATAAAGAGCTTGGGATGTAAAGGTTGCGATGGCGATTATGCGAGCGTGCTTTTCGGTCACAGAGAAAAGATGGTGTGCTGCGATAGCAGACGGTATGACAGTCAACGGCACATCTAGGGGGAAAACGGCAAGTTGAAGCACTTCTTGTTGAGATACATGTAGGTACATCCGATGAGCGTACCGGTACATATATGTTGGACGGTTAGGATCTCTACCAAGCAGTTACCGTTGAACATCTTCGCAGGGATCGCATTGATCCAGCGGCTCTCCTGCCTTTGATCGTCAATGTAAGAAATATATTTAAATAAAGTATTCTTCTGACCGCATAGACAGCCTCTTCAACTGTGGGCGAAATATCAGTTCAACAAATTGGGCGTGTCGAGCTGAGGTTATCTACCTGTCTCATGTCTCAGTCGCCACAATATCACTACTAATGTATCAAAGTGGTAGACTACCGGACATCGGTCGAGAATCCCTCGCTGGACCATGTCACCCTGAACCTAGGCTTCTGGGACTGATTACTCTCTCATTAACAGCACCCTTGATACGGTGGCACGTCGGGTATCCTGGTGTGACATTTATCCATCACAGCCCAGGCATTGGTTTACATCGGACGGTCTCATGAAGTCCACATCGCCTGCCTATCATGCCATCCAATATAGAAACGGAGGTACTTCGGTGATTCGGTCCATCGCACTACGAGAACGACAATCCGCCCGTAATCCGGCCAACCTTACACGACCATCCAAGGTATTTGCGTATCGGATCCGAATTGCGCAACATCCATCCGCATCATGATTCGCGCCCATGTCCCCCTCATTAACAACGTTTCGTCCATTAATTGTGGAAAATTGCGAGGACGCGAGATGCAATGCCATCCACCATATTACGTCATGTATTGCGGCCATGCTGTCTTCGTCCCCGTCTGCATGCGGCTTCCCAACAACGGGCCTCATTGGAAGAGTCGCTCTCAACACATTCTCGCCGAGATTCCGAGGTTCAGGATGGAACCGGTAGGGAGGGTACCACGGTACATACCATGAGTGCACATGGGTTGCCACGTTTTATGGGCAAGGAGGTTGCTTGAAGGAGAGTCTGGTACATCCCGAATGTGAGATCTAAACAGATGAGTGGCGATCACATAGAAAGATACATCTACCGGATGGTCAACATGCACAGCACGAATTTTTTGCCTAGATTCCTTTCCCATTCGGGACTGTCCGCTTGCGCTTCATCTAAGCGAGGATATTCGAGCAACGTACATGGTACATGGGCGGACAGGCCTTCGCTTCGGGCCGAATGCTTCAAGAACTTGGTTTTGGTGGATCGGATCGCGATCTCACGCAAAGGAAAGACAGTGGAAAGGCAGTTCGACATGTGAAAATTGGCAAAAGAAATATGCATTTGCTCATAATCATATCCTTGCCGCCGAAGACCATGCGGCCGCGCTGCAGGATTGCAGGCCTGCAGACATCATCGATGAGAAACTCGTGAAACCGGGAAGTCGTACATCGGATTCTCTCAGAAAGAACAAAAGCCAATTGTTTGAGATTAAGCCCAATATGTCGTAATCAGCCAAGCCAGGCCATTTGCTTTTGTGTCCTCCCAAAAAAGTCGCAATCTAGAACGCCCAATATCCAAAAAGCTCGGGTTCAAAACATTGAAAGACTGCCCATTCTATGAAATACCCACAATCCAAATTGCAACAATAAGAAGAAGAAGTGTGTCCCATCTGACTCGCTTCGCTAGCGACTCCTGATATCCATGAAAGCACATTTTGTGAGCGGGAATTCGTATAACCATCCCGATTAGCCAGCGCCAGCAAATGCTCAGAAGGACGCTCAAGGAAGAAAGGAAGGGCGGAGAATGCAGAAAGCTACGGAGAAAGCTAGCCATCGTACGGTGTTCATTTCAGTATTCGTGGATAATCTCCGCGTGGGGAAGAGATCGAAGAAGCCAACTCGCTCAACATTTCAAAAGCAGCGCCCGATGAGGCTAAGTGAAAAGGGAATGAGCTCTCGCTCCACGAACAACAATTCGATTCCCGAAATAGCGGAAGATTGCAATAAACAGCGACAACGGCCAGCGGGTGGGGTTTCGGCATGCTGCGTGGTTGTGCCGTACGGAGATTTCTTGTTTGATTTCGATTTTGCTTTGACGCCTGGCGGGAACAATGGTCGAAACTACATTCAGCGCGTGACCCTCGCGTCGGGTTCGTGTGTTCGGCCGCTTGTACGTTTCGAGAAAGCATAATTATCGAAAGGAAGACCAAAAATGTCAACGACCCGCGTTTACGGAATTCTCCCATGTGTTGGTGGTATAATACGACCATGCTGTGTCACTCGTCCGCGTCGATAATCCATACCCAGTTCCTTCACGCTCGATCGGATAGGCTTCTTTGTTGACAGCTAGGCGTCCCATTGTTAAATCCCTCCTTCTCGCGAGCCCACCAATCCCGCCCATATAGCTGGAAATTTTCCCTGCCATTCTTCTCATTGCTCGCTGCTCAGGCATCACCGGGAATCCCTCCGCTCACCACGTTGGATTAACGATTGTTTGAAGTTCGCTGCGGTGGCTGCGTCTCTTGTGTAACGTGCTACGGCGGTGTTGTGGCCGACGGCCCGTTGACAGTTGAACACCATGGATGTTTGACAGGCGTGACAATCAATCAGGAACACGTTTTCTTGTCCTGTTCGTTGCGAGGGCAATGGTGACTCCAGTGGTATGACAACGACTCGGCGAAAAGGGGGAATAAGCCGGGAGGATGGGAAGTGGTATGCACCAAAGAAAATGAGCTCGTCTCGTTGCGGTCGTTGGATGTGTTTTCGGGCCTCTTCTGTCGTCCCTTCAGTCCTTCTGCGTGTTGGCTGCTGGTTCGCGAAATAAAAAATGCCTGCCGTTGTTTTCCCAGATACGGTATGGAGCCGATCCTTTCAAATTTGTTTCCCAATCCCAAATATTCCCTCTTCAATTTCAAAATCCGGAACCAGGCAGAAAAGCAGCCAAACCCGACCAACAGCAAAATTTGAGCGTGACCTCTTCTTCGAACGGAGGGCTGTGTGGGACAATTTTTAGTGGTGAGGAGCAGTCAGGGATCGCAGTCGTCGCATTTCTCGTCGTGTTTGACTTGTTTCGTCTTGATCTCGTTCGGCCCGCAAGTCCGGCCTGGCGTCCTCGATTTAGCACATGGTGCAATTCCATCGTCCATGTAATGACCACATCCGTATACGTGAATTACTCGTGTACACATCTTCGCGATTGAAGTGTTCGCAGCAAATGCGCTGCGGGACGTCCTTGAGGCGGGGCTTTTTTACCGGACGGGAGCAATGAAAGAGATGGGAGCCCCAAGTAGAGGTACAGCCAATTGGTACCGGAGTTGGGATTCTGCAATTGGTCTTTGTTGGGCGTCGAAATCCCGGTGAGGGTCGGCGGGGATCGTCACAATTGAACTGGTAGCGGGGTAGATTGCCTCAGCAATTGAATTGTTTTCGAAGAATAGGCGTAGGAGAACCGAAAGATGTCGGTTTCGTGGATCGGATGCGTGGGAGGGCTTTCCGGAATGACGAGGCAAGGAATCGAAACCACAACAGATCAACGAGGTCGGCCCGCGACTCTTTTATCCTCTTTTCAAGCTCCTGGCAAGACTCAGAGCAAGTGAGGTCGTGACAGGTGAAGAAGATGTGAGGTGTCAGAGAGGCACCATTCACCGGGCCTCTAAGGATACTAATAAAGTGGGTAATAGATGCGGCTTTCCCCTCGGCCCTGACAAGTATCGAGGTAATCGAGGCAAGGTACGGCGTTAGGTGGGAATATGGTGCTGACCGGCGGAGCGGATGCAACCCCGTAGGTGATATGAAGCAAAGAAAGGGATCTCAAAGGCACATCACACATGAGAGACAAGTATCTCTTCTGCTTCGTCTTCTGATGCTGCTTCAGATGTAGGTATGTCCAAGGCCGGGAGTAGACATGCAATAGTAGTAGATGTCGGGGAGGAATGGGGAGCAGCAAAAGCAAGCGGGAAAAAAAACCAACAGCGTTCCAAACAGCAGTCCGTGGGATTATAAGTCCAGGTCATTGACGGAAATGACAGAACGGGAACAGGCCACAGGTTCCAAAGACCCAGGAGTTAGATTGTTATTGCCTCCCGTTTGCAACATTGAGTGCGACGGGCCAGGCATGTCTAATTCGTCTGGAGGTCCTGGATTCGCAAAAGACGTGGAAGGGTACGGACAGCCGTTTTGGCGCGTCCACACGCGGGAAGGCCAGCAACCATGGAGACCACTCAGACCAGACACCAGAAAACCAGACATGGAGACTGGAGAGGCAAGGAACGTGGAAAGTCCTTGTACAATATTACATACGGGCCAAAAAGTTACTCTTGCCATTCGACCCAGGAGTGATCAATCAGTCTCCGGTAGCAGGCTAGGGCCCCTTCCATCACCTATTCGGGCGCGATGCCGGGGACATGGGGACCACGCCAGGGTCATACCGATGCCATCTTCAATAGATGAGTAGCCAGCTTCCCTGTGATGAAGATGGCGCGGAAGACCAATGGTGATGCCGGGCAACGCTAGCGCCACAGAGGGATACATCTGGGCTCTGGACTGGCCCTCCCTGCGGCAAAAAACCTCAGACACGGCCAATAATTCCTTGCCTTGAGCGTCTTTTCCTTGATCAACCAACCCCCGTAAACGTTCGTTTCCACTAGAGAAGCTTACCCTGGTTTCTAATAGGTAGGTACCTACTAGGACTCCGTACACCTTGTAACTTGTTCCTTTAGAGGGTGCGTGGCCTGCTGGGGTATTGGACCCTTCATCCTTCGACTGGATGTAGGACACACATAACCTCTGTGTCCAGTATCGAAAGCCAACGGTGACCAGACCATCCTCTGCTAATCTACTTTACATGGAAGGGGAGGCTGTATTTCTAGAAAATTATGGAGAAGCCCTGCCCCTTCGGCAGCTATCGTGCTGACTTACACAGCACACACATACAGAGGTCAGATCTCCGCAAGTAATACGGATACTTCCATGGCCGACCATTGTTACGACTTGGGATCTGGGAACTTGGAGGCAGATAGACCGTCCAGGATCCAGACGGAGTTACAGAGCTTTGACTTTGGGTCTCGAGCCGGCTCTTCTAATTGCTCTCACTCTCGCTTTGCCTCCCAATATCCGCCGCCGTCCAATGGCCATGGTGAGTTGCGGACGACGACCAGAAGCACACAGGTCAGCAGCCGTGACGGACACGAAAAGGGCCGTTCAACTGCAGCATCTAAACGGCGCCAAATTCCGCGGCATGTCGGAACCGAGCCGTCTGTGCCCCAATTCTCCGCAATTGGATGGTTGCAGGAATAGCATGATGCAGCGATGCTTGTCTGCATCGTTGAGAAGGGGATGAGGTACGTACCATTTCCCCCCCCACGCGCCGTGCAGTAGTTGATGCATCCCCAGGAGAAGGGTTTGCCGCGTAGGCGTAATATTACTGACTTTCGGTTTGTAAAATGAAAGTTTGACAGAAGTAAGCCTGTACCACCGAACGTCTCATGTTCCAGAAATTTGCCGTTCCTGCGATAACCTCATGCTTCTGGAACGTCCAAGGTTTATGCCCAGATCTCTCATTCCGCAGACGGCGACCACAGACATCCAAGGAAATGCGGACACATGCGAACTCCTACCCTCGGAATCTTTGGGTTCGGAGAGCTGATAGGCGGTTGTGACCAGACACAGTCCATGTTTCCGTTCCAACGTGCGCTGCTGGGGACTCAACATCAAACCACACCTCAATCAGGGCATGACGGCCTGGGACGGCAACGAAACTGCGATTGGGAGGCTGGAGAGGGATTGGGAACCGACGTCTCCATTTTGATGGACCTGGATGCTGCTACATTCCCGTTGCTCGTCCCGTGCGCTGGCTCAACAGTCAAAGATATCGGCAATTGCTGGTCGGAGGTCCGTTTCCTGGAGGATTCATGGCGGATCGACGACGGACATGAACGTTGGTTGACACGCATATTGCGTTTGAGTCGAACCGATCGGGTGATCGCGCCCTTCGTTTGGAGCAATCGCTCAATTCTCGAACGGCTACGTTGGGGAGGCTTCCCTGTTGCCCATTGTCGATTGTCTGTATGTACGACGCTCGGTAACATCTCGAATCCTTGAGCAGCCCGGAAAATAAGGGTCAAACAAGGTCAAGAGCACCGCGAACTGTTCCTGAATCCAGACCTAAATGAGTAGAAACTCGCCAATCATCCTGTTGTGCGACCCGAATTGCAACGGCCCAAACAACCAATTATGGGTCTGATTCAGGTTAAACATCATATCCGTCGGCCACATGGCACCCTAGCCGCCATGTCGTGTCCGTGGTTGCGCACAGCGGCATTCTCAACACTTAGCAGCCCTTCCCGCTCGCTCCCCAACCGGACTTGGGTATTGTGTTGATAAAAAAAGTATGGGCACCAATTCCGTGAAGTAAAAAATCACGGGACTCGCGAATCCAGTCTCACCTAGTCGACGAAGGGGCGCAAGAGTTATTGACGGCAACGGGAAAAGGGTTGAATGCGTTTGGATGCCATGATGCGATGAAAACTGCGTCATCCAAGTTCCAACCGTCGCCCACGCTACGAACAGTGGAAATATGTAACAGAATTCTTGCAAAATATCCTGATCGTGAGCGAATCCGCGCTTGTCTGAACCATCCCCGCTGCGGCAGGGATTTTTGGTCCGGGGCCAGCGGCAAATCGCCTTGGTGTACGGCGGCGTTTTCTCATTCTGGTCAAGCCTCAGCGTAGTGCTGCGGGGAAGAGGGAGCCGGATGCGTGAATTGAAGGAGCACAGATGCCCAGGCTGGGAGTCGGATAAGGGACGAGTAGCGGGACAGGGAAGAGGAAGGTACCTGAGAGGCACAGTCGCGTGTCTGCAGGTGACAGGTCACAGGTGTCGCTTGTTTTCGACGCTGTCACTAGCCGCAGAGGACCGGTCATATCGTTCTCGGCGACTTCATGGTTCAACGGACATTTGTTGATACACAGTATTGAACCAGGAGACGTATCCCAGTACGATATCCACGGGGCTCGGACCTTTGAAAACTCAGTTGTATCAGTATCAAATTACGATTGTTGAATATGGTCGGCAGATTCCGGAGTTTGCCCTGGTTGGTTAATGACTTAGAGTTGCCGCACATCTGCACGGTCGATGACGATTCAAATTGAATGTTGACGCTTGCCGCTTGGGCCTTGGACCAGGAATTCGGCATGGCAGCCAAATTGGCCCCATACATATTAGACCATCATGGTACTTGAATGCAATATGCCGACTGCCGAATTGTGACAACAAGGAAACGTTAGGGAGGGGAACTGAGACAGCGTTAATAATAACCGAGATTTTAGAGTCTTGTAGACTCGTAGAGAGGATATTCTAGCTCTTCACGACGGGCCGAGGTCAGATCCCAATGCCATGTAACATACGCGGCTGATTAGACCAATTGCTTCGAAGTCGACATTTGAAAGGGTGGATATTGCGAGTTCCAGGAAATAGTATGTGTAAGGAGTTAATTAGGCGCTTGGTCCAGATAGATGGTCCTTGTTACGGAGTTCAGAGCGCTTGTTTGAAGATGCTGACATTGATATCTTGCGCGGACTAGGATCACTGATTGCGCTGAAGGTTGTGTCCTTTGAGGCTTTGACCTTTCATGTGGAGCCGAGATCCACATCCTTAAAACGACGATGCGAATTGAACCGGTCGAGATTTAGATGTCCGTGTCATTAGACTTTGCAAGGCTCGAAATTGCGATGCCTATAGTATAGAATCTGCGATTTGTGTGTTTGGCTGGGGTGGTGGTGGTGCAGATCAGCAGATGGTTTTAATAGTGGTTTTCAAGCTCTCGAACGACATCAGCCGAAACGTCAACTGAGGTTCTGCAGACTGTAGGGTTCGACATCTGATCTCGGACCGCGCCGAATTCCCGTTGGAAAACATTATCTTCTTTAAATTGAAATTGTATTGGGTAGAGATTTCTAGTTTTCAACATCTTGCTCGTTTTCAGCTTGATATGCGGCTTACTGGGCGGCCATCAGCACTTGGCGTTAAGGCAAAGCACCACTCAGCTTATCGTCAACCTTCCGTTAAGTTTGTCGATCATATGCAGTACATATCTCCAACCGATATCTCCAGATGTCCAGATCTCGTCAGACTGTAGAAGCCCAGCAAGCAAGTTCTTCTGTTATTCCCGTATCGCGGCGAGTCAGCTCTTAAAATATGACACCCCAGAGTCCCTTTCCCCGGGCCTTTCCGTCCATCCGTCAACCTCAATTTCCTTTGATTCGCGAGAAGTTTTCCTTAAGGCTGCGTGATAATGTACAGTTATCGTCAGAAATTATCGTCATTCTCTCCAGCCATGGCAATCGTCGCGATCCAGCCTCGATCGACGAAGAAGACTCGGGACCCGGTTAATATCGGGCCTAGATCTGTCCCGCTTTGCTTGTCAGATGCTTGTTGAGGGAAACCATTTGCGGCCTAACCCCTAATTTCCAACCATTACAATGGAGGAATCGAGAAATGGACCAGGTCACCAGGCAGATGGCCATCCTCACCACTGGCTCCACGGATCTTAGATTCAGATTTCGTGTCCAAGCGTCCTGGAGAAGCCGTTGCGAGTGGAGTAGGAACAAACCCATCCCACTTCAAGCCGTAACCCCGCAGATCACATCCTGCCAGCCTCCGTCGTCGTCTTCCTATCCCCCTGATAACTTTCACGATCCTTCTAAAGACAAACGCTCCTGATAAGAACTTGCTTTCAAATCACTTTCCATGAATGATATTAATTCAGCTGCTCATATGCCGTCTGGTAATTCCGTCTTCTATGCCGCAACTGGCCGAGATAATGGTGCATTTCGCACGAGCGCCTCCTGTCACGGGCGTCATCACAAAGTTCTCGATTTAGTGCTATCCCTGAGATCTAGATGCACCGGATCAACCTACCTTTCTGGGGTCCCCGCTATGGACTGCCTGACCATTCCGACTTTTCATCGTGAACTCGGGTCGGCACTAATGCTTCATTCTACGATCCGGACGATCATTCGCGTCGGACCCCTCCAACGCGGCCCCGGCAGCGTCCTCGTTCGCTGTATATAGACTGGACGGCATGCTCATTTCGTATCAGTTATCGTCGCATTCCAGCATCTCTCCTGATCTTTTTCACCCCCGCACTTTTCGACAGCCCAGCTCGCTCGACGTGCATGAACTTGCGTCAGATCCCGCTCTTCTAGCGCCGACAAAAGGTTTCAACAAAAGCCACATACACGTCTATAGCCACGGCTTTTGCCCACGTGCATATCAGATTTCGGACGCGTGCAACACATCCCCTACGATTCAGAAAATCCTTGGTTGAGGACTAGCACTGTGATCGACTGCCTAATCAATTAGCCTCATTCGATAAGAACTTCCCGCCCTCAAGATCTATATAAACAGTCATCCCACCGAACTTCATCACTCCTAGAAGCACCCTCAACTCTCAAGCCAGACTCCCCTCGACTCCCAACTGTCTAACCCTTCTCTTAATCCACTACCACCACTCATCTTCAACCATGGACGCCGCCATCATGTCTGAAATCACCGGCACCGACTGCCACATCGAGCCCTTCGCCTCCTCCGCCGCTCACACCACCCCCCTTCGCAAAGCCTCCATCTCCTCCTCCCTCCCCTCCCCCAGCATGGAAGCCCCCCCCACCACCTTCCTCTGCCTGGTGCCCGTCCACTCCGACTCTTTCCCCTCCTCGCACCTTCGCTCTTCATCCCTCCCCTCCCCTCCCGCACTCCCATCCGTCCCCGAGCAACCGATCATGCTCGTTGACCAGCAGCGCCGCACGAGCGACTCGTCCACCACGAGCACGGGATCCGCGCTGCGGTTTTTGAAGTTGGGGCCGGTGCATTTCGGGGGGGAGCCAGGCGTGGGGGACTATGCTGATATGGATTGAGTGATCATCGGGGGGCGGGGCGGGGACGCGCGGGAGCATGAAAGCGGGGACGACGTATCGTTCTGGTGGAGGGAGATCAAATTGGCTGGATAATCCCCCGGTGTCGTGGAGACATTTGAGTGCGGATGGCGGCTTGTTTCTTTTTCCCTCGATTCTTAATCCGTTTGATTTCTAATGATCATTATGCGTGCCCGATACTTCTCCTGCATTTGTCTTGGGAGAAGGGGCTTATCAGTTATCATCTGTCAGACTGTGGCCCGCAGAAAAATAGGAAGGATTCTGATAGTAAGAAGGGAGAGGCTGAGAGCGGATCGAATACACGAGAGTATTATGCTTTTTCCGATCTGCAATATTACTCCTATCTTATCATTTCAACGCATTTGGTCGTGTTTTTGTTAGATGTACGCATGTGCAACGATGGCGCCCCAACCCCACCAGTTCGTGATGACGTCTGGTTCCCCCATTGGGCCTCACCGATTCCAATACGGGGTGGTACGTACCTGTTCATCCTGCACCATCCTGCACCATCCTGCAGACCCGCACCAGAACTCCTTCCGCACCCCCGAGTCCAAACACGTATACAATACTCGCATGGCGCTTGATCATCCGAAACATTACTGACGAGTGACGACCTCTTCCGCTGTAGCATATCACCGTATCACCATCTCGAATGCAAGTACATCATCGTTTCTGCCTGGCTTCCCCGACGCACCTGGTTAAGTCTAGCCTCAAAGGAACTAGGATACTTGGTCAGGAAGCGGCTTGACGAAGCGGTTCGTAGTTAGACATGCAGTTCGCTCCATGTCCAGTGTCCACCGTATTGATACGCACGATGCCATGTGGCCAGCAGGGACCAGCCCAATCGCCTGAAGGCTGAAAACGCCAGGTTATTTGCGCTTTCGATTCCGGAACTCCTGTCCTGGCTCCGCATAGTAAACTTTTAGCTTCAAAGTGCGCTCTCTCTCCAGGTTTGGCCTTCAAGGTTTGGAGACACGGCTCGACTTCCCGCATAGCACGGTCCAACATTCTATTCAGCTCCAAATGTTTCATATCACGTCAGAGTTCCAGGTTCCTCGAGCGTAGACAAGGAGCTATCTCTGTCCTCCATGCGATTGCGCTTGCTATTCCAACGTGAGCATATGTCATGATCGAAGATTGAAGGATGAACGTGGCGCCGATGCACGAGCTCCTACTTGATCCTGCAAGCCCATTCCCTACGGCAAGAATCCTCGAGAAGTTGAGATCATACCGTTCAGTGATCTGATGCGCCCAGCCCTGCAGGTCCCAGGCTCCGAGCCGCAATGAGGCGTAAAGCCAGAAACTTTATTCTGTAGTTATATCAAATTCCTTGCAGGGAATTATTGCTCTACTGAGTGTCGGGTGCTCAGAGCCGCGTTAATCAGACCATCCACCTGGTTTCCTGCAGTCGATTGGACATAGTACCGTTGGTAGGTAGGCATTTCCACCGCACCAGATAGACTTTCTGGAAGTCGTCGAAGTGCCGTGAGTCCTCACGTTTCTTTCAACGAGGCTCTGAAACATCTTCTCTCAGCTCCTAAGCTCCATCCTTGTTGGAGAGCTCCAAGCTTGGTAAATTTCTCGCGGCCGATCAGCATGGGATGAATGTGGGGTGAACTTTGGGTAAGGATGAAGCTTGAGGATCAGGGAATGAGGGTCCAGTTGCAGACAGGGATCGCAGTCGAGATGGCACATAATTACTTGGGGATCCGGGAGTCATCCTCAAGCGACATTGATCTGCAGAACTAAATCTCCATACATGTATTGGGAGTAAGCTATCAAATCATCCTATGGTCATAGTTGAAGAGCTGGGTGTCCTGTAGCCAGAACCAGTCTGCACTGATCAGATGGCACATGTATTTGAGGTTAGAATGGAACCAGTCTTCTCGAACAATGGAGGGTAGGTGGTGGGTGCAATAATCATCTACACGGAATTATACACACCCTCACCTCCCCCCGAAATCCCTCTCCGCAATCGCCGCCTTCATCATATCATTCCCACTCACCATCCCCGTCGTACAAATCACCAAATTCCTCCTCCGCCCCTCATCCACCAACCGCTTCCCCACGAACCGCAACGCCGCCACCTCCGCCCGACTGATCCCCCCCAAATAGAATACTAGCACCGTCTTCCCCTCCGTCGATCCCGACCCGTTCAAGATCTGCTTCGCCCGCACCGCCTTCTCCTCCCCCCTCTGAACCTCGTCGAACGTGGCGCCCTTGATCTGCTTCACCGCCTCTTCGAAGGGGCGCCAGCCTTGCGAGAGTGCGGTGGCGCCGGAGGCCGCGGCGTTGGTGGCGCCAGGGTGTTTGTTGGAGAGGGAGGCAAGGTATTGTTTCTGGAGGACGCATTGCACGAGGCGGACGCTAAGTGGAACGGGGCCGCTGTAGACGTACGCGATATCGTCGGGTTTGGCTTCGTTGACCTCGCGCATGTATAGATGGAGTGCTTTTCTGACGTAGGAGTAATTCGTCCCTGAGCCGGATTTGGAGAGTGGCGCGGGAGTGAAAGCACTGCCGGACCGTGTGGACAGGAGACCCATTTTTTCGAGTCGGGAGAGGGTTAGGAGGTGTTGTGGGCCGTAGGCATGGAGGATGGCGCGTTTGAAGGCGTCCAGGTCGCGGGGTCGTAGGCCGTTGCACATGGTGGACTCGAGGCAGAGGAGACGGAGAACGGTGGGGAGGGAGATGGCGCGGGAAATTAGCTCGTCGATGGTGTCGTGCTGGGATGTAGGGTCTAGTTCTTCGGCAACGGTCTGTTGCACCTCGAGAATACGGGTGAAGATCTCAGATTGGGTGAACTTCTGGATCTCTTCGGCAATGTTGGTATGGAGCTTGAGGCTAGTTTGTTCGGATTGGTAGCTCGGGAGCTTAGAGACGAACTCCCGGAGCTCAGCAGTGGTCTTCGACGCTGTGGGTCGATTCTCGTATGTATTTTGCAATCGACGTGCGACTGAGTTGAGTACCTGGGGGACAACTGCGAAGTTGGTGTCCCGAATACTCTTGAAAAGGGATTCAGTGCCGTCAAGGATGATCTTCTTCCGAAGTGGCTGTGATGCTGATCCGGGTCCCGACGATGACCCTTGGGAAGTCGTATTGCTGGCAGTGCCTACAACGGAGGAGTCAACTTCGATTTGATTGGACTCTATCCCAAAACATTCGTCCACCAGTCCCTCATAAGTTAACTGCGTAAGCAGAGCAGATGGAAAATCAACTTCTCGGTCTATAATGATCAAGCTTTCGATCGTGTTGCTGGGAGTTAGTTCGTAGCCGGCGCCAGAGGGACGAAAGTCAGATGACGCTGTGAGTTCCGACCGCATACGCATGAGCAAGTCGGCGAGTCGCTTTGCGTTGTTCCCTTTCCCTGTGATACGAGGGAAGAGCCCATGGTGCTGTTGCAGCAACATCAACGCTTTCGCCGCAGTGAAAATGCACGTCGGATCTTTGCGCTGGAGGATAGTTAGAACATGCCGGAAAACTAAAGGACATGGTGCGTGCAAACCAGGTATAGATCTCGAAAACTATTCTCTAGCTCCAGAGATAGTATATCTTCAGCGACGGGAACAAAGTATAAGGGATACTCCGAGACGTTGACATCGCCAAGTGCGCCCTCCTCTTCGAGAATCTGATCCGAGACTAAGGTCCTCCTCGGGACCCAGAATATAGATATCTCATGTTCGGTCTGACCACTTTGACGTAGCCGCTTGATCTGACCTGAAAATTGTCAGCGATACATTTTAGAAAGCAAGTCCATGGAAGGCAAGGATTTCCACAATGCAACCGCATAAAAACCTTAGCATTGACTACGTGAAGTGGGAAGAAATAGCGAAGACAAAGCTTGACTTACTTGCAATAGCATGGACTTCATTCAAATTATCCGAGCGGGCCAAGAACACGATATTCTTCTGCGACGAGTCGACATTATCGTTCTCTAAGAAAAACACTTTGTCCACCCCATACTCCTGGAGCGTCGAGAACTTAACGAAGAGCCCCAACGTCCCCGCAAGGCCCTTCTCGATGACGAGGTTCTTCTTGCCTCGAACCTACGCGCTCGATTAGCAACTTCGATGAGGGGAAATGTGGACGAGTCGAGTCACTGACCCCTTCAAGGAGAAGCAGAAGGTCTCTCCGAGCCTTCTCACCTATTTCGGAGGCCTCGAGGACGGTTCGCGCCATGGTTGATCTACGGTGAAGGCTGCTCCCCAGCCAGGGCAACTGATGGCATGTCACCTCATCGCCCGCAGTAGACGGAAGGCTATGATTCCCCAACTGCGATGACTTTCGTTTTAGGATGATCTCTTTTGAAAATCCAATTCTTGTCGAAGGTTGCGTTGCTTGCAAGTTGTTGATCTTGATAGAGCTTGGACGTGTGATTTAACTTGGAGGTTCGCAGTTCATGTGTGGCTAGGGTTTCTGATATGTGGCTGTGTGCTGTGTCCCGATCAGATCACGTTCGGACGAGTTCTAGCTAGCACTTGAATTGAAAATGGCGGAATTGGCTCTAGAGGGTAATATTCAAGTGCTCGATATAAGCACCTAGCTAACGCGAGATAATGCCCACAGTGTCATATGGAAATGCCATGTCATACATAGGGTGGTATTACATTGAGTCAGGGGAGATATATCGGGATCTACTGTAGCTCCGACCGCGATAAATGTAAAATATATATACACAGAATGCTAAAAAACAGGGCTTCATACTCTTTGGAAGTAATGGCACCATCTGGGCAACTTTCTATTCCCAAAGATAGCGAAAACAACCTCAAACCCCAGCCGCCTGCTTCATGAGGAACCGCTTCAACGGCCCAACCTTATCGACGACGCTCAATCCTAGTGACCTCAAGCCAACAATCGGCCCCGATCCAACATTGTATAGCTTATGCAGCTTATCCACGACGCCTAACATGGCGTTGTTCGCCGCATACCTTTCAGCATTGTACCGCTCGAGGGTCATGAGCGCGCCGATATCCTCGCCATGGAGCACCGCATCCTCGATGATCTTCGCGAGAGCTTGCGCATCAATCTGGCCTTGGTTGAGGCCTTGACCTGCGAGGGGATGGGTGACGTGGGCAGCATCGCTGAGAGACGAGTTAGTAGTCAGCCAGGAAAACCAAGATAATAGAGGGAGAAGATGTAAGTGACGAAAGGTACTTACCCCATCAACGCAATCCTCTCCCCCACATACGAATCCGCCTGTCTCATCCTCAATGGGAAACTTGCCACACTCCCCTCCTGCACCCCCACCACCCTCCCCGGCTCCCTCTCCTCCCGTCCCCCGTCCCCTAATCGCCCCCTCCCTCTCTCCCGCAGCCCTTCCCGCCACTCCACCTCCTCCACCAACCCCTCCTCCATCCTCACCAAATACCCCATCTCCGCCACTGACAACCGAAATGCCGCGTTCACCGCCGCCACCAAATCCTCGCCGCTCATCCGCTTCAACCGTTTGGCTAACTCCGGTTTCGTCGACCACACCAGCGTCGCCCTGTTCCCCGGCAGCGGCAGCAGCGCAATCGGCCCGGTCGGTAGGAACCGCTGATATGCGGTCCGCGTCTCTGGCGGATCTGGGGTGTCCGCGAGCTGCAGCGTCGCCACCACCCCATGCGCGCCGTAGTCCCAGCCGCGGGACTCGATGCCAGCGAACGTGCGGACGGGGCTGTTGGCGCCGTCAGCACCGACAAGGAGGCGGGCGGCGAGGGTGGGGCCAGTGTTGAGGGTGAGGTGGGGCCAGGAGGAGAGGTCAAGGGAGGTGGGGTCGGGGGAGGGCGGGGGCCCGAGGGAGATGGAGGCGACTTTGGCGGGTTGAAAGAGGGTGGGGGGGGAGAGGGTGGAGAGGCGGCGGTGGAGAGCGGTGGTGATGTTTGCGTTTTCGAGCATTGTGGCGATGGTGGAGGGGGAGGTGGGTGGGGGATCGGAGAAGGAGATGTGGGCGTCGGAGACGCCGTCCCAGACATCCATGCGGGTATAGGGTTGGATGCGTGACTTGTCGACATGCTCCCACGCGCCAATATCACCCAGAAATCCCACGCTCCGCGGCGTCAACGACACGCAGCGGTTCTCATATCTACTCGGCTCCGGCGTCCATTCCTGCGCCGGTTGTCCTTCCACCAGGGCGATTTTCAAGCGTGCGGTAGCGGGCGACGCTTTCAGTGCGGTGACCAGGCTCAATCCTGCGGGGCCGCCGCCGACGCAGACGACGTCAAAGATCTCTGGAGAGGTGTTATGAAGCGTTGCATAGGTGCGACGACGGGGTGTTCGCTGGGGAGATCGGCGGCTGGAGATGGATGGGAGGGACAGGAGGCGGAGATCGCAGCGGAGGCAGGTGGTGGGGCGGAGGAGAGACATTGGAGATGGAGGACGCGGAGATGCGTAATAGAGGTGTGAACGTCGGATCTTGTCAAATTGGACAAAGCTGGGCGGTTGATGTTGCCGGTGTGAAGTGGTGATGTTCGAAAGTTGGAGGCTGTGGACCCTGAGGCGGATCCCTGCACGGATTCTACGATCAACTGATCGGAAGCTGCTGGCGATGGAAGCAAAGTCATATCAAGATCAACAGGAGCTTCCACTCTGGTGTTGCGAAATAGATGTAATATATGATTAATGTTGGCGCTTCAAATGCTCAATTCCAATGTCGCTGATGGCTTGGACCCCACGCTAAGACAAATATAAGACAAATGCAACGATTCGCGAGAATTAATCCTCCACTCGATATCCATCCCCTTCTCCTATCACTTACCACGGCCCGAGACAGCTAGTGCAATTACGCATCTTCAGGATGCCCACGTCTCTTCTCGCGTCTTCCAAACCATTGTTTTACGCTCTCTCTTCTGCACACACTATAATTCTCCAACCGCTTAGGCCAGAATGCCGAATCCCAACCCAACCGCAGCCACCAACGCAGCCATTCCAACAACCGGTCCCTCCACATACAATCCCGACGCCGCACCAGTTCCACTCACACCGCCGCCGTTATCACCACCGCTCGAACCCGTAGCCGCGGCATCGCCACCGAAGCCGCTGTAGATAATGTTGCCGTCCGCGTCGGTGGCCGTGGGGCCGGCGGTGGAAGACATGGTGGTTGAGATGGTGGAGGAGTTGATGCGGGTGGGGGATTGGGCGCCGCAGAGATTGTTGACTCTGAGTAGGGTTAGCCGATATTAGGAAGGAGGGATAGGGGTAGAAGGGAGGGGAACATACTCGCAGTTGGTCGCGCACGCGCCGTCGCCTATCGCGCACAGGTTCTTGCACTGGTTGTTCGTTTCGGTGCAGATGTAGTAGGGGATGGTGAGGTGGTATTGGGTCATGTTGGGGGTAAGGCCGTTGACGGAACAGACGCAGCTCCAGGCGAGGGATTTCTGTGGCCAGGATATGGCAGGTCAGTTATCAATCTAGAGACGATATGGATATGTGGCGAGCGGGCTGCTTGAACTTACGGAATCGCACGTGTTCGTGATGGTGTCGCCATTGTCTCCTGGGTATTGTAGGCACAGCAGAGGGCACTGTGCTTTCTGTGAAACGCACCAAGCATCTTTATACAGTGTCAGAGCATGGTCATTTCGGTTTAGGATGCGAGATGCGTACCCTTGGTAGCGGTCGGCACGATAGATAGGTCGAGAGCGTCAGTCAGGCCGACGGCCAAGACGTAGAGGGCGAGAGTAGCGAACGACTTCATCGTGGAATTGCGGCACAACGGATTCGTGTAAGTGGTCGACAAGTAAGGAGAAGCCTGGGAATGCGAGTTTAGATTAGAACATCGTCGAATGGAGCCTTGAATGTCGAAGGGGAGGTAGTCTGGTATTCTCCTTCGGTTGGCAGGGAGATGCTAGGAAGGTGAGAGCTGAAGAGCAGTCAACTTACGCTTCTCTTGGTCTCCTTCAATGCTAAACACGATCGATACAGCGAGCGAAAGAACAAGAAATTATTAGAACGTATACAAAAAAGCGAAGTAGAATCACACTGCAAACGATTGACGACTCTCAGCGAAGGTGTGAAGGGAAAGACAGAAGGAGACACGAAGGCCGAAGGACATGGAGATCGTTTAATCTTTCGGCGGCCCCAAACGACGCCAGACGCCCATCACGGGCTCTTTGCGACCTAGGCACAGGGCATCCCTGCGTGCCGGAATACAGAGAAACGCCCACAGATCAGACGATAGACCGGCGACGACACAACGCGACGCTAGTGCTGCAGCCACACTCAACTGAAGCACCCCGGAATCAGCTTGGATTGGGTGGTGAAGATCGGCTGGCGACCGCGCTGTTTTGGATTCTCGAAGACATATAATATCTCCATCCTTGGGACTTGGAATCTCGTTTGCCGGACCCTCCATTTTGCAGCTCTACAATCGGAAGCAAAAGCAGGTGGGAGGGTTGTGCTACCCTCCGCCTCGAGAGCGACGACCCCACTCCGAGCGAGAATCGTCTATCGCGAGGAGAAAAGACCCGGACTAGAAGTCCGCCATTCAGTTCCAAGCGAACGGGATAAGGGCCAGTAGCGCGGGAGCTGAATGGTGGATGGCCCGCCTAATCGTCCTCGGTAGTGGCCGTTTGTTGCTAAATGTGGAGGGTCAAGTAGGGCCTCGGACGTTTGAGCTATTGATTTATCTGCAGTATCTGTACGAATAAGTATTCCCATGCAGAGTTATGACACCATGAGTTATTTTATGATGCCTCTTGCCCTCTGTGGACCATGATGCCGCCTGACTGTTCAAGTTGATGTCGACAACAGGGTTGGAGAGGGATAGCGAGAGATCCAGACTGGCCTAGCGAGTGTCCCGGTCTCTTCTCAACCACTATCAAGAGCTCCATGCCGTAACTCGTAAGTCATAAGTTAACTAGAGTCTTAACGAGAGGCGAACCGAGTACATAAATATCCCAGCATCCATGTCCAGTCGCCACCCAATAACGGATTTGTTTCCGTCCTGGTCATTGCTTGTGATACCTGCATGTGCGGAGCCGAATGCATCGCATCGGAGGGTATTGTCTCGATCGTAGGTGGCAGCGGATCGGGCGGTGGGGTTGGTGCAACATGGTGCTACTCGGGCTGATAAGGTCTTTGTGGGATCGTGCAGAGCAATCGTTGATCACGGAGTCCTTGTGAAGTGGTGAGCTGTGCGATGATGGCGCGGCGTTTGGTGGGAGTATATTGTGGGGGGATATGACGATCCATGGACAAGGACTGGATATATATTGAGACGCGTATATTGTAGAGTTCTATGATATGAGAACATATATTTCGTAACTATAGATATAAGTATTTACGTAGCCCCTGAATATGATGTCAAGATGTAACGACATTCTGATTGCCGGTATCATTATTCAACGTTTCATATTTCTTGTACTCCATAGCCAATGGATATCACACGCGCCAAGTGTTGGGCTTTTGGTGGAGATGGTCAGAACATCGTGAGATTTCTTGGGTTTTATCGTCCTGGACACAATGACCATTGTCCTTTCATCCACCATGCTGTAACAAAACCCAATTACACAATTCACCTTAATCCCCACTCAATGTATCTCAATTCTCAACTACTCAGCTCTAGCCAAACAATTGATCCCGCCTAAGCTCGAGACGTACAACCATCATCCAGTAGCACTTCCGACTGCCTCAAACCCCCCATTCAATCCACCAACCGACTCTATGGATGGATCCATCCACCCACTCCTCCTCCCCTCTTACCCCTCCTTCCCCTCCTCCCCTCCCCCTTGATCCCCGTCCCTCCTCTCCTGATCCCCTCCCCTCCCCTCCTACCAACGGCAAACCCACCCCCCCTTCCCACACCGACAGCCCTCCCTACTGGCAACGCCGCGACCGCGGTGACTCCATCCGCAGCAACGCCCCGACCGACCGACAGCGCTTCACGATCACCCTCGAGGACCATACGGAGGAGGACTCGGAGCAGTCGAAGGCGCTGTGGGCGCGGGGAGCGACGATTGAGGAGTGGACGCTGGTGCAGGGGAGCAAGCCGGCGAGTTTGGGGGCATATGTGGTTTGGGTTTGTAATGTGCAGACGCAGAGGGTATGTTACATGATTTCGCTCCGAGGGGACGGATGGATGTTGGATATGGAGAGGGAGTCATGGACTAACGGCGCTCAGGGCGGGATAATCAAGATCCGCAAGAGGTATGTCTATGGATTTTTGCTCCAGAACGGAGGCAACCTAGAACATCTATCTAACATAGACCAGATACTCCGAATTCGAACAACTTCGAAAGGCATTAGTGCGCACGTTCCCCCACTCCAGCGCCGCGCTGCCTCCGCTCCCCCCCAAATCCATCCTCTCGAGATTCAAACCGCCGTTCCTGGAGAAGAGACGCGTGGGATTGCAGTACTTCCTGACCTGCGTCCTACTCAACCCGGAGTTTTCGTCAGCGCCGGTGCTGAAGGAGTTTATGTTTGAGCGATGACCGGTCGTTTTTGAGGGGCGTTGGAGCTGGGCATGGGGTTTCAACGGCCGAACGATGGGAGAGGGGATGGTATATATCTCTTTCTATGCATACGGCCGTTTATACACATAGTACGGATGCGGCGCCTTTCAAGCCGCTTTTCAATATATTAACTAGGCGATGAATTTGCCTGGAGGGTCAATACAGGAGTGCAATACGGGAATATAAAACCGAAGCATGGTGTTCCAGTATGGCCAGAACCTTGGATCGCTGTACCATGTTGAGCTGTTCTCAGGGCAGCTTCATTTTGGGTTGTCATGATGTTGAATTGGAGGAAGCAAGAGCATTCATATTGTATAGATACAAACAATATATCCGAGACCCAATTCGTTGTCCCAACATTGTGCAAGACCAATCTCGATTCTATCCAATATTCCATCCGATACTCCACCCCGAGGGGTCCTAGCTCTCTCTTCCCCATGTTCCCAGTTCCCAGTTATGCCCAAGTCTCCAAAGTCCCCAACATAATAAACCCTGAAAGGCAACAATCCCCAAGAAACCCAAGAAACCCCTAATCACCGACGATCACCACAATTCTCTAGTCCACTGCTATTGATTGATGCCTGCCAAATCCCTTGTCACCGCCCTATCCACCCGATCGTCCTACCAATATGCCCTCCTCGCGTTGTACCGATGAAGTTCATGCCACTCATGCCGCTCCGTCGCTCTCAGGGTAGAGTCCTCCCTTCTCCTCCTCCGCCGCACATGCAATCCGACCCCATCCTCCACCCCATCACCAAACCAAAAACCCGATCGGCAAAGGTGGCCGACTCCCATCCGCCTCTCCCTCCCACCGCGACGAACCGCCCCCCAAATCCCGCGCGTGTCGGCACCCAACCTCGCATCGGGAGCAATGGCTTCAATTCCAACGACGACGCCGCATCCCCCGCGAACGGCAACGGCGCTGCCTCCGGCGCCAAAAACTCTGTCACTGTCCTGCGCAACGGCACGCGCGTGTTGCACGCCACCGGCACGCACCCCTCGCCGCCGAAAGGCGTCAAGCGACCGCACGACGACGCGACTGACGCGAAGGCGGTGAAATACCCCAAGAAAACCCAGACGAAACTGAAATTCGCGCCGCTGCCGCCGATTGGCGCGCGGGATGGGCGAGATGGTGCTGGGGGTTTTTCTGGACATGAGCTCCAGCAGGAGACACGGCAGGATGGGAAGGAGGGTAAGAAACGCGTGCGGACGCGTAGTGGGCAGGCGACGGCTGCGACCGAGGTGACGGGCCGGAAAAGCGCGCTGGAGCGGATGTTGGTGCCGCCGAAGCCAGCGGCAGTGGACGCGGTGCAGACGGCGGACAAGCGGACGTTGCGGTCGCAGGACGGGGGCACGCGGATGAAGAGCGATCTGGCGATTTACTTCTCGAACTACGACGACATCATCACGGGGGCGCCGAAGGCACGGGGTGAGTGAGAACTGAGAATCCGACCGACCACATGACTGGTGGTGCGAACATGAGTGACTAACGTTGGATATGCGTAGACGTGATAGAAATCGACAGCAAGATCTTCATCATGGACGAACCGGTTCCCGACGCGACACGTCCCAGCACCTCGCCAGCCGCCTCGAAAACCCAATCGACCTCCCCATACGCAAAATCCCACCGCCGTTCCGCCGTTTCCTCCAAACCCGAATCCTCCACCTCCAACGGCATCCACCCCGTCCACTTCCCCAGCATCTCCCCCTCCCTCACCACCCCAACCGACCCCCTCCCGGACACCCACTACTTCAAACCCCACCGGCGCGCCGAGCGCAAAGAGAAGCAACTCCGCAACATCGAGAAGGAGCGCGCGCAGCACGAGAAGGTGCAGTTGGAGCGGCTGCTCGATGGGCTGCTGAGCCCCGATTGGTTGAAGGTGATGGGAATCTCCGGGGTGACGGAGAGCGAAAAGAAGGAGTATGAGGAGCGGAGGGCGTATTTCGTACGTGAGGTGAGGGCGCTGGTGGAGAAATTTCGGGTGTGGAAAGAGGAGGAAAGAAGGTTGAAGATGGAGAGGGAGCAGGCGGTGTTGGCGAGGGAGGCGGCGGCTACGGAGGAGGAACAGCAGGGCGGGGACGAAAGCGAAGACGGCGAGGATGTAGAGGAAGAGGAGCAAGAACTCTCCCTGGACCCCCCGCGCCACAAACCCCTTCCCCACGACTCCGACTCCACCAGCACCACCGACATTGGCGCCCACGCCACCCAACAACTCCTCGCCGAAGCCTCCGCATCCCGCCCCTCACCTCCCACCACCCTTCCAACCCCACCCTCCCCCCCCAAACCCTTCACCAGCTTCTTCGCCAAACCGCACCTCCGCGCGCAGGCGATGGGGCAGCAGCGGCATGGGCGGAAGGCGTACGCGTTTGGGCGGGAGGTAGCGGAGGGCGGAGAGCGGGAGTTTGAGTTGCCGGAGGAGTTGAGGACGGAGGAGGCGGTGAGGAGGAACGCGAGGAGGAGAAGGAGGGTGAGGAGGAGGACGGGAGGGGAGGAGGAGGAGGAGGAGGGGTAAGGGTTCTGGTGTCTGGAACCCCTACACTGCGGAGTCAGCACGGCGACATGTTCGCGACGGCGAGAGGGGAGGAGTAGGGAGCCAGGGGGTAGCGGTTCTTCATTCGTCTATCTGTAAAAATGATTCATGGGAAAAGAATAGACCCAAATACACGCGAGAAATCTCTATTTAGCAGTCATTCATCTCCAAATTTGTGCCCTCTTTGCTGTGCACGCGGGAGCCATGAAAGAGTGAGGAGAGTCAGGAGGTTGATCATCCCATGAAGAGAATGGCGAATAGACAGCGTGAGCAGTAAGAAAAAGAATCGAGAGATGGAGTAGGTAGTACAACAGCATTGGAATATGGCCTATGAGTTTACGATATGACCCCCCTATATAGTCCGATAAGACGATATAATCTAAGGGATATAATAATAGCCTGTCAACTTGAGTACTCCTTGACTATGTTCATGTGAAATGGCGAGTGAGCGAACGGAATTTATGCCTAATTGCCTCAGGCAAATAACATCCTCCGCGTCCAGCTCAACTTGAACCCTCACTCTACAGCCTCGCGTTTGACGAAGTGAATGCGAGATATCTGAGTTCCCACCAGGTTCAGACGAACTCGTCTGCTCACCAGCAGTTGTCCCTTTTCAAGCCATTTCACCTACTATATCCTCGTTGTGCTCACCCTCACCAACGTTCCTGACTGCCTCAATCAGCACCTCCGCAATCCAATCCGCATCACACTCCTGCCTCACCAACCGTCGAGAACGATGAGAACCAACAGACCTCACACTTACCAAGACTAATCCTCCACTGCAATGATGGCTTCGGCCACCGACGAACGCAAATCCTCATCCGGCGAAACCTCTCGCCCTCCCCTCCCTCCTCCCGAATACCTCGTCCAATCCCAAACCATCGACCTCGACATCGACCTCCTCCGCCAACGCATCCAAGGCCGCGCCGAACTCGCCGTTCAACCCCAGAAAGACCATCCAGGTCCCATCCCCCTCAACTTCCGCAGCGGCACCATCAAAGCCATCACCGTTAACGGCGTGCGCGCCACCTACACGCACGCCGACCCGTTCGCAAACCTCCGCGTCCGCCGCCGCAACGTCTCGCACCACGACCGCATCCGCGACGACCTGGGGGTCGCGCTGGACGAGCCGCTTGAGCCGCAGGTGCAGATCAAGATCCCGAAGGGGGTGCGGTTCGAGAAGACGCGGTTCGGGACGCCGGGGGAGAGGGGGAAGCTGAAGCTGCTGAGCGTGGCGGATGCATTTCTCGGGCATGAATTGCCGATGGGCAAAGATGCGACCACGACGTATGAGCCGGTGAAGGTGGTGGTGCAGTATGAGATTACGGATTGCAGGGAGTGCATGCATTTCGTGGGGGTGGACGAGAACGACAGTCGGTTCCCGCATGCGTACACGCTCAATTCGCCTTATCCCGGGTCGGCGTCGACCCTCTTTCCCTGCATTGACGGGTTCGACTCGCGATCCCTCTACAATGTTTCCGTCCGCGTTCCTCGAACCGTTGGGGATCTGTTCTCCGGCGCGGGGAAGATCGGAGACGAGCTGGCGGCCAATTTGACTGAGGAAGAGAAGGGTATGGAGATGGCGGTGCTGGGTTCCGGGGACTTGACAGACGAGATTGTCGATGCGGAAGATAAATCGCATAAGACGTTCTCGTTCAAGTGTGATATGCCAATCACCGCCCGGCATTTCGGAATTGCAGTTGGTCCGTTCGAACATGTGGATCTTGCGGAGTACCGGGAGAGCGAACAGGATGAGCGTCTGGGTGACAGTGCTGTTCATGTGCATGGTTTCTGTCTTCCCAATCGGAGCAAGGACTTGCGGAATACTTGCCTGCCTATCGCAATGGTGAGATTGCACCAGTGTCCTGAATTTGCGCCATCTAACACATTTTAGAGCATCGACCACTTCACACAGAAATACAGCACCTTCCCATTCAAGACCTACAAGATGTGCTTTATCGACGACCTCGACGTAAACGTGGCACATACAGCAAGCCTCTCGATTTGTAGTTCGAGACTGCTATTTCCTGAGAAGATCATTGACACTATGGACGACGTGACTCTCGCCCTCGTGCATGGGGTTGCCTGTCAATGGGCGGGAATCATGGTCGTTCCGAAAACCCCACTAGACGCATGGGTTACCGCTGGCGCTTCGATGTACATGGCATTGCTCTTCATGCGCGAGCTGTGGGGGAGGAACGAATACCGATTCCGTCACAAAGACATGATCGACAAGGTCTTTGAAATGGACGTGAATCGACAGTCCCTCGAAAATCTTGGCCCCCTTCTCTCACTCGATCCCTCCGAAGCGGAGTTCATGAATATGAAGGCTCCATTGGTTCTTTACATCTTGAATAATCGTATCATCAAAGCCATGGGCCGCAATGGCGTCGACCGTATCCTCTGGAAGACGTTCACTCAGGCATTGTCAGGCACGGGACCCGAAGCCTCCATCACCACCGAGGCGTTCCGGAAGATCTGCGAGCGAGTCGGACACATGAACTTCGAGGTCTTCTTCGGTCAGTGGGTCCAATCGTCGGGGTGTCCCAAATTCTACGTCGGGCAGAAGTTCAACAAGAAGAAGCTGGTGGTCGAGTTGACGTTCCGACAGAACAACGGATTAGCCAGCGTGGATCAATCATTTACGGCCGATTCGTTGACGCGCAAGTTTAAAGAAGCGGCGACGGGCGTCCCGAGTACCCAGACACCATCACTCTTTACAGGACCGATGACGGTGAGAATCCACGAAGCGGATGGGACGCCCTACGAGCATATCGTGGAAATCAAGGAGATGGTTACGAGAATCGATATCCCCTACAACACCAAGTACAAACGACTGAAGCGGAGTAAGCGACAGAAAGAGCGCGCCGCGATCAATTCCGGTGTGGACGTTGCTGATGCGCAAGATGACGTTCTCGTGTACTGCCTTGGTGACGTGCTGCAGACCGAGGACGAAGTTCAGGATTGGAGTCTCGTTGATTGGTCCCGAGAAGACGAGATCAAGATGGGCGAGGAGTCGTACGAATGGGTTCGTGTGGACAAAGATTTCGAGTGGATCGGCGAGATCCAATTCAATCAGCCGCATTACATGTTTGTTTCCCAGCTACAGCAAGACCATGACGTTGTGGCACAGGTCGAGGTAAGATCATCTTTCCTCCCCACGAGAATAGTCACTGACAAACGATTAGGCATTGAAATACCTGGACAAACAACAGCCCTTCCCTATCATCTCTACCATTCTCGTCCGCACCCTCATGGACACGCGATACTACTACCGGATTCGCCTGCATGCCGCCAGGTCCCTTGTCAAGTGCGCCACCGACACCATAAACTGGGTCGGCTTAGAACATCTCGAGAAAGCATATCAAGAGCTCTTCTGCATCCCCGGCTCTGGATTACCTCGACCGAATGACTTCTCTCAGCGTGAAAACTACGCGATTCAGTGCGAGATCAACAAGGCCGTCTCGACCGTCAAAGACAGCTCGGGCAAGTCCACGCCGCGAGTCAAGCAGTTCCTACTGGATAAATTGAAGTTCAATGAGAACTCAGAGAACCCGTACTCCGATGTCTTCTATGTTTCCATGCTGTTAAGCGCCTTGACCGAAACTCTTCTGGTCAAACAGGAGCGTGGGCAATCCTCATTCACCTTCGAAGACGAGGACGAGGATAATGAGATGGCATTTGTTAAATTCGTTCTTGGTGAGCTCGAAAGATATCGACGGATTGACGAGTGGGTGCCGTCGTTCCACAACATCTACTCCACTACCACCTTGGAGTGCCTGGCGAAACTCGTCCAACACAAGGTCGTCAACCTAAAAGGCGCCGAATTCTTTCAGTACACCCGGCCGAGCAACTGGGGCGAGGTGCGCCTCAAAGCATTCGAGGCACTGATTGACGTGGGCCTTCTGCAAGCGCCAGGCGTTCTCTCTTTCCTACTCTACTCATTCGAATCCGAGAAATCTCCATACATGAGACGACGACTCTGGAGTATTTTCGAACGAGGCATCTCAAAGGTTGCGCTGGGCGAGTTCCGCAAGGAACCCGAAAAGCCGGCAACAAACGGTCTCATTGTCGAGGGAGATAGCAGTGCGCAGACCCAGCGACAGGTCCAGAAGCAGCGCACCACCGAAGTTGGGGGAGCGTTGGACGCGCTTAGAAAGGAGCTTAGCAACAACGAGTCACTACGAACGGCACTCACCGGCATCCTGCGCTCAAACAGCCTCACCCTCCAAGAATACTCCGCGGTCCTTGACATCTGTAACCTCCTCTACGAGCCCGTTAAAGGCGGCCTTATCGTCAAGCTCCGCTACCCCCGCTTCTGGCGTTGTGAAAACCTCGGCGATGGCAAGCTGCGTTTCTACAACACCTCCCGAATCCGCACCACCAAAACCCCCAAATGGAAACCCATCGCTCCCGCCATCCCACGCCTCTCCATCAAAACCTCCATCTCGAAACCCGCACCCGCACCCGCGCCCGCGCCCGCGCCCGCACCGGCACCCGCACCGGCACCCGTACCCGCCTCCCGCCCCGCCCCGTCCCCCACCGACTCTCGAAAACGTCGCCGCAGCAGCACCGCCGAAGACGATGCCCCCCTCATGAGCACCAAAGCCGCCCGCGAGACCCCCGTCCAGAAACGCACCCCGCTCCTCAAGCTGAAGACGAAGCTGCCGGAGCCCGCGACCCCACCGCGGAAGATCTTGAAGCTGAAGCTGCCGAGCGGCGGGTTGCGGCGGTTTCAGGAGTCGTTGCAGGTGCCACAGCAGCCGGCGAGCGACAGGCTTGAGGCGACGCCGTCGACGGTGAAGTCGGCGAGTCCGGCAGTGGGGGCGCCGGCGGCGGAGCAGGAGTCGGTGAATGGGAAGAAGTCGCCGCAGACGCCGATGGGGGGGCCGTTGAAGCGGGTGATTTCTTTCAAGACGAAGTTTTCGGGGAAGCCGTGATTTCAGATACGGTTGACCGACTGACTCAGGGGGGACTATATCAACACGAGTCTGGGTCCATTGGAGAAACGGGCCACATTTGCGTTTTTGTGTTTTTCAGCTAAAAGCGTTCGTATTATGCATAGCGTGATGGAGTTCCTTTATTTTCGGCTCGACGGGTTTCAGCATATGGTATGGGAATGGGCATTTATAACGGACGCGGGCGCGCGAATGGCGTCAGGCGGGATACCACAGGGCACAGGTACTTCGGTACAGGAAAAGGGCTTTCTGTACATTATCCGGACACTAAAAGGAACAGCAATATGTAAGTTGCAAACCATGATCGCTGGTGATATGCGACGCTCGCCTATTTAAACAATTACGCAATTCCTTTCTCCCCAAGCACGAATAACGCCATTAAACCATTCCCCCGGTCCTTGGACCACGTTCATAGCACGATGAGAAGCTCATGCCTCGCCAACTTCTCATCCTCCATGTTCGGATAGTACGGCACCATCCCATCGGAATTTTGCACGTACGCATCATTGTACAGCCGCCAATACGGCTGCCGCACTTTCCTCGCCGGATGGAACAAGCCCGCCCACACATAGTTCATCACCATGCCGCTCCCCACCGTCATCCGCACCGCGTCGATCGCCTCGATGATCCGATCGATGACGTGCGGGCTCGTCTCGAAGATATTCGGGAAGAGCAGATTCAGAAGATGCAGCATGGCGTCCTCACATCCGAGGCCCACGACGCCCAACGCCACATGCTTGACGACCGACGCGGCGGTCTGCCGATGCACCTGATCGCGGTCGATCAGCGCGTCCTCCAGCAGCGGGGTAACAGCGTAGACGTAGTCCTTCGCCATCTCGCCGATGTACTCGAAGAGGAAGGAGAGGGATTTGAGGACACCGTTTTGGACGTTGAGTTCGGGAACGCGGTATTCGTTCATGAGGGCGGGGAGCACGGTGAAGGGGGCGCAGGTCTCGGCGACGATGCCGATGGCGACAGCGGTGCAGACGCGGGACTGGCGTTCCTGGACGCGGAGGTTGTTGAGGAGGGTGGCGAGGACGTCCTGCGGGCCGATGGCCTTGGCGATGAAACCGAAGGTGTTGTTGGCGGCGCGGCGGATGCCCTTTTTGTGGGCCTTGAGCATGTCGAGGAGCTCGAAGCAGATGCGCATCCATTCGCGCGCGTTGACGGATTCGGGGCCGCGGTCAGCGATGCGGCCGACGAGGTCGATGGTGTTTTCTTGCACTTTTTCGTGCCGGTTGCGGAGGATGGGGGTGAGGCGGGGAAGGAGGTCTTTGATGGGAGGCTGCATTTGGTTGATGCCGACGACGGTGACAATGGAGCGTAGGGCACCGAGGATGGAGCCGAGAACTTCGGGGTATTCTTCTCCTAGGTACTCGTACAGGACCGTGCCGAGTTTTCCCATGAGGTGATCCTCGCCGCATTGCTTCATGATCATAGCGATGCGTGATACGAGATCGGCAGCCTGCTGTCGGACGGTAGGAGCCTTGTTGTTGAGGCGCCAGAGAATAGTGCTGACGATTTGAGCCAGGTATGGCTTGCATCGAGTGCCAAGTGCGTTGACGACGGTTCCGAAGCCATTGAGGAGGATGATGTCTTCGATACTTTGCTCCTGGAACGCGTGAAGAATACCGTCGACCAGTCTCTCCTCCAGCTTCTCACCAATATCAGCGGCACCGAGACTGGCCACCAATTTCTCGATCGTCTCGACGGTCATCTTCCGGTACGGCTCACTCTCGTCCTTGAGGTTGTTCACGACTCGTTCCAAGATCTCCCCAACACCAACCTTCTGGCCAAGGTCCACCGTCGTCTCGACCACTTGACGATAATTCCGCTTGTCCAACGCCATGCGCCGGACCCAGAAGCTCTTGAAGAAATCGGGGAGAACGGTCTCCTTGAGATAGCCAGCAGTCACACCCTCAGTGTTCGCGCACTGCGAGACGACCTTCAACACGACCTTCTTCATCTCCTCGTCGGGTGAAGAGAACTCTCGCAGAAGGATTTCCATGATCTGGCTGGTGTAGTAGTTGGCATATTCTTCGTCCATCAGCGGAATGATATATCCCACGGCCTTCAAGAAGCCCGCCAATCCCTTGCCGCGTTGCTTCCTGGCGCCTGTCCAAAGCGGATTCAGGATCTCGTCAAAGCTCTCAATACCATACGGATTCGCCGCTTCCGCCAGCGCAGCGATGGCCAGCGACGTGACGGTCCGAACCTTCGCTTGCTCGTCGTTGAGATTGTCGCCGATGCAGTCAACCAGTCCCTTGAGGTGGGGAAGGATGGCGCAGCCCATGAGGATCGGAATCTGCTGCACAATCTTGACACCGGTGTGTCGGGCCTGCCATGATTTCTTGCTTCGACAAACCGCTCGCAGGAAGGGTAGAAGTGCGGGAATACCGAGGGCAGACGCGACGACCGCAAAGGCGCGCGCTGTAGTGTTTCGGACATACTCGTCAACGTGATCGATATCCGGGCGCATCGTGCTGATCATGTGTGCTAAACCAGCAGCCTTGCTAAGATTCGAGATGATTTCTCGGCCTTCCACTCGCGCATAGTAGTCCTGGTCGATCAACAGTGGCTCGATGACGACCAATATCTTGTGCACGTATGGTCGGACTAGATCGTCTAGCTTGTAGAGGATGCGATCAATAACCTTGACTAGCAAATGTCGTTCTTGATCCTCCAATGTCTTCTCCATCAACAGTGGTAATATTTGGTTGAACAGGGGGCCGGCACCGAACTGCCTGGCGTTGTCGGTCAGCTGTCGTAAGGCAGTCTTTCGCATTGGCGGTGTGCCGTTCTTGACTTTGAGTAGTAGTCGCATGATCTTGCGCTCTTTCAACTCTTCAACAGACATCTCGTTCTCGTCCGCTCCGTCGACTAGCTTCCCGAAGTACGCCATATCTTCAGTCTTAAAGAATTGCAAGTCCCCCACGCCAGGAATTTCCGTTGGTAGCTGTTTGCCCAGCATCCTCTCATTCGCCGGCTCCTGCATCATGAACCCTCCGTATCCGCTCGTGGGCGTTTGCTGTATCGGAACCGCGCGACGTACCCCAGCCTGGGTATACTGATACCCTGGCGGCGGCTCGAGGATCTTGTATCCTTCAGACGGAAGCAGCATGTCCAACTCTTCGTCCGAAAAAGCTGCTGCCCGACCCGAAATATCGGTTCCGAAGCCACTGGAAGGATGCGCTGGCGTTACCATCCCCGCGCCAGCGGCAGGCGTCGCGCCGCCTAATGCTGGAGCTTGGTCCCATCGTGATCGTCTCTTCGGTGCCTCCGCAGCTTCGGTTCCAGGGGCAGCGGGCGTCTCGTCCCAGCGGGACTTTTTCTTGGCAGCCTGCTGCTTCGCGGTGTCTTCGTCCGCAGCCGCTGCTGGAGTCTCCGTCCCAACATCCCACCTCTGCTTCCTCTTCCTCCCCGCGGCGACCGCGACGGCTGCGCCGGCCTCGCGATTCTCCTTGTCGCTTATGGTATCCTTCTTCAAAGTCGGTTCATGCTCGATCTGCATGGGCTCTCCCTTCTTCTCTCGATCTTCGAGGATCCGCTTGACCCGTTCCTCCTCTCTCTCGATATCCCTTTGCACCATGATTTCGCGATAGCTCTGACCTTCGCCTTCCGGGATGCCCGCTTGAGAATTCGCCGCAAATGCATCTGCCCTCGTCGGTGTGAGTGGGCCGCGATCATGCCTCCGTTTCTGATAGTCCGTCTCGCGCGACGCGATCTGCGCTTGTTTCTCCCGGCTCATCAAGATGTCTTCTTCCTCCGTTTCTCCATGCGCAAACTCGTCCATCTGCGCGCGTGTGGCTGTATATTGTCCCACGAGCCGCCGGCTGCTATCGTCGCCGTTCATGCCGTCCATTTCCTCGTCATCACCGCCGACGGCGATGGACGTGTCGTAACCAGCAAACTTATCGAGGCCGTTTCGACTGTACAGTTCGGTGTCCATGGCATCAGTGAGAGAGGCTTTGGTATCGGCTCGTTGGTCGGACGAATCGAAAGCCTTGCCCTTCGACTTCGTGGCTGCGGCAGCATTGCGCTCCTGCTGGAGGCGCTTGACGGCCTCGAAATCGGCGTCGGACATGTTGACATTTACTGCAGAGCTTTTCGACTCGATGGGCAGTGAGACAGGAGATGTGCCAGTTTGAGGTTGGAGGTTTGGGTCAATGAAGGTCGGGGTGTATGTTTCCCTTCAATCCAACAATCTGATGAGGTTGAGCCTCCAGGCGTTCCGTATGGAAATTTGGTGGAATGATACTGGTCACGTTACTTGAAGGGCCGTAATTTACTGGCCAATAATAGCTTATTTATTTCAAACTAAAATTTAGTCAGTATAACTAGGCCATATGCGGTCTAGCATTTGCAACCTCCCTGGCGCGATACGAAATCCAGTCGCGACTCCCGACATGTTGGCATTGTGAAGAGTTGGCGAGTGATGATCTATATAACCATAATACCCGAACAACTACCCAAGTTCGACACTTATTCTCGTCTAAGAATCCAGAGCCATTTGCCAGATCATAGCAATCACCCCATCGCTTCCATTCACCATGCAAGAGGCCACCGACGAAGGCGCATCCACGGCCCCCACGAACGGCACCACAAACTCCCCAGCAATCCCCGAACCACTCTCCCAGCCCGGCGCCGTATGTCCTATTCCTCCCATCTCCCTCACCCCATTCACCAGTCGCCTATACGTCGAGCCCCTCCCCGTGCCCCCTCACATCCAGCAATACCACCCTGCCATCCTCTCCCCACTAACCCAATCCTTTTCCCAGGACCCCTCCACCGTCCCCCAACCACATCCACCACAGCAACAACAGCAACCGACCGCCTCCGCCTCCGCTGCTCCTGCAAACGCGAATCAGGCAATGGCTGGCTCCGGCCCCGGCCCCGGCCACTCGACCGCCTCGTCGCCGGCCCCTGCTGCCGCGAGAGGATCACCGCATCTGGGTCAACAGGCACAAGCGGCGGCGCTGCCTACACAGCCGGCGATTCATGGGTCGCCGACGAGGATATATTTGAATACGAATGTCACGCCTCATTTGTTGGAGGGGATGAAATACTTGGCGGTCAATGAGTGAGTGGATTGGTGGACGGTTCGGGTTTAGAGTGGGTGAGGTTGATGCTAATGGTTGAGTAGGCCAGAGAAGCCGCTGAAGTGGTTGTCGGAGTTCCTCGCGCAGAAGAGCGTTGAGATCGAAGGGGCATGAGGGCTTGGCGACTATGACGAACTGTTCGACAGATGTTGGCAAGGTTCGTTTGACAGGCATGATGGATTCGGGACGCAGTCACATTGCACGGTCATATCAATTCAAAAGCATAGCGAGGAGTACGGATGATTTTGAGTTTGATATATTTGCATTGGACATCTACGACCCACGACAAGTGGTCCGGTCCGCTACAGCAATAGCAAGAATGCTATATTTTTCCTCCCCTCCTGGTACACTTCTACATTTCCCGGCTGTACGCATCAAAGTAATCGACCTTGACGCCATTCAGATGATGCATATTGGCCATGAAGTGTGCCTGTCCAGCGCTCCGGGCCTTGGCCCCTTGCGACCTCTACCGCCATCGACGTTTATGAGACGAGGGTGCTGGCAGTGGCGCTCTCGTACTTCCAGGTCGGGGCGACGACGCCAACAGACTTGTAGTAACGGGAGAGACGGTGGATACGGGACTCGATGAGAATCATGCGGAACTTGGAGTCACGGTCCTTGCGGTTGCGCTCGAGATGCTTGCGGACGGCGACGGCCTGGAGGAAGCGAGTCAGAAGGTTCACGGGCGGAAAGGCGGGAGTATGTGGTTACCTTTCGGATCAACATGTACAGATCCTCGGGGATCTCTGGCGCAAGGCCTGTTGTCACAACGTCAGTCATAGTTGACCAAACGAAGGCTCATAAGGACAATCGAGGTCATGATAAGTGAGGGAGTTTTTCTCGTCACATCAATCGCTCTCATGTCACTTGTTGTTGTCTCATACCATTGGACTTCAAGATCCTCAGAATCTTGTTACCTATTCAACTGTTAGCCATCCGTTCCCGCGTCCGTTTCACCAAGATTTCCTCCATGGAGGCTCTCCGTCACATACCAGTAACGATCTTCACCTGCGCAATTCCATGCGAATCCCTCAGGACAACACCAATCTGCGACGGCGTGGCGCCCTTCTTGGCCAGCTTGCAGATCTGCTCCTCGACCTGGTCGGGGGTGGCCTTCAACCACGCCGGGGCGGTGCGGGAGTAGGGGATGGTGGAGGACGATATGCCCTTGCCATTGCTGTGAAGACGACCCATGTTGGCGGTATGAAAATGAGAACCGGGAGACGAGTTCTTGGATGTCGAAGGTGGATGGAGTCGGAGGATGAAGTTCGAAGTTGGTGAGAGGAAATTTCGCTTGGGATTGTGGGTGGGGCTTGGCAATCACGTGGTCCGTGCGCCAACTTCCACGACGTTTAAGAAAAGTTTCTGCCGTCAACAACAACTTCCTCCGTCACTCACTGACTTACAAATGGATTTCAAACTCAAAACAATGTCGTCAAGTCAGATATCACGTATTTGGGTCAATTCTGATGACTCGACACATCAATGACCTCCACAATTTTTCAAGGTGGTGTAGATATTCGCCTCCGAACTCACAAATTATAAGGTAAGCTTCTTCCAGCACATGTTCCTTTTCAACGCGTTCTATGATGAGACCTTCATTACTTTTTTCTGGTACCTCTTATGCTAGCGGACTTTACAGTCCACGATGATCTAAAAGGACTTCTGATCTACCGTTTTCACTCTCGTTCCTACTCGACATGGAGTTCTTGGGCAATGACTAACGGACATATCACAGATCACTTAGAACAACCCGAGACATGACATCGTATCGAGTATTAGACTTGTTCCATGTGTCATACACGGTAGGCGGCGACAGATCATGACCTAGGTGTTCCTTTAATACCCGAGTCTACAAATTGGCTGGTCCGACAAGTTTGCAATTTCATCATCTGTTGGCAGCAAGACGAACGGAATAGCATTTCCTGCCAAATTCACCCAACAATGAGCCACCTACAATTTCTGCTGTCCAATTCTTGCGTGTTTCTCTTTAGTAATAAACAACGTACCTTCGACAGTTAATCAAATGAAATATAAACGTCCAAATTATCACCGTCCACCTGAGATATTTCTAATTCCCCCCGAGTCAAAGGGCTTCGACGGCTGTCCTTGAAGCCAGTCCGGCGCCCTGGTTGACCTGTATGAGTTCCGAGCTGTTCCAGTCTTCCACTCTTCACATGTATTATCGGCAATTTGTTCTATGGGCCTGGTGCCTCAATATTACGGGCGGGGCGACTGAACGAAAAGCATGGAAAGCAATGACTTGAGAGCGATGGGCTTCTACAATTTCAATATGATCTGACGCGTTTAAGACTAGTTAGCCGATTTGGTAGACTTTTAAGCTCATTTCTGCAACAGCAAGAATCAGTTATGTACCTGAGACAAGGAGTGACTATATTCCATTTTGGCTCTAAGACTAAGAATAATAACCGCCCATAAACATCAAGGAAAAGTGTATGCTTGGTTGTGTTACATTGATCCAACCCCAGGCAGCCTCCCGTTCCAAATCTATTCAGATATATGATTAAAAGGCCACGATAGGATCGTCCACCGACAACCCTACTTGGAATCCTTCTCCTTTGATTCACCAGCCTTGTCATCTAACAGCGTCCCATTTTCCTTCTGCTGCACCTCCGCTTGCTCAACCGCCGCCTCCCTGTCATCCTTCTCATCGATGTTATCCACGTCGCGCACGCTAGCTTTCGCACTCAGCCCCTCATCCGCCTCGCGCTGCTCATTCTCCTCCTCAATCAACTCCTGCTGCTCCTTCAGCACCTCGAGCCTCTGCCTATTCGTCGCGGCGCCCTCGGCGGTATGCACCTCCAGCTCGATCTCATGGAACAGCTCCTCGGGGATGGAGCTGAGCACCGCTTGCAGGGCATCGATCTGGTTGGTGATCTCGGACTCCTTGCCGGTGGCGTAGACGAACGCATTCGCGAGGACAAGGAGCGTCGAGGGGACGCCGTATTTCAGGCGCAGGTCGAGCCACATCTGCAGGTCTTCGCGGAGGCGGGCGGGGGACACGCCCATGGTGCGGAGGCCGCGGCTGCCGCAGGCGAGCTGCAGTTCGGTGACGGAGAGAGTGTCGACGCCTTCGTAGGCAATGGCTTTGTCGTCGCGCTTGATTTGTCGCATGTGGTGTCGGACCTGATAACGAAGGAACGTGTCGGGTCCGATGGGATTCAGGTTCATATAGCGGCAGATAGCTACCAGTTGTGGTCGTGACAGGTTGTCAAGAGTGAGATCGTCCTTGAAGACCTTGCACACTTTAATGACGTCCGACGGCGTCGGCGCCACGCCGGTAGTGCGCACTTTGCGGAAGAACTCCGTGAACTCCTCCTTCTGCGCATTGGCAGGTGTCACGGGGAGGCCGCTCTCTTTCAAGGTGTCCCGCAAGAAACTTGAGACTTCCTTGCGCGTCGCTCGGAGACGGGTGGCTTTAGCATCCTTTGCTTTTTGTCCCTCGTAGGTGCTAGGAAGAAGGTTGGGGAAGAGCTTCAGGGCCACGGGGAGAAGTAGCTCGGCGAATGGAACAATGAGGAATACAGAGAAAGGAACCAAACGACCAAGATCTTGGACAGTTCTTTGGAGCTATGAAATGTTAGTATCAGCCGCATCATAAAGACATTGCTTATTTACCTGTCGGCTTTCTCTCCGAGTTAGCTCATAGCCTGCTGCCATTTTAAGCGCAAGCTTTGAGCTAATCCTGACCTCGAATCCAAGGAGTTTTGTTCCATCCCAATAATGTGCCGCCTCTTTCTTAACCTTTTGCCATATGGTTATCTTCTTTTCGTCCTTCTTCTTCTCAGCCACGGCCTTCGCTCCGCTCTTCTCGCCTTCTGCAGCAAGTTCAGGCATAGACTGAAGCTCACCGGATTTTTCTTTCTGTGTAGCGGTCGATCCTGTCGAAGCGACATTGCCCTTCTCCATTACCTTCTTGGTAATAGAGCCGGGCTCGCTTAATGATGACACGCCATTCTGTGCCCCTTTCTCGCTACTCTGATCGTCCTTTGACAACGGCTTCTTCGCTTGATCGGAGTTAAAGCCAGGCGGAGGAAAGTTGCCCTGGGGCTTCGTCGAGGAATGAGTATCGGTAGAGTTGGCGCGATACGGCAGTAGGATTGCGATCGCAGGAACAGCGCCAGGGAGCGCACGACGCGATCTTGATATTCTGCTGCCTCTCACGAGCAGGGGAGCGATGCGGGATGTTGCGCGATTCGTATACATCGCGAGCCAGCTGTTGCGCCGGCTACTGTAATTGTTTTGACAGCGCAGATACTCTTGACAGTTAGATGGGGAGATGGGAGATTGATGAAATGGAGTTGGAAACTACACATGTATCGCGGCTTCGGACAGGTCATTGTTGGAGGATGTGAAGATTACGTCGGAGTATTTTACATCCCGAAACAGGTTAGCGTTAATATCTAGCGCGCAGCACAAGGTTCCAGAATCCAGAATCCTGACTGCCCGTTCCGTTCGACGCATCGATCCATTCGCGTCTGATCGCCGATTATTACCGTCTCGAACCTCCGGGTCCGCTCCAAATTCCTATTCAACAGTTCAATGACAGTCCTCAGGTTGCTGGGTATGTTGGTCCAAACGCAAGAGATTTATATTATTCTTCCGAAGGGTCAGTAATGGGTCGAATTATTCCAACTGCTCGTCACAACATATTAGACCCAACGAAACAAGCGAGACATCATGCGCCATCTGGTGTGGAGGAAGTCGATGACGCTTCACCTTTGACATCAACCTCTAGCAGGCATGGTATACGGAAATGTTATAATGTGGCCTAGTATGCGGCTATACCTATTGTTTGGACCATCGGCAGTTCTCGTACAAGTCGAGACACAAGGTGACACAGACTGTATTGAATTCTGTCGGCGAAACTATACAGATTCCCTTCTCTGGAGAAGGTCTCTGTTCTTCTTGCTCTACGAAAGAGAAATTTATGTAACAGAGGTCAGACGAGTGGCTTGCCTTTTACCGCGTCAAGTCCAGAAACCGTCACAGGGAGAGGTAATCTCATTTCAAAAATATACAGCTATATATGTTAAACCGCCATAAGGCGTAACGTAAGGGCACTTTGTACTCCGAAGTACGGCCAGCATACTGTACGATTCTTAATGCTCCCCATCTCAGAGACGAGCCCAGCTTGAATAAAGGAAATGGTGGTGTCAAATCCAACCAGTTGACATGCATACTGTTGGGGTATCATCACGGTCGCCAAATGCTGCTTTGTTTGGCAAACGAACAAATCACCTCACGAAGAATCGGCTAACTTACAATAGTTATACAAAAGAATTGTCCATCTAAATTGGCGAGGATAAGAGGAAGGATCGGGTGGAGATTCAGTAGGGGTAACAAGTCCTCAAGGTCAAAGATGTCTCGGGTATCGGTTGACCCTCACCCGGTGACATCAGCAAGGAACTTGCTACCTTGATCTATAAATCGGAACGTGAGCCCAGCAATGGTCTGGTCCGCGTTCACAATCCGAATCACATAGCGAACCACTTCATAATTTCCGGTCTCATAGACCCGGAGTTCCTGCTCCTGCCCTGAAGATTCCACCAAATATGCATGGCCATGCACGGTGGAGCTGACGTCGCGTCCACGAGGGCATGGTATTTCTCCGCCTAGATTCAGATGGAACTACCTGTGACCGAAGATGGCTCATGGCTGGCTTCGACTTCAGCTGCAAGAGACGGGCAAGCCGATCGGGCTCGGTCAGTGAGCCGTAGAAGAAGAAGTACATAGGAAACTCCTTTTGCGTAGGACGCGGTGCATTCTTGCAGTCGGTCAGCCGGTCCTGGGGCAGTGTGATCTTCAACCCCAGAGTTGGGTGAATCGAGTGCGCGCAGAAATTTTCGCGATCGAGATCGAGACAATGGTGGCCCTAAATGAGGATGTCGCGAAGAAGCTCAAGATCCGGGATTTCGCAGCGCCATCGACCATGGCGAAGCACGCAGGCGCACCGTCTTCTTCGCTCTCATTTGTGCCGTTTCTGGCATGCACTTCAGTGCCAACGATCTCCTTCAGGGCTTGGGGCGACTGTAGTGGAGCAGCAACCTGCAGGGAGTACTCGTAGCTCTCCTTATTGTGCCCTGGGTGCATGCTGCAAATAATTTCCCAATGCCCTTTCGGGATCCTGAGACAATCCGGACTATCCCTGTGATCTTTGATGCGCTCCAGATATTCACCCTGTGTGAGTCCAAAGAGCCGTACCCATCGTTGCTGCTCTTCGATACTGATATCCTGGTCAGCGGAGAATTCGCCGGTGGCCGCAGGCCCGCAGCCAAAAGCTCGAGCTCTGAAAGGGGGTCCATAGCGCGTAGAATATGTCACATATGCACATTGTACAAAGGGTCCGTTTATGTTTCTAGACACAGTTGCGAAATGCGCCTCTTAAAATCCTGGTGGAACAGGATCCCTTGTGCTCCGACTCATGCTCTTTTGCAGGCAACAGGACTGATGCACTCCAGTACCATAGAAATCACGGCATTACAGCCAATAGCAGCCCAGATATAAAGTTAGAATTTCCAAATCGACTCGAGGAGGGGAGTGAAACCACTGAAACTGGAAACAAAAAGAATATAATTTGGAGATCGAGGAGCTGGTAACTTCCCACCTCCGGTTTAGCCCCCCTCCTTTCGGGTTTAGCGCCGCCAAGCTCTCACCTGGAGTTTCGCCCTGCCTTCTGTCGACTTTGAGATAGGCCATGTACTGCAACTTGAGCTGCCAGGCGATTGAATAACTCAAACCCCATCCTTTCAGCAGGCTTCGAGCCACTTAGTATATCGCCAACTATGTCGGAGCCAGGAGGGAAATCATGCTCAAAGTAAGGCTCACCAGCGCCTCTCATATTTGCTAGAACAGCCTGCCTGAAATGCCATCGCAGCAGTTGATCAATAGGCCGTTGAGGATCATCAAGTAGCTGTCGGTCGAGATGCTTGCCGGCACGCCGGCAAGACCTTTTCTAGTAAGATCAAAGAACACAATCTTATAATCGTCCTGGAATAATGTTAGTTAGCCAAAATACAGCAACAAGAGTATAACATACATACGTCTGGATTAATAGAAAGGATGTAATTGTCAAAGAGTTGGTGTACAGCAGAATCAAGCAATAGCCCGTTTTGTACTGAGTTGATTGCTCCGCCGTTGTCTGGTTGAATAGTAATCCAGTGCTCGTAGCCATGATCCTTCCAATGATCTTCGTAGGCTACTGGAAATATGTGTGCGGCCTCAAAGCCGTCCCAGCGGTCGAATTGCGCCGCGACTGCCACCTCCCAGATATAACGCACCGACGGTCTCGTGAGCGACAGCATCACGGAAACACTGGGTACCAGTTCCAGTAGAAATAGATTTCGTACGGACTAGCCACGACTCCTTGTTAACCGAGAAAGAACCTATATTCGGAGCAAAGATTAGCCTGGGTATGATAAGATTGGCTATAGACACTTACCAGAGGCATGAATGTAGTAATTCCCCGGCCGAAGCGGATCGTCAGTCTTTTGGACCTTGATGCCCTCTTCGTTTTGTAGTTCGAAAGCAGTTGTGAACACGACGAGCATCTCCACCATCGAGTAGAAGTTGGCATTCGTGACGCCATTTGTAAGGATTAGACCACCGACAACTATAGTACGGTCATCGGCATCATAGATATGGACGTCGCGACCTAGTGACCGATTGCGTAGAGGCATTGTAGAACTTTGCGGTGGATTCAGAGGATCGGGGATATGGAGGGCGTCACGGACGTTTTCGGGGACGACGACGACATGGGTGCTTAAGATGTAGACGTCGCATGAGGATAGCAGGTGGCAGGTGCACGCTTCAAGCTGTAATTGGCAAGAGAGTCTTTCATGAAAGGTGAGAAGTGTAAGAGCTCGAAATGACAGTTCAAGCTGAAGCTTGAGGCTTCAAACGAGAGGTTCCCAGTCACGTCGGTGCCAGCTGAGGGAGAATAACCTGCAAAATTCCAGGACAGTTTCCCTACAGATTTATTTTGTGCCGGAGAGAGAGGGCTTCCGCACAAAATAAGCGTCTCAGGCCAATACTAGTACCTATCTAAACACCCAGTTCGCTGGCTGAATGAGAGACATGCCACAGTGTCTTCATCTGAGATACCTGGAACGCCATTGGATGAATTTACAGTAATACCATATCTCGTCCCATATCAAATAGTTGTGCTAACATCAAAGCAACTGTGTCATACATGACAGAGCGATACGCTGATGGTGTTGAAACATGAGAGATCTGATGGCGGCCTCGGAGGTTGGAGCAAAATGCAAATTGATATATGATTAGTCAGCGCCCCTCAGGCCTCGACTTCCGTGACCCGTCTCCCAGAATTCCTGTTCATCATTTTCACTGGGACTTAGAGATCAATCAATTTACTCTATGGAACCCAACACATTGTGATAGTTTGGATATTAATCTAACATCCCATCCTGATAAACACGATATTCAGCTACCGTTTTGTCCGGCCCGACTTTAATCTATTCATTTTATTGAACCGGGACATGTTCGGTCATAGAGTCATCCACTAATTACGGAGTAAAGGAGTCCAATTCTTCCACGTTTCTCATTCTTCACGTCTAACAGTCTCACTCCTCCGTGCCTAAACTTATGCGTGCCTGCGGATGGCAGGGCGTACATCCTGTTAATATAGAATGCCCAATCTGTGCAAAAGGGAGCACTTTATCCGTGTTTCCCCTCGATCAACTAGCAATACTTGTATGAGGAGTGAGGATATGCCCCAGTACCGCGGGTCTTCGAGATGTCTGGTTATTCAGTTGGAGCAAATATATAATGTGTTTGCACAACTGTTTCTTCTTCACCGAGCGTTCGTACCCTCATTGACTATTCAAATACCTCAACTACAGTACCTCACTTTCAATTTCCCTATTCATAATGGCTACAGGTACTATCCGCCTGGTACTTGTTTTACTCGACCTTGTTTGTCTCTCCGCATCCCTTAAGGTCAATCAAGTCCAGTTGGACCTCATATTTCCCCGCAACAACACCGAGTACATTCGAGTCTATCCCTTCCCATTCGTTTTCAATATCCAAAACTCTGCTGTTCTCTAGCCTTACCAATTCCAGTTTCATTGGAATCTGCTTGGCTATTCCGAGACTGGGTCCGAGATTCTTGCCGATGGCGGGTTCACACGTCCAGAAAACTCGTCATCTGCTGTTCCTCCTGACCAGTGGCTGTTTATCGAAAGCACCGAAAGCATCGTAAATAGTACCAGATCACGTTTTGCTCTCGCTTATGACTTTATCGTGAGAGAGCAATGTTCTAGTACACCCAGATTGAAGGCACAAGCATCCAATATTTCCCACCACGGGATCGTTAGGTTTAACGTGAGTAAGGATGGTAAAGAGGTGGACATCGCAAGTACAGGGCCCTGTTCAAACGCTCTCGCTGCGTTTGGCGTTGAAGGTTATTCGACATCAGACTTGGGCCAACGGTGTCCAGTCCTGTCTGATCCGCACCCGGTGCCTGAAAACTGTACCTTTCGGATCGACGCAAATATCACAAGCTCGGTGACTTCAGCAATGCTCCAGTCGGCAACCTGCACCGGCAGGAGATGGCCTGATCCCACTGGGCTTACCGGTCCATGTTCACCAGCCAACAGGAAATCGGCAACCTCATTCCAGCCCCGGTTGGGAGTGCCAATGGTGGCTTCTTCTCTTGTCTTCGTTGCTGTCATGGCTATTGTGGCTAATATGTAGCCTGACAATGCATGGATGCTTTTTTATCTGATTGACCTTTGCGGTCTTGCACTATGGTCAGTACATCATCGTATTTAGAAGACCCTTTACTTACTCTCTTAGGTTCCGGTGAAAGCGAAATTAAAATTCTCAATGTCAAATGAAACTGGCCAGAATTGGTTCCGGTGAGGTGCCTGCTCATGGTTAATCTATCTTCCGGTCACGGCGTTTTCAATCCTACCTCGACATTCGATCCATGTAATTGGCCAGCCGCTATGCTCTACCGACCGGTTTATTAACAGGAAATATGCACAGAGATAAATATCTCCGGATGTCTTCTGTGAATTATCAACGCGTCTTCCTTCCACTCAAAACGAAATGAGATCCGCTCCTGTGGTGGCTGATTTTAATCTCTGCATCTTGTCCAAGAGCTCCTACTGCTATGAATTGTTCCTTTCCGCGGATTTTCTCGACATGGACATGCATGACTTCGCATTCTGCTGCCTTCGGGTGATCGCGATGTCTGGTTATGGCAATTTCGCTCGCTGTGCTGTGCCTCTTTTTTGGAGTCATTTCCCCCTGTTTTCCATTCAATCTTTGCTATCGTCGGCTTCCCAACGAAGTGAATTCATTGACAGATGCGCTTTAGTATTAAGTATTTAACCCCCCCCCCCCGTTTCTTGGATATTCGGTGTGTCGCTCAGTCTGCTTGACATGCGCTTTCCTTGATAACTCAAGTCAGTTCCTATACATTATTCTCCGAGCCTACATATACGTTCCTTATTTTCTAGCCGGACAAATCTAAGCAATGCGACTCTCACGAAGTTATGAGATTTGCCTTTGGGCTTCCCTGCTCATTCTAGAAGTCGTCCAGTCCATCGATCCAGAGATTGGGACTGTGGAGCTACTTCATGCACGCCAATCCCCATGTCGATACATTGAAGCCAAGTCCGGAGATGACTGTAACCGCTTGGCTACCCAATGTAGCATCAGCTGGAACGACTTTACACAGTTTAACTCTGTGCCGAACATCTGTTACCCGCTCCAGATTGGTCAGCTCGTATGCTGTTCAAGCGGGTCCCTTCCTGACTTCAGCCCGAAACCAAATGCTGATGGGTCTTGCGCTTCATATATCGTACAGGATGGCGAATCGTGCGCGAAGATTGCATCGTCCAACAGCATCACGGTGGATGACATTGAGCGATTCAATCGCAACACATGGGGCTGGCGAGGCTGCAACCCTCTGTTCACCGGCATAGCTCTTTGCCTAAGCGACGGAACTCCACCGATGCCTCCCCCGATATCGACCGCGGTTTGTGGACCTCAAGTACCTGGAACACGGAATCCAGGCCCCGGGATAAATATAGCCGAACTTAATCCGTGCCCACTAAAGGCATGCTGCAACATTTATGGGAACTGCGGCATCAACGAAGACTTCTGCGATACGTCCAGTGCTAGGAACAAGTGCATATCGAACTGCGGGCAGCAGATCACTAATAACCAGGTCCCACCAAAAGAGTTCATTCGTGTTGGCTATTTCCAAGCTTACAACAAGGAACGACCTTGTTTGCACATGGATGTCACGCAAGTTCCGAATACGTTTACCCACTTGCATTTCGCATTTGCAGATATAGTCGCCGGCTTCGAGGTGTCGGTTTCGAATATCCAAGAGCAATTCGATAAGTTTGTCAAGATCACGGACAAGAAGCGCATTCTATCAATCGGAGGGGCCAGTTCGTCTACAGATCCATCCCGCGCCCGAATTCTCCGCGACACTATTGATGCGACTAATCGAGAGACGGTGGCGACGAACCTGGCAAATTTCGTCACCGAGCACAATCTTGATGGCCTCGACTTGGATTATGAATTTTTCGAAGTTCAGGGTCTTCCTTCCTTTAACGCGGCCGACGGACTAAATTTATCTCAGTTGCTCAAAGCACTCAGGGCCAAGTTACCGAACAAGATCCTCACCATTGCTGTACCCGCATCTTACTACTACCTTCAACACCTCCCTATCCGCTCGATATCCAACGTCGTGGATTACATCGTCTACATGACGTATGATCTTCACGGACAGTGGGACTACGGCAGCCCATGGGCCTCCTCGGGCTGCCCCGCTGGAAACTGTCTCCGTTCCCACGTAAACATGACCGAAACCACCACTGCCTTGGCTATCATCACCAAGTCTGGTGTTAAAGCGAACAAAATCGTCGTCGGCGTCACCAGTTACGGACGCTCATTCCGCATGACTTCACCAAGCTGCGCGGGTCCAATGTGCACATTTACCGGGCCTGCATCCGGTGCGACCCCTGGCCGTTGCACGACCACTCCTGGAATTCTTGCGAACGCGGAGATCAAGGAGATTCTCGCGAATAACCCGGATGCGGACGCGACATGGGATGGGTTTGAGTCGGATTCGAATGTTTTGATCTTTGCGACTCAGTGGGTTTCTTATATGGATGATACGAACAAAAACAATCGCATTGCCCGGTACAAAATGAATAACTTTGGTGGGACTGTGGATTGGGCGGTTGATTTGGATTCCTTTATACCCGGGAATAGCTAGTGTCGAGATTAATGTTGAGGAATTTCTTGCCTAGTTCGTTTCATGGATCAACTTTCATGCCTCTGACTGATTCTCTGCCTTAATATGATCCATTTCGACTTGGAAAACAATGTATCAAACCACTACTACACTAAGTAGACAAATGTCTGCACACACCCCCGAAAATCACCAAATCTAATCGCTATACACCGTATCTTGAGATACGCTGCAAAACACATACAAATGCAAATTCAGTCTACTTTTTTGATTTCTTAATTAGGAAATATCTAATATTTCGTATGCCACCCTTTTGCCTTGATTACCGCCTGTAGACGTCGCGGAATTGAGTCGATCAGCTCTCGGATCGTCTCCTGAGGGATCGCCCACCACGCCTCCTTTAACGCCGCATTCATGGCCTCCCGTGCCTCCTCCGAGGCGCCCATCGTCTTCAATTCAGGGTGCAGCTCTAGGACATTTGATTTCAACAGATGCCATATGTGCTCGATGGGGTTAATGTCTGGGGAATTGGCCGGCCAATCGATGACCCAAATGCCGTGCGTCTCCAGCCATTCTTGGGTGATTTTAGCCGTATGGATCCTTGCGTTATCCTGGATAACAACATCCCCGGGTTCGTATGTAGGGAGAAGTCCCTCCTCTAACGTAGTGATGTAGGATTTCGCGGAATAGCCCTATCTTGCGGAGGTTTCGTCGCGGTCGATGATCACCAGGTCTGACCTCCCATCACGCGAGATTGAGCCCCATATCATCTGTGAAATGGCCTTGCCAGAGGTCTTAGGCTCTACCATTTGCGGATCATATGCCTCGTGGTACAGTCGCCATACCCATACCTGCTTACCGCCCGCCCCCTTCTCATACGAGCACTCGTCC